CTCACAAATCATACTTAGGACTTTTTTGCAAATAATTTTTGCAGTAGTATGTCATATTTAAATCAAAAACCAACATAATTGTATTATTTATTTTCTTTTATGATTAGAGACGCTACTAATGTTCATTGATGAATTTCTTTCTATATGCGATGACTACATTATGAATATAAGCATATTACGTATTTTTTTCATCGGAAGTCAAACAAATTAAAACATCCAATGCTGCGTTATTTTCAATCTCATATGTATGTATTTCTCTATTATCATTCGACAAACGTGTTGAAGCACGATAGCAATTTATACTGTTCTTTGTTGCGCTTCAATAGAGCTCGATTATTTTTCCGTTTTTGCATACACATGAGAAGATATCGAGAGAAATCTGCAAGAATGTGGATGATAAAACTGCATGCGTTTTAAATCAGAGCGGTTTTTTGTGATTTGACTTGACGTGATTTTTGAAAATTTTACAGTGTTAGGACCTCGCAACTGTCTTCGCTGCTGCGAATGGGCAGCAGGGAAGTACAATGACCTGAAAAAGGACCAGCCTGAATTGCAATTGCGTGAAGGGCCCGGGCCCTCTTTATTAAAATGTATTACAATAGTCCATGGGCAGCGGTTGTCACTTAATAACAGGTGAACCTTGCCAGCTCGCTTGCTACCTTGTCACATCAAAAAAATATTTTATGTCAGTGCCCGTTATTGCTTGCGTATAGCTCGTTTTCGTTTGTGAAATAAAATATAACTTGACAATTTTTAATAAATTAAATTGAAGTTACCCGATCTTTTAAGACAGTTTCGGTAAAGCGTCTAGAAAAACATTCCAATAAAGACAAAAAAACGATTTATGAATTATTTGAGTAACACGAAAATAAGAAAATCATGTTCACTGCATTCAAAGTCGTAGACTTGGTTTAGAAATTTACCTTCCTGTAGTGCTCTTACGTCTAGGATCCGGACTCCACTCACACGACTCTTGACTCATAATGCGCTCTCCGCAAACAATCGCACAGACATTAAGATTTAAGATAGTCAAGGGCGTTGAGAAACCTTGCCCGTCGTGCGTGAACATATCCCACTCACTTTCTAACGAGCAGCATCCAATGAATAATGGGCAGTGATATTTCAGAGCCATCCACTAATTAATTAAGTGAAACTTACAGAGTGCAACTCTTTATCCACCAATTAAAAGCAACGTCCGCGTCCGACACGCTAATCAGACCTGAAAATGACTTACACCCACAGGCTTTATTACACGTAGTAACATAATAGACTTCAATCCTTACTAATATTATAAACGCGAAAGTTTATATATATGGATGGATGTTTGTTACTCTTTAACGCAAAAAGTACTGAATACATTTTAATGAAACTTTACAATAATATAACTTATAAATCAGAATATCACATAGGCTATAATTTATAAAGATAATGTGTGAATTTTCCGAAATATAGGATATGATAAGTATCCATTAAGTAAGAAAAAATTCAGCCGTCTGCGAGATATTCTGGTGTAAAATAAAAAAAATCATTGTTAATTCCCTTCGGCCGCACGGGTGAAGCCGTGGTTAACAGCTATTTACATATATTAATATGGCTTCATTTCAAATAAGTGTTAAATTACGACTTTTTCAACTAAAAAACTTCAATCACCACTGAGAACCGGATGGCCATAAACGTAGTTGCAATGACTAACAGGCATAATGCATTGCGAGAAAGTTAAACTAAGCCTATTCGTAATTTCAGACAGTCGCCAATATTTTATGTTCATTATTAAAAAATTAAATGTTTCTGTATGTTTCGTGCGGGGTTAAATGTTTTTACATCTGTGTCTTATTCTGTAAATAAGATAACGCAAATTTCAAAGAAAATTAGAAAATTAAAAGGAAAATAAGTTATGGGCACCTAATATGTACATGGATTGTTTTTGAATGTACAATGTAGTATCTTACAATTGCTATACCAATTTGAGATTCAGCATACAGCAGAATTTAAAGCTTAGGAAAGTAGATGCTCCCCCACCCCAACACCAAAAACCACCCCCCAACAAACCCAAAACACCCCAACCACACACCACAAACACACACCCAACCCCACCCTTAGCTTAGCTTTAAATTCTGCCAGTAATAGAAATCTTTATAAGACGATACAGATAACGTGAGGAACACTTTTCCCGCCATGATTTAGCAAATATTTCGATTGTTACTCAAAAAAAAGAAAAAAATTAAACGCCACACGTTTGTCGTATATCGCCGTGTGCATTCATAGCGGTACAAATAGAAAAGCGACCAAGAAATAAAGCGCACTCTGCTATTCTTGGTATTTTAAACAGTGCAAGCAATTAAGAAAATTAAATTATCCACTTTGTATTCAACGTACGAAAAAGTCAACTGTTGTAAATCTTGTGATCACAAATGACAATTGTATTGACTTTCATACAAGTCTTGGATAGAAAATGAAAGTTTTGAACAGATTATCGAGTCATGACACTTTTTGTCGATCATCTCGTGTGAAATTTAAACATGACTTCATGCTTTTATGTATCCTAACACGTTCAATATTACTGGATCTTTCATATCGAATGCTGCACATTAATGAATAATGATATTATTACTAAACCTACAAGCGTTTAATAAAAACGTAAGTTTCCTTATGTTTCGAGTTATTCACAAAGTTCATAGAATGCTTAAACATCAATAAACATGTATTATTTTCCATTCATGCTTTTTAATTTGCAATTATCACAATAAATGTCATAAATTTAAACTGCGCTATTGAAATTATGCGCTATAGTACATATGTCAACTTTCACTAAATTCGAGACGTTGATCAATGTATGGTCAAATTTGTCAAAACTCTTCGCGAACATGTGGATAACGAATGCCTGTTATGACAGAGCCATCAATGACCTGTTTATTCTTTTGTAAACCATACTTATTGCTTAATTACAAGTAAATGTCGATTTTTTTATGTGAAAAGTTGCCAAGCGAGCAGGCGGTTCACCTGATGTTAAGTGAATACCGCCACTCATTGGTATCTGCTGCACCCGAGGGTTGCAGATGCGTTGACAAGCTTTTGAAAATTGGGCACCGGCTACCTCACTCGAAAGACGAATCGCGAAAGTATTATACTTCCACTTCACGCGGTCTTATGCGAGGTCGTGGTACTTACTCGGACGAGCCTGCCCATTCGTGCAACAGCCGAGGCTGCTGCGTGGCCCTACCACCGTATTCGTTTAGAACAGTCATACAAAGATTTATATAATAAGAATAATGTTTATGATGTATTATATAATATAATGCGTAGTTTTTTTTTTTTAAATGAAGTTTAACATTACTTTACCGTAGTATATAATTAGTAAAGATTTTGATACTTCAATTCACTTGTACACAAAAACCAAGGGGAATTTTAAGACGTCGCATTATCATTGGGCATAACTTGGTAGACTGTCAAGGAATAGTTACATTTCCGCCTCTGCCTAATTGAACGTAGCCGTGTAATGGGAGCTATTATTATAATACGGGCGGAGATTACATGAAAATAGAAAATGCCCGGGGGTCCGCTTTCTTACAAGTAACTGGCTGGTAGCCTAGTTACAGTCAGGTGGGTGCAGTAGTCTTGTAAAAAACTCAGTGGCAACTAGACTCGTCACGAAAGACGTCGAGCATTAGGATGCCAAAGATCATTTCGCGTGGACAGGTTTAGAGTAACCTCGTTTCTTTTATTTATATTTATTTGGCTGTTTTTAATCGTAGTTAACGGCGGTAAGACATTCACAATTTAGTTCAATTATTTTTGTATTATCCTCTGTTTTTTTTTTATGTAATCGTATGCTTGGGGGCTTATTGCGATTAAGTACTTATGGTTAAATTATTTCCATAAATTTTAGTATTGAGCACAGGAAAAATACCCAAGAGCTCATTTAAGCTATAATCACTGACGCTCGTTTCTGGACGCGTGATTGATTTTTGCTCAAACCTTTATCTAATCAACACCTTTTGTACCATACTTAAAGAAATAAACAAATAAATAATCGTACATCAAAGTTGAAACAGCCTGCTCTGAAATTTTAAGTATTTTTATTGTGTGTACAAAAAATGTATTAAAGTTTGTACACATAGTGTCGAGTACAAATTCGATTAGTCTTGCTCATTCGATAAAAGCTAAACTATTCATGCAAATTGACACGCGTACCCTTTTTATCTTTGGATAATATAATTTTTGAGATTAAATTGTAAATGTACATTTCGTGTTCCGTTACATTGGCTTTATATGTCCAACACCGCGGTAATCTTGGAGACTCGATTCGAGATGAGACTTTCTAACCAGCGAGCGATAGTGTAGGGTGAAATCGTCTACGCGCACGCTCTGCCGCACGTCGAGCAACCTGCGTTCCTTTGCGTTCCACTGTTAATATCAAATGAAGAAACAGACACAGAAGAACAGAGAGAATCAATAAAACTATTCATTAAAACAACGTTGGCTTTATAAATGAAAGTAAATTAATAACGTTATTCAATATATGTTTCGATACTTAAAACTTCATTTATACGTATACTGAAAATACGTGGTGTCGTCTGAAGTTAAATTTCAATATAAATGCCGGACATTATCGACTGGAGAGCGATTTTGCGTAGGTTACACTTTCATCCAAATTTAAGCAGAAAAAGGTGACGGTTCACAAAATTATTTAAAATTTGTATATGAATAAGTTCAAACTATTTTAAATAATTTAATAGAAAATGCTGCTTGTCATGTTCCACCTTCACTTGACGAAACATACTTGGAGATTTAAATATTTAAGACGTGTGTGTGTGGCTAAAGACAGCTCAATATACGTAAATTGGCTGGTACAATTAAAAAAAAATATAAACCCTTAAAAATTGAATAAAAAGAGCACAGACTATATACATTTTGTCTTCATCAAGAGTTCTAAAAGTGAAACAATCTGGCAGCCATCATGATAAACCCTTACCGAGCTCGTTGAGAACTCTGAATTCATCATGATGATCATATCAGTTTCGAAGGTCAAGCTCTCGACAAGAGTAAAAGTCGAATGTCGCGTAAATTTAAAAGTCCAACACGACCCTCAAGGCCGCGCGTCCCTGGCCGGGCAGGAGCGTCGCGTCATAGACGCAGCTAGTGCAGATCCGGCGGCGCGCTGCACTCGGTCAGTGTGTCAGCCCCACTTGGCCGCCGTCGATCGAGCGGGGGACGCGCAGGCGCAGCACTAGCGCCGCAAGCTCGAGGCGGCAAGTCCGTTGCGTATACGCCGCTGCGCCCCTAGCGCACGTGTGCCCGCGCGGGCCCCGTCCAGTGCCCGACTGACCGTGCTCCCTTGGTTCCAGGCCGCTGACTGACGCCGCGCTGTACTATGAAGAGGACTAGCCTGCTGCTGGCGATCGCGCTCCTTATACGGGTGAGTGGGAATCCCCTAGGTATTTATTTTTTTTACAAAATATAAACAATGACACTCTATTAGAGTAAGACATCTGCTAAAAGGGTTAATTTAATATTTTTATTTAAGCTCGCATATTTTTGGAAACGTTTATAATGCATTTTTTTTTATTATTTTGACAATCATATAAAATTTGATACAAACTAACGTCGAAGTTTGCAGATCGTCCTAAAAGTTAAGGGGGTAGGTAATGATGTTTTACTCAATTTTTTAATATATTAAAAACCCACGCTGGGCAAAGGCCTTCTTTGTACAGAGATTTAAAATTCGTTATTAATGTTTGCAAAGTATGGTGGTTTCCTGACTGTTTTACTTCGCCGATGACTACGTGACAAACAAGCACATAAATTATTAAAATTGCATTAAAAATTTCATTGGTGCCGTCAGATTAGAACTCGGTTGCTCAAAGATATTGAAATAAAAGTGAGCGTCCGGACACCGATCTATCACAGCCCTTAATGAATAAACAATTTCCAATAATTTTATTTTATTCCCTAAAATTAAATGTAAAAAAAATGTAAACAAAGTAAATATTTCAAACAGTTTGTCTACTGCATATTGAAATTTTTTTCAAGGGTTTAAAACAATCCAAACACTATTCTTTTCCATAACCGTAACTTATATGACTGTCGAATAAACCGCAACTCTATCAGACGTTGATAGCACGATTGATATATTGTAGCATAACCATCCTTCATTCATTAAACTTCGTAAAATTAAGTAACAGTTAACAAAGTAATAGTTGTGTTGAAATCGTAGCAGTATTTTTACAATATTCGTCATTATCAATATCGGCAAAATTTGTCAATTGTGATTTACGTACTTGCTTCAATAATTACTATCCGAAAAACGCTTTTATTCCCCGTTGTATTCCTGAATTCCAAGGTCCAACACCAATGAAATTAAGATGGAACCAAATGGGTTTAGCACCCATGTGGTTCTGCACTGAACCCAATGCACATAAAATTAAAAAAATCGCTTCACAAATCACGAAGTCCTGGGATAACAAACAAAAACAAAATACAGTCGAATTGAGGAATTGCTCCTCCTTTTTTGAAGTCGGTTAAAAAAATTGCACTATAGCAAACTGTGGAAACCTGAAAATTATGATCCTCTAAGCATTCTATATCCGCTTCGTATGGACGTTTAGACACCGTAGTATTACGATTACAGTTGTTCTAGTACTTTCCATTGGGGCATACTCAGTCGCCATAATCATTACTGTTCATGGTGTAACGTTACTATAATATGCTACGTCAAACCATTCACGAACGCAATAAACATGTAAGTGTTATTAATTTAGAACAGACTTTAACTAGTATCAAAAGTAATAAAAAATTAACAAACATTTTAGGACGTACATTAAAAAGCATTAAAGACTCTTTACATGAACATTACTTATCATATATCTTTTATGGAAAGAATATAAAATACCATTTTAAGCAATTGTCTATTTTATAACATATCTGCATTTCAAGCAAATGTCAATTATTTTTTCTTTTTAACGATTTTTTTAGTTTCTTTCTTTGGACGTTTTTAATAATTTCATAAATTAATGAACTATATATAAAACCACGACAAATAATGAAATGCATAATAAATATTACAGTTAAGCTTTACTCAAAAAGAGTGGGACGTCTCTTAGTCAATTTGCGAGAGAGTATACACGTGCATAATGTGTGTCATATCATATTGCAGCCATCAATAAAGCCCGTGCCTCTAATGTGAGAAGAATCAATGTGTATAACGCATTCGGCGCGTGCTCTACGCCTGTCGGGGCCGATCCTAGATTATTCAGCTTTTTCCGCTCGCGTTCTCAACAAGTGGGCTAATGATTCCGTTAGCGCATCCACAAAACAGCGGGCCATTTGAAGCTAACTGCATATTATGCTGCTATAACGTAAATCGTACAAACAATACAATAGTAACGTCAGTTAAGCACAAGAAAGAAGTTTATACGTTTTATATCAGTAGTCTAATTAGTATGTTTGTATATATTTTATTATTGTGTGTATATATTTAATTGGCTCATAATACTGAAAAAAAAAACAGTTTTCCCCGGTGATATCCCTTTCTCGTCCCCTGACAGCATAAAAATAACTTTTTAGAACCCAATTAGAAAAATACAAATTACTCTAATCTTTTTTATACTGGATCCCATTATCAAAACTTCTATAAACTAAATACTTATAACAAACGATTGAAACAAATATTGCTCAACGAATAGTTATCGAAGATCAAAAGATAAACTGCAATAACCAAATGATTATAGTATATTTAGAGATGATTCTAACACTAGGTAAAGAAAATTCTAACTTGGCTTCAAACAAAGAGCAATTACTGCGAAAGTTTGCATAACTCAAGTTCACGAACAAACCGAGACTCATTTGTTATTCGCGGAGAGGCGTTGACCGGCAAAATATCTTTTTTATCGAACACTTTCACTGAGACAAATTTCACAGCTTTGTTAGCGGATGATGCAATGCTTTGCAAACAATTTCATTTCATACTATGAAGTAGCATCTATTAGGTGAATAGAGAACAATAGCGGTATATTAATGTTTACCAAAGCAAACCTCTGCTCGGCTTCTGTTGGTTGATGATTAAAAACTAAAGCATGAGCTGAAGCTTTCTTAAGCTTTGCAATAAAAATGTTTATTACTACCCAATGTCGAGTAAGTTTGATCATTTACTTACAATGATGATATTCTTCTTAATGAAAAATTCTCGAAAATTATTCTTATAAAAGAAGTCTTGTCAACGTGTATACAATGTTACAAAAGTTATTCACACAGTTGTCACCGTATCATTATTTGATAGTTTAAAAACCCTTTCAATATTTGTTAAACAAATAAAAAATTAACATCAGGTGAACCGTCTGCTCGTTTGGCAACTTTTCACATAAGAAAAAGGTACGACCAAAGGTTTTACTTTCATAACGCGCCAAATAATTCGCAGCATTTCTGTTTTAACAACTTTTATTTTAAGGCCCAGTAGCGTACTCGCCGTCTCTTAATGACCCAAGCAAACAATGTCGAACGCCGGGCGATATGAATACGGAGGAAACGGATGCTATGCGGTGGTGACTTTCACCCGCGGCCGTGCAGGCACCTGTCACTCCGCGGTCCGCGACACGTGGGGAGTCCGCCGGCAATTCTGTAACGATACACAACACTGTCCGAAACTAATAAAGCGAGGAAAAAAAAGAAAGAAAATCGGAAAATGTCTATGTTAAATGTTTGTCTATCTGTGTTAAAGTACAAATGCCTCGCTTTTTAGTCACATATTACCTTATAGCAACAAAAGGTTGTGATTCGAAAATCTATTTCTATGTGTGTCGTATCAAAATAATAGCTTCATATATAATTAAAATAATAATTGAAAAAAGATACGATTAATTCAGAAAATATATAGATTATATCAATTAAAATTGCTACGTAACGAATAATTATTTATATGCATGCAACAGTACCACTTGGAATCATTTATACTATATAATGTATACTATACGATATACTAATCTATATATACCAGTAGGTAGTCGCCCAGTGGTCGAGATTTGATAATTAATAATATATGGTAGTTTTTTCATTGATTTAAAAAAATATATAAGCACTTAAATACTCCTCCGTCCGCTCAATTCTCGTAAAAAGGGGTAGGTACAAAGTTTTGACTTCACGTATTAATAAATAGATGAACATAGACATATATTTCAACAAGACAGAGAAATCCAGCTGGCTTCGTTAAGACTATTTCCGACAGCGACGGAGTGCGCAATTCTATTTTTGCCAATAAAATCGTCGAAGAAAGCTGCAGTTATCGGCGTCGCTCGTTCGGTGTTTTCTTCCGCTACTGACAATCTCGTGCACTGGGTAATTTCTAACCGGTTTAGAAAATGCGAGCGTCCGCGCTCTAGTGCTAGGCCGACACCACTCGGTCCTCTAAGGAACGCGAGCGACACCCGTAAATCGAGCACCCGCTGGATCTAACTCTCACTCCTTAAACCTCAAACCGACAAGTGAATCCGGTTAAGCTACGTTAGTCTTTGAACGTACGATCGAAATAAAGACATTGTGCGACTCTCACTACAGCCGAAGATTACCAAGTGCGTAGTGGATATTTTTTTCTTCTATATCTGCCTTATTTCTTTACTCTAAATCATTTAATAATAGCTAATTGACACATATTATGTCATTAGATAATTATTAATGAAATGTTTTGATGTAATGATTCGAGATGATTAAGACCTAAGGGAAGGTAATGGAGTTAGAATTCCCGTAAATTTAGAAATAGAATTAAATGATGAAAGCAATATAATCTGCTAAAGTCCTTTATTCACGTGTAGGAACTTGGTAGTATTAGTAATAGTATTATGGGTTAATAAAACTATCGTACACATTTCGTATCAAGTTTTCGAGAATATTCTTCGAAGTATGCCCGCGCTGATTAATAAAATAATTACTCGTTTCCATCCGTCAATGTAGAAAGTCAGTAAGAAGCCCCGGGCTAACGCTGTAGTGCGCTCGCGTGGCGCGAAGTAGACTGAGACGTTGTGAGGAATGTGCTCCTCTGTGACCAGCGATGCGTTTATTTCTATCTTGCCATCGCTCCATACCCGCACTTAATAACTTTCGAAGCGTCAGAAAAGCGAAATTCTTTCGCTTACATGGAATGTACTTTTGTGTTTTCTGTAAAAAAAAATTATATACTAATAATTTTTACAAACTTAACATTTTTTTAATGTCGATTTTGGTTCGTTTGACAACACTCGATGTTTGGATTGGTTTCGAGTTTTATTATAAAAAATCAATTTTATTTTCAGGATGCATCATGCGAGCCACCAGTAGACTCAGCGTCATTGCCTCTAGAGCATCGGGCAGGTGGTGCTTATGGACCTCCTCTCCCGCAATCGCACAGCGACGACCCCTGGCCTCTAGCTACACCTGACAGCCCCAAAATAAAACATCTGCAAGTGCAATGTGAAAAAACACATATGCGGGTCAACATCGAATTCGACCGCCCATTTTACGGTATGATATTTTCTAAGGGATTCTACAGCGACCCCCACTGCATGCACCTCAAGCCTGGTACCGGACATTTGAGTGCTACTTTCGAAATATTTTTAAACAGTTGCGGCATGTCGAGTTCCGCCAATCACAATGTAGCAACGTACGGTAGCCCTACCCCCAGTGGTTCGTACGTTGAGAATACTATTATTGTGCAGTACGACCCATACGTGCAGGAAGTTTGGGATCAAGCGAGAAAACTGCGTTGCACGTGGTACGACTTCTATGAAAAGGCAGTAACATTCAGGCCTTTCCAAGTCGACATGTTGCACGCTGTCACGGCCAATTTTCTCGGCGACAATCTACAATGTTGGATGCAAATCCAAGTCGGGAAAGGGCCATGGGCTTCAGAAGTATCTGGTATAGTGAAAATTGGACAAACCATGACAATGGTACTTGCTATTAAAGATGATGAGAACAAATTCGACATGCTTGTCCGCAACTGTGTAGCTCATGACGGTAAAAGAGCGCCCATACAACTTGTAGATCAGTATGGTTGTGTTGTCCGGCCGAAGATAATGAGTAAATTTCAAAAAATAAAGAACTTTGGGCCCTCCGCCTCCGTCGTTTCGTTCGCTTACTTCCAAGCCTTTAAGTTCCCTGATTCGATGAACGTTCATTTCCAATGCGTAATACAAGTCTGCAGGTATAATTGTCCCGAACCGAAATGCGGACTCGGCGCCGACTATGGTGTTCCCTTGCTTGGCGGTAACGCCCTGAGCGCCGGTGAATATGGCTTGCCGAATGCGCCTCATGCGGAATACGGACCACCACCGTCAGCACCACACAGCGAATACGGAGTACCACCCGCAGCTTTCCCTGACCCGAGACACCCTGCTGACTCTACTGGGGCCTTCTCAGACAAACGCGACGACGCCGTGCCTCCTCCGCAGGCGCAAGTGTCATCCACACCAAACGCACCCAGTCCCTCTTCACCAGCACCCAATAGAGAGGACGACGAGGTGAATCTCCCTCCACCACCGCCACCCGGCCGCCGCGGCGTTTACAACACAGTCAAGAGGAAAGACGAGGGCCACGGCAATCTTGCAACGTTAGGTGGACGGCCTAGATCTGTAGAAGATTTGCCCGAAAGATTAGTTGGCGTGAGGAGGCGGCGAGAGACCTCCCCGGTGCGGATCTATAAGCGTGACGCGCAGGAGATGACGGACGTGAACACGAGCCGGACCATTCAGGTGGTGGCGCCGGGCGACGTGAACTTTGCGTTGAACAACGCCCAGTCCAACGAGACGGTGGTGATCCAATCGCCGGCGACGGACCCCGAGACGATTTGCATGTCGGTGCCGTCGTTCGTGGCGGGACTGGTGATGCTGCTTCTAGTGCTGGTGGTGGCCTCGCTGGTGGCGGCGTTCCTGTTCGTGCGCGTGCGAGCGCTCGACAGGAAGGGGAGCGCACGGTGGCACCGCCTACTTCGAAACGGATTACGTGAAGCATACGAATTAGCGGGGCTAACGTGTGACGCGGGGACGTTCCATAAACTCTTCTCGGATCCAAAGAGCGTGCGGGCTTCGGCCCCGGCCGGGCGGCGCGACGCTGCCGCGGTCGCGATCGAATCGCGCTTGCGTGCGAGTTATTTATTTAGTTATTTAAAGAGTGTGATGTATAAGTTCGACTGCTTTTTTTTGTAAATTATTTTTATTCGTGTGAAAATCACTCCCTGTACTGCCCGTTATAGTCGATACGTCTGTTGTAATGTTGTAAAGAATCGTAAGTAAGCAAACTAGCCTTTAAGCTGTATACCAATTAAAAGTGTCGTGTGCGATTTGAGTGATTTATTTTCGTTACTTACTATTATTTCCCCTTAAATAAGTAAATAAAAAAGTAATTTCAGAACTTTTTCATATCTTTCGTTTGCAAATTCAAATGATATTACAAAATATTAAAATTAAAAATTGCACATGAACCAGGAGTGAAATTTTATTCTATAGTTTTATAGCAAATCATCTATAGTAACGTGGTAAATAAAGGATTTTGCAAATTTAACTTTTAGGAGATATTTCTACATCTTTTTTGCGATTAACCAGGACTGTGACTGGTTATTGAAGCTATTCATGTATATTAATATAATAAAGCTGTTGTTTAAAAACAAAAGGAAATAAAAATTAAATAAATAATTTGTTTGAACGCACTAATCTCTCGCACTACCAGTCGGATTTAAAAAAACCTTTCGCCATTGATAGCACAATTCTTGAGGAAGGTTTAATAACATCATGCTACGACCTACGGGGGTGAAGCAGCAACCTTTCTCGCGAATGAATTCGCATGAAACAGTTATTTTTTTTAAATATGTTAACAAAAAAACCATCACTTGTTTATCTCGAGATTTACTACCCCATATGCAAATACCAATGATTGGCGACTGTTATCAACTGCAATAGCCTTTTTTTAAAATGTGTATTCACATCAAAATTATCAGATCAAATATTATCTTTGTTTTAGCTCATTGCGCCGATCGTGTTTTACGCGAAAACGCAAAGCTTAATCAGCAACCTGCAACAATAATTGGCTATGCTGTGAGAAAGCAGAATGCATTGTCTTAATAAAGAAAAGATCCACAGTCCCACGTCTCACTTTAAATATGGGTGAAACGTAGCAACTAGATTTTAATCGGTCTGATGTTATTTTAACCTTGTATTACAATTTGCGATACAATATTAAAAACCACAATTTGTTAATAAAAGACAAACAAATTGTAAAAATAATTTTATGAATGCAATTGCGATTGACAACTGGTAATTATAGAAATCAAAACATTCTTCGTTTTTCTAAAACAATCTTTAGTAGACAATGGAACGAATATTTTCTTTTTTTGTGAGCTTTTACGTTGCCTGCAAAGAAAGCATTTTCGTTAGTCTCTTTAAATGTCTACTAACTATATTTCCACGAGTGGAGAAAATTCTGGAAAATATTTCTATTAAATTATTTATTCTAACTGTACACTTAAGTTCGAAATTTAACGTATATAATCATCACCGTGAAGAAAAGATGTTATTTCTGAAATAATGTTATTAATCTTTTAAACATATCAATATAATACGAAAATGTCGAAATATTAGAAATTTTACTTGTAACATTTCATCAGACGTCGGTGCCAAATGCGAGCGTAGCCAATGAGTATGGAAAGAAGCACGAATAAAGAGAGATTAAACAAAAGTTTCATTTTTGTGAAAGTGGCGAAGATATATCTTTGAAAGTGAGCAAGGCGGATAGCGCTCGGTAACTCACACGTTTGTTGTTATAAAGGTGCTGAAGAGGATGGGGGACCATCGTCTTCTGTTTAATGATGTGGAAGCATAAATGTCGAAGTCATGACATTAGGCATGCGACATAGGCGAGGGACACGATGTTGTCGAGATACCGATGAATTGCGACGCCGTTTTTTCTTTTTTTCTTTCGGAACGGCATTAATCTTCTCTGGTTTTTTGTCACGAGGACTCTGAAAACGAAAACTTTTATATATTTGTAAAAAGTAAAGGATATTTATTGTTCGAAATAATACCGTCGTAGCAATATATTAATATACCTAACACCCAAGAAAAATGTATGTTAACTTTTAACCATATTTTGCCTCGTTATTTTCTTATGATGTTATCGGATAATCAAAATGAAAGATGAGTACAAACACAAATTATACAATAACCGTAGTGTTTTGTCGCATGTAATTTTTTTTTTTTGAATTAGGTACTGCTCAGAATCTTCCTGAATTGGCACGTCACCATAGATGCCACAGAATAATCACAATCAAGGTATAATGAACACATTCTTCTGCATCAAATCAGTTTTTTGCGTGCATGGTTCGAGTGCACGCGCTTATATAGGAAAGTGGAATATATTGGATACCGTTACAGTATCTATTATGCTGTGATTTACACAATGTTAATACAATAACCATTGCAAATATTTCTATGAAAAGCTTGTTCAAATATAATCAAAATAACCTACTTATTTAGGGATATGGCGTCATGTAGAGTCAATTTAAATGTGAGTAATTTTCGTCTGTTTATTCCAAGCTAGAACATTTATGACGTTTGAGAAAAAGTAACGAATTCCACATTAAAAAATGCAGTTGCCTCATTGATAGAAAATTGTAAATAGTTGTTTCTTGTAAATAATTTTGAATAATTGTAAGAGGAAAAAAGTCAATAGTCACTCCAAATTCAACGGTTGGATCATGTTAATGACTTTGTCCATTAATCAATCATCAAAATCAAATAGGAAATGTATATTGGATTCTATTTTTTAGTTCTTAATAAAAATGTACTTGTGGAATGAACACATTGTTAAGCAGCTGCTTTTTGCAGTTTGTTGTTCATTGATTTTTGTACGGTGTACGTGTATAACAGTTTTATGTTATAGTAAAATTTTATTCTTCTAAATAAGATTACCTAACCTTTTAGGATACCTTTAATAATTGATAAATACCTACTAACTATTTACACATTATCATGGTACCGTTAGGTGACTGACCATGGTATTGTACGAATATTTTGCACGAGTCAACTAGATTCTTTACACTCGGTATGAAAAGTTGATATTTCACAGATCAAATAAAAATGTCGGTCGAAAGCATTTATAGTTATCCGATGCACATTTATCGTCCTCTAATGATGTTCACACTTTCAGTTCAAGGGACTGTGCAAACTTGCGAACCTTCATCGGTGACAAAGTTATCAATTTACCTCAAAAATGCCACTTATTCGACCGAGCTTTTCTGACTATCTGGGTGGCTTTTCTAAGTGTATCCATTTTTTTTTTTTTTATTAAATTTTAGACTTAAATAATGTTATATAGAAAAATGACATTCATCAAAAATGAAATTACATTCATTTGAACTTATCTTAAAAAAGTGCGTGATTTATACGCGACTCATTTTACGCGCGATCATTCATAACTAACACGCACACAAGTTCGTGAACAGTATAATTTAGGTATTATGAGCATTGTCAACACGTTCTGTTATTTAGGGAATAGAATGGCATTTTTTTGGAAAAAAAAACTTTGTTTTTTATTTCCTGTTTTTATTTCACTGAACCTCCATTGTAAATTTGGGCAGTTCTGAAAAAATCTCCCTGTATTATTACTCATCTATTACTACTACCCCTACTACTCAATTACCTATTGAAGGCGCTCTATAGTGTTACTCAACTATTACTACTACCCGTACTACTTAATTACCTGGGATAACTGCAGTGGTGGTATCCGCACTGAAGGCGGTGGCGGATGAGGCGGCACTGGCCGCTTGTGCGACCGCGCTCTCGATGCTGCTGGCCGCGTTGAACAGCAGCCGGCAGAGTTCGCAGTTGCCCGACGACGATGCTGGACGTTTTCCCCCCAAAATTAACACTTGGAATATTTCTAACAAGTGTTATTGTACGAGTGGTGTTTTTGTTTTGTTGACAGATCATTTTTACATTAAGATAAACAGATATATTTATACGATTACACAAAAATTAAAATTCGTGTTACCATTAATCATAAATTTATACGTCTTTGTTTCATTTTTCCTTTATTTACGTTGAAATACCATACCTTATAAAGTATCTAACTTAACAATGGCGTATCAATTCCTGATTACATAATAAATCTAAAATTGCATAATATAAAGCATGGTTAGTGAGTCCATTGAAACTCAATACACCTACTTTTTATTGTAAATTAATGAACTAATTTTCAATTTATCATGATATATCGGAAAAGTTAGATGATGTTAATAGGAGATCAATTTTGTTCATAGATGTCTTTTTGATTGGGTAGATGTGAATCGTACATTGAGAGAAGCACCTGGATCGAGGTGTAAACAAGTTGATGCTCCTGAAGCCTTATTTTGGTGAATAGCGTCCATCGTCGAACACTTAAGTGCATCGGAATCCAAGTTTACCTCACTGTCATGAACATGAACTTTTACGTTATTACGAACCAAATACGGTTTGATTTCCTCAAACCAGACGTCACATAACTAAAAGGATATTAAATAGTATTACTTCCACGTACGTATGATATAATATTGCTATTCAATTTGTAAAATAATTGATCCTTACGCTGACTAAAGCATTTTCTAAGTCATAGCGAATGTTTTTAGGTATTTTACACTTATTTTTCTTTTGCTTTCTTTTTTCATCTGGGGCTCTGGATTCAATAGCGTTTGTTGAGGTCCGCGGTCGCGGAACCTTAATCACATTTGAACATTGCTTTCCCGCACGGGTATGAAACATTTAGGTAGATGAAATTTTGATATTAAAATTCACGCATTAAAAAGTCACAAGTCAAGAGATAAATAAAGGTATTCTAAAAACTTATATCATGAAATAAGCTAAAAAAAGTCAAAACGGGTAGGAGTTAACAACTGGACTGTCAATATGACTTTTCAATGTACCTTTTTCGTAAAGGAAATATCACAAATAGTTTCAATGTGCATCGATACTCTTTAACCACTGTTCTTCTCCGTGCAAGTAATTTAAAATGAACACGCCGAATTGGAGATCTGCGTTAGGCACAAAAGGATCAGCATTATTTAAAACAGTTGTAAATCTATTAAATCTTACGAAGAAAGATACGTCTCAGTGTGATTCGATCAATGAGGTGCTGTTCTATGGAGCTGAAGATGAGGAAAAGAAGGAACAGATAGGCCTGAACAATCTGTTTTGTATATACTACGTAATAGTTCACGCTTGTCGATCGATTGAGGTGTGTCTACCGAACTTAGACAGTGACACTATCACAAAGTGTCTCATAACCGCACAACAGAAAAACGGCGCAATCATAAGAGTAGCAATACATGACAATGAACATGACGGAGAAAATTTCCGAAAACTCAATAAACACGGAATAGTTGTGAAAGTTATTAGCTCGACGGTTAAATTGGAACACGAATTTGTTTTAGTGGATGCGCATGATGAATGTGCCGATTCTGTAGCCGTCATTGGATCAATAGACTTCAAGACTTCCCGAGTAAACTGCAACAGAGACACCACGATACTAACGTCCGAACCCACAGTTGTTACGGCATTGAAGAGGGAATTTGATAGAGTTTGGAATTCGAATTCAGAAACACTGCAATATGATGATAATGACGAAAATGATGAATCAAATAATTTCAATATTCAATAGTTCATATTAATTTAGTTAATTAAGTACAAATTAAGTCACGATTTGAAATGTCTTTATTTTAATGAGAAACTTGCTGGTTATTGAAATAAAAATCTTGAAATAACAAAAATATCTAAATTTTATTTCTTTTGTTGTATGTAACAGATAGTACAATTATTACAAGCAAACGATTTTATTACAAAATTACACGTCCTAAACCACTATTTGTACTTAAGTGCTTTTTGTTATTTTATCCCTATAATTAAAAAGCAAAACATGAAATTGTAATCAAATTTATTTTAATTTTATTTCGACGCTGCGTAGTGATAAAATTTGTTTGCTATTTTTACATGTACATTAAAAATCTTGGAAAAATATGTCTAATACATTTTATGAAAACATCAAGCTAAGTTCATTCCGAATAAATATTGGAAAAAGCATCATTTTTCCATTGACTACATTACATAGCTATTGTAATTAAAAGATTCAAAAATTCATTTAAATTTTTATTTGATTAATTTTTTTCAGAAAGACTAACAAAATAGATAGGCCTGACAATTAATAAAACCTTATAATTAAATACATATTTACAATTTATCAGACACATTTGGCTTTAAGAAAATTTAAAAGGAAACAAAAATATGAATCACGCCATAACCATAATACAGCGTGTTAATGTTTCACACAGGAAAAGTGTACACTTCGTTTATGTGAAGAAGATAACAACTTTGTCACAAATGAGTAAAAAAGTATTATGTATATTTTATTACTGAGCGATGCATAAAAAATTGTTTTGACCTATTTTCACACAGAAGAACAGGAGTGATGAATGTCTCCAAATGGAATGGACCTGAATTATAAGATTCAATTTAATATTGTCCCCACTCTTATTGTACTGATTTACTATATAGTTACCATCACAGCACGAAATAAGCAGTCACATATTATATTTACAAAATATTTACAATTCATTATTTTTACATAATTACATCGCACACTGTAATTATACTCATACCTTACATTAGTAGACTATGTAAATTATAGTCGTGTATTAAAATATCGTAAACAGCGCAAATTGATCCAAGAAAAAAAATACTGTTTTTATGTCTAAATAATAAATTTTTGCAATAAATTTACTGTTTGCACAGCTTTATAAATGCATACGGCATCCATTTTAAGAGCGCCCTTAAGGAGCAAGGGAATATACAAACATAAAATCACTAATAATTGTATTACAACTTCTATACCAGAAATATAATATAACGTCATATTGACTGTTAATTGTAATAGGCATGTCATATATGAATCTCTGGAAGCCTCTTTTGTACCTAATGCCTTTAATGGTTACATATATCTAAACGATAAATTATAGTAAGTATCTATATTTAAGACACCACATTTTTATACCCATGGTGTTTTAAATTCATAGGAATTGTTTTTTAATAACTTAATCATAAAACAACTCACACCAAAAGCAATTTCTAGGAATGTATAACAATCCTCACAATTCTAAAATATTATAGGCTTGTATAATATAAAATAAAACAATTTTATATAAAACACAAAAATGAAACAATATTTTTTTCATAATGACCCTAAGAGTTTCTTGTTACTGTAGAATAAATAGGGTTTTCTTTAATTTTTATTTATTGGACTGATCATAGTGCAGAACCATTAGTATTTTAAACTTATTATTTGGTTTCAAAGAAATTTCAAACACAAATGAACTAAAGCTCGATTGACACTTGTCAAGTGTTTAGTACTATAGACTAGTACAGCAAGAACAGTAGTGTAAGCCGTCGGACTGTGGTCAATTTAGCATGCAAACTGCCTCGCAACTTGTTAATTCTATTTCTAAACCCCTGTGGGGCACTTGACTCGTCCCTTCTCGTAGTAAAAACAGTCAAATTAGTACAGCGGCTGGCAACAGGCAACAAAATTGCAGGTAGTGCTCGTCCGTTAAGAAAGAGAAATGCCCCAGTACTTACTGTAATGTAAACAGCCACTTGTCCGATGCCCATCACTGGCCACAGTAATCGTACTCACCACTCACTACTGTCCTTGACCAATGTAAATCGGGCTTATGGTCAAGTTTATAAATTGACGAAGTTGTATTAAAGACAAGTTTGACAGATAAAGGAATTAATGTATTAATGGCTATGAGAACTCTAATTTAAAAAGTAAACCAAGTGCTACGGCTAACTAGAAAATTGACGTAAATTTTAAAGCCACAAAAATACAAGGAAATAGGCTAATATTTTTTACATGATAAAAATATATTGTTACAGTAATGCTTTATTATTCACAAACACAGTACTATTTTATTTAATTTTCAATGGCACACAATATAGCCAAGGAATTATTAGGATAACAAAAACAAATGCCGATTTCTTTAACAAAAATTGTTTAGGATGGAGCTAATCATAACTTGAATATACAATTTTACTATTTGGTAATCCTAATTATTATATTAATTGCATAATAAATAAGTAATTATGAATTTTAAATATTGTAATTTTTCTAGAAATAAATAATCACAAAATTTTAAAGAAAATGTGTCAAATTGATAGAAAATTATGTACAATTCACCAAACACCATGTTCAATTGATTCAGTGTTATTGAAACTATTATTTCAGAAAGCACTATACATTTTAGATTTTACTTAAAATTAAAATTATTGAAAAACCTAATAATCATGTTACTATTATACCAGACAGATGATTTGGTATAATAAAACAAGTTTGATCCAATTTGACTAGTATCTTAGTAATGTAAATTATATTATACCATAGACAACATAGTTTTTGGTTCAATAAAATAAAACTGAGACTGACTAATAAACCCTAGTCACTCGAAAGTGGATGTCATACATCCACTTCAATGTCACTGGTGACATCATGGGAGCCTGATTGAGGTGATGTTGTGTCTGGATCATTAAGATCATGGGGAGAACACATGTAATCCTGTGGTGAACTCATGTCATCATCAGGAGACCCAGGCAAATCTTCATCCATCATTATTGTTGCCGGTAAAGAAGGTGATACCTCTTGTAATTGACTTGAGTACACTGTAATGGAAAAATTGAAGTTCCACTTAGAATTAGACTGTGGGCTTAGAAATTAATTTTACATCCAATCAGAAATCAAATAAAATATGTTAGAAGTACCTTTTATATTAGATGTCTTAATATCTGTGCTGAAATTAAGAGATTCTTCCATTGCCTCCATAGTTAATGTGTCAGTATCTAGACTATCCATTGACCCTGAACATGATGGTGAGCTATCAGGATTAGAATTTAAAGTTAGTTGTAGGTCTAGCTGAGGTATGTGAGGTCTCACCTGAAATTTATTTAAAATATATAAATATTAATGTGTCAAATGTATACAGTATATGTAGTACTATACATGTTTGTCAGTTTAATCTTGAAATATCTTGAATCTTAAATCATATATTGAAAGGCGAAAAAACAATGTATTGTAATTACATTTTTGTCAGTGTGGCAATCAGCCGTTTAGCTTAGTGGTTAAAGCATCAGGGCGCGAATTCCGAAGGAAGTGGGTTCGATTTCCACAGCAAACTGTTCATACTTTTTTTATCTGCAAATTTTAATGTTTCATCTCAAGTGCAGATTAGCACTATAAAAATTTAAGTTTTAACTTTTTTCCTGTGCATTTCAGAATACTGATAATCCAATTTCACTTATATGGGAGGCCAGCTTACAAAAATGCATACTTATACTTCTTAATTTGTTACCAAAACCAATAAATGTTATTTTAAATTTGAATAATGTGAGGGAAATACATTAATAAAATTAATAGTTAAAAAACTCATGTGACATACTACAGTAGTACTTTTTCAACTACAGGAGCTTAGGCCCTACCTTGTCTCATTCAATAATTATAAAACACAGCAAAATTAAACTTCGGAACTATATTTAAAAAAGTTATGTCTATAAAAAAACCAATAGTTGTCCCCTTTTTAAATCTGGACAATTAACAATTAATAAAATATAAATTTAGTGAATTAGACCAGCAACAGCTCTCAAGCAATGTATAAAAAAAAACTATGCACTGTCTAGACTATCCAAGATCTCATATAAAATATATCTGATATCATAATATAATGCTGGTAATGAAAATGATATGTAAGAAAAATTTAGAAGTGTGAAATAATTCTTACAGACACTCAATATTTAGACCAAACAAGCTCATTCTTAGACATTCCTCTCTTTTTTGTATTTGTACATTCTAAATATTTATAATAATGAAGATAGTACAAGCATTACCTTACTAATTAAATAAATACCAAATCACATACTCCATGTCTTATTATATAATATGGATATTTTGAAAAATTGTGATTACCTTCATTCCATCAGGTCTGTGAGGATTTCTGCATCCTTTACATTTACATTCAGTACAAGGTTTGCTTTCAACATAACAAGGACATCTTTGCCCACAACATGTTAATTTTCCTGGAGTTGCAGTTGCATTGCCACAACGGCAGCCTTTCCTTTTGCTGCTTGCAGAGCTGCGTGACCTATTTGAGGGTTTCTTAAACCCCAACTGATTTGACTGAAATTTGTAATCATAAGTGGTGTTTAAGTGTAGAAATGTTTATGAATTAAAATTTTCAGTATTTTTTTTTATAATAACTACAATATTTGAAAGTATTTACTTTACTCTCCCTTGCAGATGGTTCACATGGAGGCGGTGATTCATTTTCTTCTATTGCTTTTCGTTTGATGGTTATTTTGTTTCCCGACCCAGCATACATAACAGAGTAAAGAGGAGACCCATTTGAAATGGCTCTTGAATTAGGAGAATCTTTACTAGATGATCTTGTTTCAGAGTTATTTGATGTTGAGGCTGCTTGAGTCTGAGTTGATGCAGAGTTTGTATAAACACATGGTAGGATACTATATGCTGACTTAGAAAGCCCTGCATTACTTTTATAATCGTCGGAAAAGCCTGCTCCTTCTTGTATTAAATCAATTAAACCAGAGCTTGCTACAGTTCCACCATTAACCCCTGCTGCAATCTCATCTTCTTCTATTAAAGTTTTATACACATCTGTTCCCATGAAATATTCACACAACTTTTTATAACATTGCAGTAGGATACGTAGTTGTAAATTTTCAGCATAGTTTTCGTAGTCCTTACACCAGTTGCACGATGGTTTTAACTTCTTTCTGCCACCCTTACACTTTTTGCAAACATGATGCTGGCATCCAGAACTTGTCGGAGTGTAGGGTTCTTTAAGAAGGTTCCCACAAACTGTGCAAGACAATGATTGACGTAAATAAGGGACCAAACGAAATAAATCTGTCCACGTACTTTTGTCTGCAGCGTCTGCTAATATTATTAGCCGGCAAGTAGAAACATATAAACTAGTAGCATTCATCTTCATTTAAAAATTATTACTTTAAGCATAGGAAAAATGTAAATTGTTTACACTATAATATCATCACACAAGCAAAAAGCCGCAAACGCTTGACGCTTCATCTAAACTGTCAAATTAACAGCATTGTCAATGTCATTCAGAGAATTTATAATTTTTGTGTTATGGTTAGTGGCGTTTAGATATTTCAGGTTAGAGAACTAAAACTTATGGTTGAGGAATTTTAATGACATATCTCACTCAAAACAAAAAAAATAATAAAAATTGAGGTGTCTTATTTTATATATCAAGATTGGGTTACTTAAAAATAGGCTAAGCATTGTTTTTTTTTTTTTTGCGTAACAAATCATTAAATGTATTGTCAAATAAAGGTATAATGAAAGAACCATACGTTTTATCCTTTGGAAAATAGTACATAGGTTAGCAAAAAAGTCTGATTTAGTTCAAAAGCCTAAAAACTATGTTTACTAATTTATATATTATTATTTAATCACTGTAATTTTTTATTGACTTTTAGTTTTGTCAACCTTCGTATAAAGCAGAATTATGTATTGGTTACAATAACATGTAATCCACAACAAAAAAAAACAATGCGTTCGAGATGAGATGAGATGAGTTCAATTATGTCTATGTGTAAAAAGTCTATTTTCAACTTACTTTAAAGTGGAGGTTCTTTTCAACTTTTCAATGGTTTCAATCGATTTTCATCAAAGGTTTCAATTCGGATGTGTTTTTAGGGTTCCGTACCTTAAAGGGTAAAAACGGAACCCTTATAGTTCACTCTCGTCAGTGAACAATTCTAGGTCAACCGTAAGTGCGCAATAGGTTTTGGGTCGAAAACCTATAATATGGTATTTCCCGTTGACCTAAAATCACGAAATTTGGCAAAAAGCATGGTCTTACTGCACAAATACAGGAAAAATTCCTAAAAATTTTAAATTAAGTAAAATTTTGGTATTTACAAGTTTTTGCGAAAATTTAAATTTGCCCACATCTTTTTATCGTTTTGACAGGACCTTGACATTTTTATATACTGAATAGGGGCTCAGTCAGTATTTGGTATAAATTCAACTTGCTAGGTTTACCCGTTTCGGAGAAAATCGTTTATGATTGTTTAGCAATTTGTTGTGGCGATATAATGCGTGGATAGGTGCGGAACCCTCGGCGTACGAGTTGGAATCGCACTTGATCGGTTTTTTTTTATGGTTATTCCCTTAAAATTAAAAAAATATATACCACTGATATTTTTTTCCTTTTAGAAATAGCTTGGGAGCGATCAACTAATTTCCAGGGGTTATTGTCATTAATGTATTCATTTATATTATAATAACGCTTTTCATAAAGTTTTTCTTTAATTAATTTCTTAATCCTGGTAATAGGCAACTTTTGCGCATTTACCAGGATTTTGTTGTAGAAGCGTATACACCGCCCCAGTACCGGATTAAGCAAGCGTAGCAAATTCTTTCAAACAGCTTTTGATCTGCTATGGCTCTGGCTCTTAAGTATAAAGTGATAAAAAATATTCAATACTCTTACTTACTTAATAAGTTTTAGTCAAAAAATTAAGGCTCAGGCTCAATGAGTGGGTTTAAATATACCCCTTTCGCGCGGGGCCAGCAGCAATGGCTACTCTTGCTACCTGGTTAATCCGGCACTGACGACATACCTGTAAATGTGTGGCCGTTATCGTATGAATAAGAAATGCAATATGAATAAAAAACGTAAGATGCTGGTGAAGGATTTCTCAGAAACTTTTTTTCGGGGAGGAAATCTTCAAAAGATACTTTGTCACCTCTCACGTGACAGGCTTATGTTGGGCTCATATCCACTAAAACCCCCACGGCGGCCACCTTTTGAACCTGTAAGTTTTGAGGGACTCCGGGATCTACTACGGAACGCACCGGTGTCCCTCGGTACTGCGCTTAAGCATGCCTTGGTGAAGGAAGAACCTTCCCCAATACCCTCACCATCATGCATCGACTAGCAAGCGCACTACGTACTATTGCTAATCTATGAACCCAACATCCCCTTTATTCGTCTTATACGAGAGATAGTGGATACCATAGTCTTATTTATGTCTTTGCAAGCCCGGTGCAGCCGTCTCCGAGCGGGGCTTGCCCTCTCCCTTTTCCGCCCGGGATGTCCTTCTGGAGCATAATAGCTTCACAGAAGGAGACCTGCTTATGTGTGTGTATCCTCCAATCAGAGTTCTCCACTATTGCTACTGGAGGAGAAAGATCCTCCCCGATCGTATGGACCAGGATCCGTCGCTCGGACTCCCATGCAGGACACTCAACGAACGTATGTTGCGTAGAGTCTCACTCTCCTCGACAGTGGTATCATTGCGTCGTCGGTTCACGTTCAATTCTGTTTAGGTGCTCACCAAAGCATCCAAGGCCGGTGAGTGCGTCAGCCAAAAGGTGACGAGCGCATACCCGTCGCACTCAGCCAGGCTTCGCAGGTCAACAGGAGCGCTGGTGCAGGTTCCGTGGCTCTTCCAGCCTCTCGCGTCAAAACTTCAGCGCCCGTGCGTGCTCCTGCTTTCGCACTTTTCCCGCTTCCAGGGACTCGGTATCATCTCGTGAAGAACGGAGAGGAGTATAGACTCGAGTATCAATCTCCGCCAGAATGTGCAGTGGAGGAAACCGAGCTAGAAGAGTGGCCGCCTCAAAGAATATATTAGTACGATATCTTCGTGCGATTCTGATGCCATCATTCGTTGCAGACTTACTTACTACTTAGCTCTGCAGCGTCGGCCGCCCGTTAGTTGATGAGACCATACAAGCGCACCATAAAAGGTCATCGATCGCACGACCCCCGCACAAAGGCGGCGGACACCTTCCCTGGGGCCCCCAAAATTTGGCAGCAGTTTGTACATAGCACCCACTACCTTCTCGATCCGAGGATCCAGGGGACTTCTCAGAACCTAACAAACCTATCTCCTTAACCAATGTCCAAAATCTGTACGGAGCCAACAAAACAACATGACTGTATACAATATAGTGACCAAGGTTTCAGTTTCGCTTTAGGCCAAATTTCAATGTATATAACATTGAAATTTTCCTCTCAATCGGCGATTAATATTTGTATTGTATCCGGTACTGTCGGGTATCATATTCTTAGGTTTCTTTACACTTAACATTTGCTACGAAAGAAAATACTTTTACAGATTTTAGCCCCTGAAGAATTCTATACAATATTCACCAATTGATATTTCTATCGGACTCTAAGATTTGATTGGCGTAATAATTGTTAAAAATCTAAGTATACTATACGTGTCCTTTAATACACAACTAACTACCATTGCCATTTCGCATATCGTTATATAAAATTCTGGTAAGACATCAAGTATGGAGTTAAAAGCTAGCACGACAGATTGGCAAGAGAAGATGAAATGAAATACAAAATACCTTGTGGAAGAAACGCCAGCAGTAAATGCAAAACTATACTTTACTTCTAAATATTTCGGCGTTAAACTTTTCATAGTTTTTGATGTTCCATTTTTTAGATGATTTCGTATAGGTACAAAATTTATACATATGCATAGTGCCGATGTTGGATAGATATTTCATTTACCACAAGTACTATTAGGGACCATCGTTTATCATCATCCCCAGTTATCGAAACTTTTGCATTTCACGGGATAAATGCAATTTGAGCATGAATGGAGTAGCTTAGTAAGTTTTATATATAACAGTAGCGGACTGGATATACGTTGTACACACGTCTGAAATTTCGAACTTTTTTGAATAACTTTGTGAATCTAAACTATCCTCGAATTAACCTGAACACACAAAAAATTTCATTAAAATCGGTCCAGCCGTTTAGGAGGAGTTCAGTGACATTCACACGTACAAAAGAATTACATATAGATAAAGATAGACTGCAGAAAATTTATGTTTAGCGAACACTGGGTTTATTTTGATTCACATAAAGTTCTAAAAGTAAAGTAAAGAAAAGTAAAATAACAGCCTAAAGATACATATTCCACTGCTGGGCAAAGGCCTGCTCTGCACAGAGGAGAGGGTATTAGGGTATAGTCCACCTTGCGGCCCCATTGCGCATTGGTGAACTTCATATATATTCGAAATATGATTTTTTATTATTATTTTGAAATATGCAGGTATTCCTCACGATATTTTCCTTCATCGCTAAGCACTTGATAAGTCAGCTTATATTATATTGCTCGAGTACATTAAATTAAAGGCGAGTGCCTGGACAATGAGCTATTACGGCTTCTAAAAGTAGAAGTAACTAAAAGCCAAAATAATATTGAACAAAAATTTAGACCAATAAATTCTAATAATTCACATACTTTTAAAGAAGGTAACAGTACTTTACGTCATTAATACCTAAGCATACTTAATCACCTATTTATAAAGACAATTATTAACGAAATTTACTGGCTTGTCAAAACAAAGAAGCGCATTGCTTATCGAACGTTAAATTCGTTAACGTCTCAAGAGCAAACATAATCAAGCGACCAATCAGAGCATTTAGATACCGCGCCTATCTACGAAAATTACAGATATTTCACCGAAGCCATTGTTTCCAATTGTTATTGTCTCATAGAGTTGATAGGAGCTCATCGTTTCGTGGCAGAAGGACGCGTGATAAAAGATTACCGCTGCAGCAGTACCATTTGATCCACTGTCGAGTAAAGAACCTCCCCATGGTACACGAAGGACTACAACTGGGCACTAAAGACTAATTGAATCAATTCAACGAGTGCCGTCCGCCGCTGATTGCGGCCCCCTGGAAGCAAGTAGATGTGACTGCCCTTAGTAATGCCCGTTGACTCCAGAGTGCTATTTCGTGTTTGAGTGATCGAATTGTGCGTCTCAATGTAATACTGTGAAAGTTATATAATTCATACAGAATGATAAGGTAATTCATAATATTTCTATTTGTCTCTTATACGCTACCATTTATTGCTATTGCCTTTAACAGTAATTTTAAGTCCGGTCTTAAAAACATTTGATGACTTTTATCATAATATACCTATTTACATGCTTACTGAAGTCATCACTAACGACGTCACAAATATACCTTTGGAAAATACATTATTGAGGCATTTATTTATGCTTGGAAACAATCACGTAATTTTTAATCGTAATTTTTTTTTCACATGTATCTTCCAAGCTAATGAAAATGTTTATCGCATTAATTTTAAAAACATTTCTCAACCTTAAAAGTAATCGCATTGCTTTCCAGAATCATTTTTCACAGCAGAGGTATAGGGTTTATAACTGCAACCAAATGTAGCTCTTGAAAAATGTTGAGAAAGCGAAGCAATTTTTTTTATTATAAAAATTAGATATAACACAATATATAAAATCATTACCCCTAATGAAAGTGATCGGTAATGCTCCAGATAACATCATCATTTCTTAAAGTCGTTACGAATACATTAAGAATACAATGTTCATAAAATTTCGTTTGTACTACCTTAACATTTGGCGATTTATTGAAGCAACTGTAATGATTTCTTAATTTTACGCGATTACTGCACATTTTCATAAAACACTTTAGTTATCATTTGTTTATCATTTTTAGTTCATATTTATCATTTTTTTTCCTTAATTGCAACTCCCGGTATTTCGAATACTTTACAGGTCACCAGATAGACTGTGGTCTCAGTTTGGTTTAATTAACAAAATAATTTACAAGTTATCTAATAACTGCCAAGAGAGATTGACGCAACTACTTTATAACATTAAATACGGATATACTATAATTTGAGACGGATTTTAACATAACATTTTAGTGCTTTTGTAGTCATTATTCATCGTAAAAAGACTTTATTGAATTAACTTTAACGACAAGTACTCGGGAGCTGAAGATTATATTATTGACTGTGTAAGAACTTAAACTTATAGGTATAACTGAAAGTTTTTTCTCTAGAATTTGTTTCACGTCATTTTGTTTAAGAAAACGTGAGTGTGAAAAATGAAAATCTAAACTAATATCGAAATATTTCGATGGTTTTACGAGAAGCCCATAGTACCATTGAACCATTACAATACTATTAATCGTAAATTACATTGAAACACGTATGAAGTTCTACATTTGATTTAATATATTGACAAACACTATTTAAAATTAAAACTATTGAATATTCCTTGTGCTCAATTGGGTAAATTATATCAACAAAATATCACCCATATTTTGTTGGTATTAGGGTATCAAGAAATTTTTGTTACTTTGTAATAAATACCTCGCAATTTCAAACAAACAATGTAACATACGATAACAAGGTTATCTTATTAAAAGTAAAGTTATAAAGAAAAGAGACTAATTTTCTTTTCATTTTTTGACTTCACGCCATGAATCTGTGCATTATTCTTATGCTCTTCATTTCGAGGGGCGTAGGCGAATCATAAAGATAATCAGACAATTGGGGCCGCCACGCACGTTGCGCAGGAGTGTCCCTCACAATATGTTGTCAGTTTCCGCTGCATGGATCACTAGAGCGGTAAATCCCAGCCAAAATATTACTTAAGGATTCTGGAACGAAATGCCAGCAAAAATAAGTCATGACTTCCGGCATCATACTTCGCAATATGACAAGTAAACGGACCCATTCTGCGAACTCTGGAGCTGCCCCGCACTCGGAGTCAATTAAAAGAAATTAATTTGACCTTTTAACAATTAAGACAATGTCTGTAAGACCCCCGAAGACCAATTGCAAATGAAACCCACATCTGTGGTAAACAAGGCACATAAGGCCATGTTACATTCTTCGTATACTTGGATGTTAGTTGACATTAAGAAGGAATTGGCAAATACTTAGCCAAGAACAAAAAATATATTATTATCAGAAAATTTTTCATTTTGCTATCAATTTCATTAAATAACTGTGCCCGCGACCTCGTCGGCGTGGAATTTAAAATAAAAGAAATCTAAAATAAAAGTAGCCTAAGTTACTTCTTATTACATCAGCTATCTGCCAGTGAAGATCCCGTCTAAATCGGTCCAGCCGTTTCAGAGATTAGCCGGAACAAACAGACAGACATAGAGACAAAAATTGTAAAAAATGTTATTTTGGTATATGTACCGTGTGCATACATCCATATGCATTTATTATTAACAAGCGGTTATTTTAATATTACAAACAGACACTAACTTTATTTATCTGTATAGATGATTTCACCGCAATTCTAGAGAGATTGAAAAGCCCTTCTTGTCTTATTTTGGCACAATCTTAACCTTGATCGTTTTATCAAAATACGCTATATTTTTAAGATAAAAATAGATTTTTATATAATTCATTCCAGAATTATAAAAAAATTAAGAAAAAACTTGCAAATATATGCTTTATCATTTTGTTTGATCTTTATGAAGGAAATAATATAAAACACTGTTGAATTCAAAAATAGAAAAGTCAAGCTTTTATTTTTATTAAAAAAGTATATATTATTATGTGATAGTTTTCTTCTGTTTTAATGAATTCGTAGCTTAGAATTGTGCAACGTTTAGTGCATGCTCTACGACACTCTAAGTTAATGCTCTAAGTTGTATGAGTTTTTAGTTTTACTTTTTGGAACCAAAAATTAACTGTTAAATTTTAAGCAAGCTCTCAAACTCAGTACTGGTATTTCAATTTATATGTATATGATATGTATGTAAAAACCTTACAATGGAAAAAGGGCGATGCTATCAGACTGTGGACGAGTGCTTGTCACTTCAAAGCAATTGATTGCGCGCTGCACAACACCATTATTCTATTACTTTAAACCTACTAATTTGCTAATAATTTAACCTCAATTATCTTCATTATCTGTGCTGACAATGCAATATGAATAACATGCCTCACAATGTCAACGTGTGACGCGGTTAAATTATAGGTGCGGCAAATACTAGGGTTTTCAGGAAATGTTTTCACAGATATTCGTCATTCGCGTTACGTTATAATCTTCTCAGCCATTTACTATACTTTTAGCGACAAGCCACACTTTGCGAAAATGACTAGGAAATATTACGGGCAGAACCGCAGCACAAAAATCTCAACGAAAAATTACATTGTTTTTAAATCATTTTGGTACAATAGGGGGCAATATTATTAATGGTCAACTGCTAATGTTAGCTAAGTCCCCCAGTAGTTTTTAATTGCAATCGACGTAATTAATTAAGATAACATTTTTGGATAAATGTAACTGCATAACGACTGCATTTTTAAAATTGAAACAAATGAATTTTTGTTACATTTACTTTCACTCAGAATAATCTGTGATTTAAAATAGTTAATTTATAGATAGCCAATACAAACTGTGTAAATTTTTAACATTATTAGATTCAACAAATTTTGAACTGTTATTGGTTTATCAACGAACTACTTATATTTTTGACACAATATTGTTAAGGGACACAAGCTGTTCATATGATTTATCATATTTTATCGCATATTATGTCGTAGCGTACAACGAACAGTTTTCGTAACACGAAGATAGTAAAAATTGAAATACGACCTTGAGGAGTGTCTTAAGCAATAAGTTCAATTTAGATATATCATCAACCCGTAATCCGACTATACGATTGATTTTTTCAGTAAAATTAAAATAACGTAAAATGGTACCTGCCCGTATATTTCCTTGTAGGCATTAGGTAATTTATCATAAACAAGATTTATTTAATTCCGATTATAATACATTGTATAATATATATTCTTTTTGAGTATTTATTGACAAAAGTATTTTTTTCTTATGATTTAAGTAAAAACTCACCCGGAGTATATAAATAAAAAAATCAGGTTGATATAAGTATTATTATTTCTTTTAATTTTTTTAGAACCCTATTTTTTAAATATGTTCTACGGCATTGTTAATTTTTTGATGATCATTATCCGTATTAATTTCATAAGAAAAAGGAATTTTACACTGCAGATCGTATACAGTATGTTATTGTAACTATATTGATATTTATTTATAACATAAACGTGCTATACTCAGACCTTTGGTATCAAAGGTCTAATGATAACCTCTTTCAAGGAATACATATTTAGGTACGTGTCTTAATGAACTCCCTGTTTAATAAGAACATCAAACATTTCAAACAAATTTTCGAGAACTATAAGAATGTAAACATTTTAAAGCTGATTCATCGAATATTTAATTAATTCATTTGTTATAAAAATAACATATTGACTTAAAATAAGTAATAGAAAATGTTAGTAATAACAACTAACCAATGTTATAACATAAATAACAAGAGTTTGCGACCTTTTCGCCTCTAATGATGATTCATGAAAAGCGTCATAAAAAACGAAATTAGTCATATTATTTATCGGTAAAACTGATAAAATTTAACTGATTTAAAGTAAACACCACTTCACGGTAACAAACGATACCACCTGTCATAGATATGTTACAATTGGTGTGATCAAATGCTTTTTATTTTTAATGTTATTCTACCTGGCTTAGGCTAATTTTTAATGTTCAAATAATATATGTACCTATATATATTACTATAACAAGTATACATCGGGTGAAACTTCACTCCATTGCAACATTTTATTGTGGTGGATCCAATCTACAACTTTTGCTGTTGCACAAACAGGCAACCTCGTGTGGTATCACCATAGGACCAGCGTAAAGTGCAAGTATTATACTTTCGCGTTTCATCTGGTGAGTGAAGTAAATGGAGCAATTCTTTTAAAATTCGCCAACGCGTCTGCAAACCCTCAGGAGTCATAGCCATATTACCATATCCGTATACTGCGGTATTCACTTGAATCAAGTGAGCCCCTTGCTCGTTTGACAACTTTTTATATAAAAAACACCAATAATTTCAGATTATCCGGCTGCTTGTTGACCTGCGCCGTGCTTTTAATCAGTAATATCTCGTGCAAGGAATTGACGGAGCTCGAAGTTCTATCCTCGCAACCTACTCGATGCACTTATGAGCACGCATATGACATGTACGGGGCCCATTGTGGTGGCCTCCGACTCAGCAAGATTCCATCTCTTAGGGGTGGTATAGAGGTATGTTCATCTTCAACATTATAAACCCTATCGATACAAGCTGGTTTTGTATTTTTTTTAAGAATATTCGTATAAGATGCGCGCCAAAAAGCAACACTATGATGTCGGTTACAAAGCGATCAACTTCGCATAACTTTACGGTATTACCATGACATCCTTTCAAAAGAACACCGATTCCTCCCAATAATGATTCGCGAAACTATTGAAATAAAAAAAAACACCTTAATTTCAATAGAGAACAGGGTTCGGTGCTACCATCAGCTTGGGATCCTATCATCAATAAAAAGACAAGATACAATTAGCTCTTTCTGCATAGATCGGACACATAATTTATAATTTAAGAACTAGACGTTACCAGCCCGGGTTAACAATGCCATTCAGTCGTCTAACTCCAAAGTCTGTCCCATGGCCAACGCTGTAAGGGATTCGAAACGTCGCGACGTCGCGAATTTTACGGATTTACCGCGTTTATTTTTACCGACGCGTCGGTAAAATTAGTTTCAATACACGCACGCACGCACGCACGCACCCACGCACCCACGCTCGCACGCACGCACGTACGCACGCACGCACCCACGCACGCACGCACGCACGTACGCACGCACGCACCCACGCACGCACGCAAATTAAATTAATATTTATTTTATTTTAACAGACTATAAATTGATAAACTTTTATATTATACGTATTATAATTAAGACAATGTAGTGCACATGATTTATACGATGTATAAAAAATATACATTGACATATATATACAGCGTGTCGTTACCACCGCGACAATAAATGAACACACGTCTATATATATAAATGTATATACTATACATAGGTCTCATATTAGTAAGGTTGAAGTACATAGATGTAACTATTCACGAGAACTGCTGCCAACAAACTGCATCACAGTACTTATGTCATTGTACTTTATTACTTGATTAAATAAATAAAAAAAATATTTAAATAGTTTTTCATTCTTCAAACACACTTTCTCAAATGATATTTTCACACATCATATTTGAAAACTATAGACACGTCGCCTTTCGTGTTAATGTTTGTTTTTTTAGGTCTAATCTAAGACGCGCGTGCTCTTGGAGAATTAACTAAAATACAATAAAACATAGTAGATGGATGCGGACACATGCGTATAATGCAGACACGGCTGGATTCGCTACTCTGAAGGCATAGGTTCGAATTCCGTCAGCGGGGAAAAAATATTTCAATTATTATCTGCATTTTGATTTTCATCTTCAGAGACACTGAGAGTGTAGGGATCGAACCTATGACTCGGGGTGCCATTCATGGTCATTATGGCAACCATGAAATATTACGTTATTAATATTTTTGAAAGCTGTATAGAGTAATATTCAAATTAAAAAAAAAAACGTCATTTCCATGTTATCTTAGTCGCAACAAAATAAAAAGTTGCAATACAATTTATGATATCATATGATTTTAAACAACAACCGATGTTATATTTCGTAACCTTATGTTAAATAACATAAAAAAGAGCGTGCCAACAATAATGTTAATATAGTAATCATAGGACAAAAAGTATATTATTAGACTAGCCTCAAATAACCTTTGTTTCTCGTATTAACCATGCACATAAGAGAGTATTCTCTTGTATTATCTCAGGACCTGAAAATGACCCTTCAAGAAGACCCCGACATAAGTAGGTTTTTTGTGGAAGTAATAAAATAAAATAAACATAGCCATAATCAATCTATATTTATTATCTTAGAGAAACATACTGTATTTAAATAGTACAACTATTAAACCATAAAATTGTTACAATAATATTATGAAGAAAATATGTTCTCGTGTAATAGTGTAACACTAAGAAACCATCGTTGAATGTACATTATTTAATGATGTTTTTTTTAACCCTTTATTCCTTTATTCTCAGCATAAATACAAAAAATAATTTCTTAATATATAGGAGAAACTAATAACGAAAATTTTGCGAAAATAAATTAAACATTAGATTCATCAAAGTTAATTGACGTTAATACGATGATGAATGAAGAAATAGAATCTTAATTGGGTAAAAACTTGAAAATGAATAAATTAATTTAAGATAAATCGCTTTTCAACAATCGCTATCAACTTTTTTCTACCTTTAATTTATTCGCAAGAAGAAATAAGAACAAGTACGATTTATCATGTCCTTATGACTTAGCTGGACACAAGCTGAAATGCTCCAGTTCGTTATCTCCAAATATTGCATTCAGTTGCAATGGTGTGACACTAGACAATTTCAAAATTGTTCTTTCATTTCTACTTGAGTTTAATGTTTGTATGGGTTTGTACATATTTTATTTTACGTTTAATGCATCGAATAATGGTGTTGTTACAATTTTCCTTATCAAGATACTCATCGCTATCTTATCTATCTTCATTATACTTCGGCCCGTTTTAATTGGCGGTATTGTCACATCATTTTATAAAGATAATGCCGGTTACACTAATAATCTTGTGTACATAGCCTGGAAAAAGTTATTAGAAGAGTTTGAAAGTATTGTGTCATGACCTTGTCTTAAATATATTATAATATAGGTAATTTAAAATAATATAATACAATATAGGTAATGTAATATAATATTATATTCGTAATTTTATAACATCACTTCTTAATTCATTTCATTTACAAGATATGCAGCATTACAGAATGATAGATAGAATATTTAAAACCTGAATTAATAAATAAATTGTCGTAAAGACGATATTACCGAGATAATAAATAAAAATTTATTGTCTATTACCTATATTTCAAAGTTTTTAATTAAACCGTTTTCAATATTAGGTATTTAATATATTCTAAACGAATAAAGAGTACTGGCACAGGCGATAAAATTTATAATAATTTTTCTCTATTTACACTAATGAAGTATAAGTAACTTCTTAAGTGCGTACACAAGAACACACATTGCTTTTTTTTCTGACGCTGCGTGATTCGCACTTGCGTCTCCTGAGTAACACACTCTTTCCAATACTTATTTTTATTAAGCAAAATATATACAATACCTTAAAACTTGAAAGTATAAAATAATTCAAGTTCTTTTTTTCAGATTCTAGACTTCAGTGATAATAAGTTGCAAGAATTACACTCGGACACCTTGGCCTCTTACTCCAGCATAAAATACCTTTATTTGGCCGAAAATCAAATATACATGATCGATAAAGACGCGTTCGCGTCCTTAACATATCTTCAGACGCTGGATTTATCGAAGAATGTCATTCTGGAATTACCAAATTCCATTTTTCAATTGCCGTCTTTGCGAAAGCTATACTTAAGTGGAAACCCTTTGCTTCACTTGAGCCTCAAGGATTTAAGTATAACGAAACCCATCCAGGCGCCGCTGGAACTTTTAGATCTATCAGATTGCAAAATAAATCAGTTACCAGATTGGGGAGTGTTACCAAATCTGATTCTTTACAACATTTCACACAACCCGCTAAGAACGCTCGAAGCTCTACAATTCAGTGTCATGTGCAAGTTGGCAAAGGTTGATATAACAGAATCCATAGACACAATTAAGATATGCGAATTAAAAACTACGATCACTTGGTTTCAAGAAAAACGCGTACACTTTCAATTGAGCGATTATACTAGATTAAATTCAAGGGGTTAGTTACATTTTTTTAAATCATTGTTCTGACTTAAATCCCGTAACCATTAAGTTCTCTTATAATTACATACACAAATACTTATCCCGTGTGGGAATCGAACCCACGACGCCCAAGCCAATAGCTTAGCAACGGTGTCACCGAGTCACCTAATTTCCATGTCTAAATAATTGTTAAATATACTTAAAGAACTCTAATAAAATACAAATACAGAAGTGCTTATTATTCACTCCAACTTACTAAATGTGCTTAAATCTCTTTCAGAGTTTGAAAATTGTCCCAAATCAGAAATATTTGCAACACTGAACGCTAGCTATCACCAGTGTGAAGCAGTTTATACACAGGTTCGTTTTAGGTTTATTAATAACATTTTAGTCTTATATATTTTACAAAAAGGATGGACGCCCCATCTAATAAGCAGCCCAAAATATGTTGTATTTTTAACTCTAAAATAGTGATCCGAATTGGTCATAAATGGTCAGCAATTTATAGCAATTGGTCTTTTTACATTAACTAAAAAGGTGAAAACTGGTCAATTGGTCATTCATCATTTGGGCTGCTTATTAGATGGGCCCACGCAAATGATGAAGGTTAACAATGCATAGACCCCATAGTGACCTCGTAGTGGTTCACGTATTTATGTTTTAATAAGCATGTGGTAGTAAAAAATAACCTTCATGTTTTTAAAATTTAAATCCAAGATTCCAAGATTTGAACTCTACCTGATAGAGAAGATTGGATAAAATTATTGAACGAGCTCTGCTCGAGTGCAAACTTTATAGAAATTTCCGATGACAAGAAAAGTTTTATGGAATTTTATTTTAATCTTATTAATTTCACATCGCAGGTTCAGAACGTTAAATCGTCCCGACGCACATGGCTGACTATAGGCGGCGGTTTAGCTGGCTTCCTTGTAGGATTCGTCCTTCTCTTGTACATAATGCACAGGCATAACGTCGCGCAGACGAAGAGAGCAGTGAAGAACAAAAATAAATTGGCTGTTAGGGATAAGAACGCTACAGCTACTCTTATAAACGTCTCTTAGTATATTTTCCAAACTTTAACGGTGTTAATAAACTCTCTTTGACACTCATCATTCCTGAGACTTAGTTTGGCGCAGGATGACTTTGCTTGCTTCCTATTTAATTACCAATCGGAATTACCTATTTAGTCTTCGCGCATTTGCATAGCAGTTGCAATCATTGTTCCAACTACTACTACGAAGTGTCAATTTCTTCGATCATTTTCGCTTTCCAAAGTAGCTATCGCAATCACCCGACCGCTTTCGCTAAGACATCAAGCAAAGCGATAGTAATTTACATGTATAAAAATAAGTATCGCCAACCCAATTACGAGAGTACTCAGTACAGTGGTAGTGGAGTCAATGCCCGATGTTGCCATGGTAACGCGCGATGACTAGTAGGTTTCGTTCGTTGGGAAAATGTTGGAAAGTTTTTGACTAAACGACAAATATATTATGCACCTGAATGGCTTGTGTATATACATATTAACTATACTATAAATATGTGATATAAATTTAACTACTGCGATGCACATAATATTATTATTGATTACCTAAATCGGACTACCAACCTATTACAAGCGTTTAATTTTGTAAAAATTGTAATATTACAGTATTTTATATTCTGGCCAAAGATTGTATTCAAAGATTTATTTCAAAGATTATGTTCAGATAAATAAATTCCGAGAATAATTCGGAATGTTCATATCATGTTTTGATAATATTAAAAAGAAGCGTTTAGAAGATATCTAATGCTGATAAAATGATATAACAAATAAAATTTTGTTGAAATGTTTTAAAATATTTCATGTTTACTTCAAAGTTCTTTATGAGTTTCTGTGAATACATAAATCGTTTATTCTTCAAAGAAACTCATTTAGTTGTTTTTTAAATTAATTAACCAAATAATTAAGTTTCAAAAACAATTTAGAGGCTTAAAAAGGCTGACTAGGTTTACTAAACTCCCTGTATGTATAAAATAATTTCATAAACCATATTTTGTATATCTACTAACGTTTAAATATTAATAGCCATTATTATAATATTGGTTTGTTTTAAATTTTTACTCACTTCATGTGCTGGAGGAGTACTATATATAATATTGACCATAGAATTAAATCGTTGGATAATCCTTTAATTAACATGCATGATATTATTAAGTACATACAAACAAAATAAATTACACAACGTTGATTACTTTATAGGACGACCGTAAACTAATAACTAAACGGAATAATTTAACGAATTTATATTCTGGTTGGTACTAATTGCTTACATTGCATTTGCCAAAGATTGTTAATGTAATATTCTAGATATAATATACAGCGTGTCGTTACAACCGCGACAATAAATGAACATACGTCTAACGCTACATGACAATAATCATAAAAAAATATAAAATATTAAAAAAAATATTTTTCAAACTAAATAAATAAAAAAAACTAAATTTGTAACACGTAGACAACTACAACTGACTGATTCATACATTCAGACTTCAGAGACGATTTCATTCGTTGCCAGCTGGCAACAACTGAATGTATATATGAAGTATATACTCTGAAGTCTGAATGTATTATGGAGGGTAGAATAAAGGAGGACCATCTCAGTGTATTAAAAAGTGTCCGTTGAAAGGGAGCAAATTAAGGTGGCGCTATAGTAGCAAGTGGAAGAATTTTAAATAGAGCGCCACAAATTATTAGAGTAGGATACTAAATTAAAAAAGGAAAGAAACATTTCCGCTTTGTTGCAGCGCAATTTTTAAAATTTTATTGTAATATGTAGACAAAAATGAGTATGGAATAAAATTAAAGAAACAAAAAAATTAAATTAAAACTACAGAAGTCAAGAGAAATATTAAATTTTTCAACCCAGCACACTTCACTCTGCTTATAACTGCTAAGTTCATATCATTTCCACTAGTTACACTAGCGCTATTTCGGTGAGAGTTCGAACAATAATTTGCTGTTTACAAGTGGACACTTTTTCGACTCCATACGAGACGGTCCTCCTTTATTCTACCCTCCATAGCCACAACGTCGCATTACAAGTCTCTTCTTCAAATGAACTTTACGTTTTAGTTTTCTAAGTAAGGATGCTCTAAAAATGTTTGTTTTGTAAAATTTTATAACACTGTAAATATTTTTGTTTAAAAAATGTAATTGCATAATACAATTTTAAAGTTATTCTCTATATGTGTGTTCATTTATTGTCGCGATTGTAACAACACGCTGTATAATACGATTAAGGAAACTTTATGGTAGTTACTGTGATACTGAAAAATATAAATTATTTAATAAAATCATGTTTCTTTTTTAATAAAACACCTGTTTTCATGTTAGTCACAAAGCAATGATACTTTATACTATAGATTTTTATACGCTTACAAAATCACCGGTCAAAAACAGTGAGGGTATAAAAAGGATAGCTTAATTAAAGCTTAGATAACAGAACGGCAAGAGTTTTTCACTGTACCGTAAATGTACACAAATCTTACTCAGGAAACCAATCATGAAATCATAGGCATATTTTACATATACCTACTCAGCAAATTCTTGAAACAGGAGGTGAAAGCCGAATGAATGTTATGATTGAAGATCATTTGAGAACTAATGAAAAGTATAAAATGTGGGTAAGAAATAACATACTATGTAAAAAAAGAAAAATATTCAGTTTACATAAAAAAGTCTTCGAAAAAATTATATTTAAATTTCTTTTTCTTCTTTTCTCTATTCTGTTTCTTTTTTTTTTTTTTTTTTTCATTTGATTTGGAATGGAGACGTTGTTGTGAATTTGTCAATTACAGTTTAGATTTACGCGATGATTAAATCGAGGGCCTGTTGGATTAAACCACAGACTAGTAAAAGAAATAGTTATTTAGGTAGTTATAGTTAAAAATAAGTTAATAAATAATTATATTAGCACTCGCTACGTTTATGTAACAATTTTAATTTGTAGGTACTCCTACGTATGTACTTTGAATACCTTTTTAATTATTTTACATCAAATACCTTCTAAGTAAGTCATAAAATAAGTACATGATATTGATTTATAGACAGAAGAATGAAAACCTGCCATGAAAAAAAATACTTTACAGTCTACATTAATATTTGAACATGTTAATCAAGTTTAGTCTTCTTTGTTTACCTAACTTACACAAATTATAACATTAGGAAATATACTAATAAATCGAATATTTGCATAATTACATAATTTGAATAATTGCATTATATCCATGATATGAGATCGCTTTTATATTATTAACTTTAGTCTTACTTGGTTAATCTTTTGAAAATGCACGACAGCATTATATTATTGTAAAATTTTTAACACCGCGTCTTACTTGTCACTCTGCCTTGCGTGAACTAAAGACGAGTCGTCACAATTGGGACGTTTAACATGGCTTCACTTTGGGCGCGGTAACAAAATATCTGTACTTTAAAATATCATTGTCACAAAGTCAATAATTTAACTGTAAGATAATAACCATTAATTGCTTTTTAATCAAATATATAGCATAAAATATAAAAATAATATGATACATAGTTATAACAACGCATCGGCGTTTAATAACTATAATTTCCATGAGTGTAAATGATATTGATTAATGGTTAATAATTTTCATTAGTTTAATTACTAACTTTAACATTCTTTTCGCAAACTTCGTTATAAAAGTACGGCCAACAGCGAAATCAGAAGGCTTCTTTGCCCTTTTACTAGTATCTATTAGGCGCTAAAATACGCAATGTACATGAAAAATTAACAACACGGATATTTTTTTTTTAATTAGTAGTACGTTTGACGTTTTTTTTATCTAATAATAAATGGATCTACCATCATCTACTTCTAGTCTACACATCGGGGGATTTTTCCGTAATGAAACTGGACGGGGATTCATTAGACCGCAGAGCTCATAGGACACAAATTCCATCGCAATTACGTGCTAATACTTGTTCGACTTGGAAAATACATATTTTTTCGCCTTTTTCCTTATTTTTAAATATTCTATTTAAAAAATTACCTTTTAAATACTACCTTACACTTAAATATTAAATAATGAATACATGTTGGGATCCAATTAATTATATTCCGTAAAACCACACATACCACAATACCATATAACAAAAACGCCTTACACCAAATTTCGAAATGTACCAAATTGTAAGTTTTGTTTTATTGACATTTAAATCACCAACGATTTCACAAATGGGTAGATCAATTCAAAACGAACAATTTTCAGAATATCATGGCTAAAAAAACATAGATTTTTAAATTTTGGGCATTCACACAGTTCATCCAATTACTTGGAAACCTAGTTGGTTTAAATAAAACAAATCCATATCTCGATTTATTTATACTTATTCGACGCTAAGAATGTTCTTGCAATAATTAAAAAAAGTATTGAAAAGATAAATAAATAGTAAATAATGTTTATATATTGAAAATTAATTGAAAAAAAGAAAGGTGAAATAAATAAGGTTAAACCAATTTTAAAATGAAATATATTAAAATGAAATAAAACAAACCAAACTAAATCGTCACAAGCTAAAAGTACGTAGCGGTCAATGTGGTCACATTGATTATAAAACTGTTAAAAAATAATCAACAAATTTATATTGCAGATAAAATAAAGAAATAAAAACGGCTCTGAATAAACAGGAACAGTCCGTCCATCAGTTGACAAATTCGAATGTCCTTCTTCTACTTTCTGCAAGACGTGTATGAATGCCAGCTTCAGGATAATTCCGTTGAATGTTGTCCAAATGCAGGGAAGTATGAGAGTCATCTCAAGTATCTTTTTTCTCACTATCATTCATAGCTTTTGCTGTAGTTGTTGGCTGCGCTTCTTTTGCGAGTCTCTGTTTACTAAATTTGCCCATTCCTGGCTGATAAATGACGAGGCTTGGGCGATCCTAGAGACAAATCAAAATCAAATGTAATACACGAAACATGGATACAACTTTGAATTTAATAACCTTTAAATTAAATAAGTAAACATTACGATTCCAAATTTAAAACAGTGCAAATTTGTATAAAAAAAATCATACCTTATTCCTGATACGCCGTTCAGTGCGACGGTCAGTGCTTTCGTTTTTGTCAACCTCTTCAGATTCTTCTCTATCTGTTGATTTTCCCCTATCATTAAGAGATTTTTGGCGGCTAAGCATTGAATCCTCTGTCATTGTAGCTTCACTAGATTCTAAACTATTTCGTCTCAATTTATTGACGGTATCTTCGGTATCTTGCACTCCATCACTAGATTCGTTTTTTATTTCAAGTTGACCATCATCTAGTTTAATTTTTTTGTCTAAACCTTCAATCATTCTGGTCAAATCGTGGGTTTTAACTTGAGGAAGTTGAGTAAATGGTTTAATATCGTCATAATTGTGCGATTTAGATTTTTCTGATGATATCATTTTGCTGATTACTGATTGCTTTTCAGTTTTAACGAATTCTGTTTTATTTATTCTTTCTTTTCTTGTGTCACTATACTTCTTACTTTTCTGTTCACGAAGAGATTCCTTAAATTTATCTCTCTTATCTTTTTTGAATGTAACGTCCTCTGCTATTTCATCATCTTTTTTATCGTTATCTAGCTTTTTCTTTTTGTCTGTAATTGCTGTCCCACCAAGTTTACGTTGCTCCCGGTATGCTTTAGATTCAAACACTGTTCCATCTTTGCTCTCTTGTTTTATTAGATCTTCTTTGGAATCTGTAATGGATTTATCTTTTTCCCATTCTCTAGATTTTATTTTCTTAATATCGTTCTCTGCCACTTCATCTTCCTACAACAAAACATTTAAACAATTTTAGCATAAAGATTATGGTTTAAGGTCTATTTATCTAATATTAAACATACAAATCAAATAGTACAATAATAATACAAATAATCTAAAAGAACAACATTTAATATTACAATAATAACCTATCTAAGTATGCCTACGAAACTGTTTTGGTTTGTTATTATTATATAAATACCAACAAATACTAAGTTAACAAACAACTCTTCTATAGATATACACCTTAAAATATGTATCACCACCACTTTGAGGGCTACCACCTTGATATTCCTTTTTATCACAAAATTTCCCAGAAGTTAATGTAAAGGTGTTATGACTTTTCATTGTCAAAGCAGGAAAATGGCTATCCCAATCGGAATCTGCGCTTAGAAACTCATCAGAGCCGTGAGTTACTTTCATTTCAGACTTTGCTATGTTTGATTTAAAAGTTGATTTGTGATATATTCTTTGTTCTCCATACCAATTACTTTGATGTTCAATCTTATTATCATAACCATCATAGTAATCATTGTTGACATCTTCTTCAGATATTTCACCAATTTGCTAAATAAATAATAATTTTTGACATGACTATTTGATGACACTTTAACACATGATGCTTGAAGAATCAGCATAGCATTGTAATAAATCAATATAAAAAAAGCAGATCAGTGGTAGTAAAAATATTGACAAGTTATTTTTTCTATCATTATTTAAAGTAAAAAGCAAAGTTTTTGTCACTTTCTATTATTTCATTCTATAATTAGGAAGGAATTATGAAGAGTTACCTCCACTTATCATAGATACTTCCACCTAAATTCTCTTATAGTATGGCAAATATGTATGCTGTCATGAAACAATTTTGTTTATATTTTCATAAATGGGTAATAAAAGACATTATTTACTAAATTTATTTCATTATTACACTGAGCCAAATCGTCTTATCTTCACACCAACAAGGTTCTCAAAATATTTCACCTACATTGAATTTTAAGCAATGCTTGGTGTGTATATAATGGGTCTTTAAATTTCATCTTAAGTGATGAATAGCACAATAAAAATTACATCATTGAAATTGAGACAAATTTTATTTAAATTAAGAATTATTATTATAATTCGGATTATTATTAGAATATTTTTTTAATGCGAAAAGTTGCCAAACGAGCAGATGGTTCACCTCAGATGTTAAGTGAATACCGCCGCCCAAGGACATCTGTTACACCCGAGGATTTGCAGATGTGTTGAAAACCTTTTGGGAAATTGGTGGTACTTACCCGGATGAGTCTGCCCATACGGGCAACAGCCGAGGCTACCAAGTGGCCCCGCCACCGTAATTTACAAAGATTTCCCAAGTTTAAGGAATTTGACTATGAGTTTGAGTAATATTAGCAATGAGATTTAACTAGCTATTAATTGGTTTTATTATATTTTGAAGTTATACTTTTGGTGTGTTTGGAAAAAATTGTGAAAGTAAAATTTTTACGAATCGCGTGCACACACCGACATCCTGAAAACAACATGATGAAGTCGGTTGCAAAGCAACTAACTTTGACTAACTTCACTATAATACCATATGGCAACCAGTAGCATCATTTACCTATAAGTTGAAGTTATTTAGTTAAACCGTTATCTATTGCAATGAATGATTTTTTCACAAACAAAGAGTAGGTACTGGCACAATGGATAAAATTTTGATTTATTTTTCTTTCGTTATGTTAAAGAAGTATAGCTTCTTACATGCGTACATAAGTACACACTTAATTTTTTTATTTTTTATATTTTTCAAGTAATATTATTATCACATTCCAGTAACTGCCAGTTTTGGACAATGATGTAATACTTAAAGCAGCAACATATTGTTACCATAAATTATGCTGCCTAATTATTAAGTAATGTAATTTAATACCTTAGCTGAATTATCTTTAGACTTTCTTTCAACCCTCATCTTCCTTTTATCATTTTCTCTTCTACGTCGTTCATCTCTTCCACGTTTATCAACTTTACGTGCAGCTAAATATTCTAGTAATGGTGTAGACTGGACCTTCTTTTCATTAACTGAAATAATAAATATTTATTGACTGTTATTTATGCCAACAAATATTAAATAAATATTCAGAAATGTTTATTATATTTTTACATATACAAATATTGATGAATCCCTCGGCAATGTTGCTAAGCTGCTACATGCATATGCATTTTTTTTAAGTGAAAAGTTGCCAAGCGAGCATGTGATTCACCTGATGGTGGGTGACTACTGTCACCTATGGACATCTGCTAAACCCAAGGGTTGCAGACGCATTGACAACCCTTTTGCAAATTGGGCTCCGGCTATCTCACTCACCAGACGAAACGCGAAAGTATTATACTTCCACATAACGCCGGTCTTCTGTGAGGTTGTGGTACTTTCCCGGACAAGCCCACCCATTCGTGCAACAGCAGAGGCTGCTGCGTGGCCTTACCACCGTAGAATATATATTTTATACATATGCTTTTAGCATTATCACTTGAGAACATTGACGAAATTGAAATTTAATATTCTGAATTCCATGTGACTGAAGGGAATGTCTTATTAGTGAAATTTAGGAAATATATGCAATTATGAATAAGGTAAGTTTCGTACCATTTTATGCGCTTACAAATATTTTTAATTGATAGAAAAATGTCACTATTGAAATAACAAATAAGTTAAAATCTATAAAAAACTTGATTCTGAGGAAAATAATTAAATCTTTGTATTTCATACAAAGACATTATGATAATATGTAAATAAATAGTTAGAAAAGGAATAGCTTAAATAAGCTTTGATTATTTTAATCAAGGTTTATTACATATTGTAAACTAAAAGGATGTCGGTTTAACATTTTTTTACCTCACTGATTGGTTCATTAAGTGCACATTTTAATACATTAAGAAACCATGGTAAGCAGTGTGATGTCACCAAGATCAATGAAACTTCTTTATTTTGAAAGTAATCAACACCTTTTTGACTCAGTAATGTATTAGTATGAAATTACTACAGGTCGACTGAGACCTTAACATTGGCTTCACGGAGCTCCTTGAAATATAAGAATGTACACTAAATAAACCTAACCTATTAACAGAGGCAGGCACAGAAATTTCAGACAGGGCATACACTAAAAAAACTTACCAATGATTACACCTGAAACTCAATAAAACTTGTAATAAAAATTGTAATTTAATCATGAAAATAGCAAATTTCCTTAGTGAAAATGACTAGTTAATTATTTTTTTCTAGTTCAAGTGTTTTAATTATTTTAATAGTGACATTTCTATCAATTAAAAAAATAAAAAATAATAAGTTCAGTAAACATTGCATAAGATTGTAAACAATTAAAATGAATAACAATAAATTAAGATAAATATATTAAATGAACATTTTTTTTTTTTACTTTAATACCTACCATCATTAATGGGATAAGAGTATTCAAGTTTTGGTTGATTTTCAGATTCAGGTTCTTTACTCAAGTTTTCTATAAAGTCCTGATATATTGGGTCACTTTCAATTGTTCCACATTTTGGATCCTTCTTTTTCTTTTTCTTAGGTATTCTTTGAAATGGAGCATATTCCACTATACCTACATATTCAAGTCCTGTATAAAATCAACAAGTGAATAAGTAATTGTTGACAAAATAATATATATCCTAAAATTATGAGTAATTGACATTGAGTAAAATTTAACACACCCTTTTCATCTACAAAAATATACCCATCAAATTTATCTCTAAAGAGATATATGTCATCAACATTAACAAAATTTATGTAAGCTCTGGAATAAAAATTACTGCCGAGGGACGGATCAGGCTTAGCAAAATAGAAATAATCATGCTCGGGTATTGGTGATACTTGATCCAAGAATGCTTCCTCCGTCATATTAGGCGGTAATCGACGAAATATTATCTAGAATAGAAAATTGGGATGTAAATACAACAGCTTCACAGAATCATGAAGTTTACGAATAAATGTCAAAATCACTTTTGTCAAAGGCCGTTGAGTTTTAGTTTTCTTATTATCCCTATTTTTATTAACAAAGGTTTTACTGCCCGAATCAGATTGAGAGTCTTTAGCATCTTGATCTTCTGTCATTTTTCTCTTTTATACTTAAGAAACTTGTTCAGCTGATAGACATTATCCAAATCTTGAACAATTATTAGTGACGTTTGTCATGCGTGTTAACATGACAGAAATGTATAGTGTTACCAACTGTTCAAAAAATACTCTGAAAACAATCCAAAAACCTACTAAAATTGACCAAATTTAAAAAAAACCTTCCTAAATGTAAAATCACCATTTTTTAATATAATTATTAAGGTAAAATAATTATTTGTATAAATTAACTATTTCATTAAAAAAATATATATAATATATTTTTTTTATTATTTTAGAAATGAATTTGTTAAAAATATAATCAATAAAATACTTTAAAAAAATTTAATATTAATCATTACACTAGAAAATATACTTTTAATCAGCCATGACGTAGGCGCTTGACGCAATTAATCACCGATCAGGTGACAAATCAGTGACGTCTATTCAGCTGTCAATAAGGGTTACATTTCAGTGGATACATGAACTAAAATAACCAGTAATATTGTAAACATATCCGACGACATTTTTATCGTCCTTTGGCATTTTATATTGCTTAATAAAATATAAAAAATATGCTTAATAAGTAAAGAACAGTGGTTACTAATGACTTTAATATATCACCTCCTATCCTCAGTTACAATTTTTTTACATCTTGACTAAGACATAAAATATTCACTTTTATAGTTTAGGGCGAAAGAATTTAAAATATTACCACATAAGCCTTGGCCTGACGTCCACCAATGCAGCCAATACTTTTAAATTTTTTTTTTTCAAATAAGTAGTCCTGTGTAGTTCTTTATGGCATATTTTTAGCATTCCGTTTTGTAAAATTATTTTTTAGAAAAGAAAACTGATTAATATTTACTTACTGTATATCATATTATTACCAAAAAAAATCACGTGTTCCTTTTAATGTGTTTAATCCCGATACGTTATGGAGAAATATTTAGATAAATATCTTATTAAATGAAAAGGTATCCACCAAAATGAACGAATAAAAAAAAGAATTTTGAGAAATGGTTCACAAATGGGGGAGAAATCAGTGAACGTATTATTTAAAAAAATACATACAGTCGAACATAGAACTTCTTTCTTTTGAAGTAGGTTAAAAAGGATTTATAAAATGACTAGAATGGCGCTTACTTCATTGGCGGTTTTACTCTAGTGGTCAAACGTTCTATTATATTTGGGGCATTATTTTTAATTTTTAAGTGAATCAAGTAGGTAATTTATAAGCTACACTCGTTCGGAGTTCCCGATAGATAAACGAACTACAACTTTGGATGCTGCGACATTCGAATCTACGTCTTACGGTTTCACATCCAAACGCTTTACGAATCAAGCTGAGGGGTCGATGACCTCATAACGTGAAAATCTCGACATCTATATAAGTCTTACTATTACAGTTAAAGCCAATTATCTATTCACTATTTAAAGTTTTTGGAATTGTTTCAATGAAGTTAACGCAAAGCAGGAAGAAACGATAAAAGTAGGTCATTAAACAGGCATTCAAAGTCTTTGCATTCATATACGAAGTTAAGTACGTTTTGATTAGGTACATATATATATAAATAAATAAATATATATATATATATATATATATATATATATATATATATATATATATATATATATATATATATATGTACCTAATCAAAACGTAAACAATATATATATACAGCGTGTCGTTACCATCGTGACAATAAATGAACACACGTCTAACGCTACGTGCCAATAAACATAATAAAATAATAACGTTCAAAAAAATCCATAATTCAAAAAAAATATTTTTCAAAACAAACTAATTAAGTAAAAAAAGAAACAACATTTGTAACACCTACAAATGACTGATTCATATATTTCGAGACTTCATTCGTTGCCACAGCGTCGCATTACAAGCCTCTCCTTCTAACAGTATGTTTTGTCTCTTTTAAATTCATTCAACCATTCACTATCCTGCCTGGTAGTCCGCCGTGCAGTCCGCCGCTCTATGCAGGATCGTGAATGGTGTTGCAGGCCTGCATAGTTTCTGGCAACACTGAGCAGGATGCGCCTTGCATCCTGCAAGGGTCCTGCAAGCTCCGCCCACCGCTTGCAGTCCGTCGCGCAGGAGAGTCGGTGTTTTGGCCGTCCTGCGTATCGGCAGTGCTGCCATATGAAGAAAAAATATGCACTAAGCTTTAGCAAAATTACGCTATATTATACGAAAATATGGATGCTAACTTAGGAGTTTAGACATGAAAATGGTGAACGACAATTCAAAGAAGTTACGTATGTGGTTAAATGATAATAATTTTTAAGACGTCGAATAATTTTTTTATGAAAACTCGATATTATATTATGTGACATTTAATTATTGAGAATATGATTAAATTCTTGTTAACTTTATTTACATATTAATTTAACGTAACTTTAGTTGATGCCATCAATATTTTGCATGCTATTTATAAATTAGCTTAACATGTAGTTCAACACTAATGATTTGTGACACCTATAAACCATGTTGTACCCTAGATAATAATATGGATAGTATTAAGTACGAAGCATGAAATTTTAGTATTAATACCATTATTATAGTACAAAATGCAACTCTGCATCCGCGAAAATACTGGTCATAGACCACAGTTTTTTCCGTTCATTTTTATTTTTTACAGCTTCAGTTACAGTTTGAAAATATCGTTTTTGATACGATTTCGATACGCAATTTTTATATCGATATATCGTCCAAAAATATCGACATATTTAAAAAAATCGATATATCGATACTTTCATTGTTTGGAATTTGAAATCAAATCAATCTGAGTCTGAAGAAATAGGTTAGGAACTAAAAGAAAACAAAACAGATTTTTGCTTAGATTGTACCTGTAGAAGCAACAAAAAAAAAGCATGTTGCTTAATCTAGGGGCATGTCGCTACGTGAGACATCTAAATATATTGAAAAATCCTCGAATCTCGTGTAGCACAACTACAAACACAAATAACAATGACGGAACATCATCTATGTCAAAAGCTGGTGGCTTTGCTAAGGCATATGAAAAACAAGAAAATATTTTAAATCAAAAAGTCCAAAACCAGACATTCTCCTCATTACTTCGAAGCTCAAAGTTAATTGATGTAAGTATAGCGTTTAGTAATAATAGTAATTCTTTATTATGTCATCGCATTAACGTTATTTCTCTATTTTCTTGCAGTTAGGAGACCCTGTTGGAAAAATTGTAATAGGAAAAATTTTCCATATTGTTAAAGATGATTTGTATATTGATTTCGGATGGAAATTTCACTGTGTGTGTACACGGCCCACTTCACGTGCAGAAGAATATGTAAGAGGAGCTAGAGTAAGAATACAAATCAATGACCTGGAACTTTCATCTAGGTTTTTAGGCTCTAGTACTGATCTTACACTTTTAGAAGCTGATTGTAAATTATTAGGTTTAGTTTCTTCTCCAGTTAGAGTCACTGTTCCTCAAGACAAACAATGAAAAATAAAATAGTAGAATGTATATATAAAATCACTGATCATCAATAAACTCCATGTAGCACATTTTTTTATTTATTCCATTTACATTCTGTGTATATGAAATGTGTGATCTGTGTTTTATTATAACTAAATTATAGTTCTCAAACCTTTAATACAAGTAACATGTAGTTGAAATACTTGTACATAAAATTTACTGAATTACAATTTTAAGTGTGTTTGGGTGAAAGATCCGCACAAGTAAGTCTGCCAATCCGCAGTGGGGCCGCATGGTGGACTATGCCCTGATACCCTCTGTATAGAGAAGGCCTTTGCCCAGCAGTGGGACATGTATAGGCTGTTACTTTATCCGCACAAAACAGCTTTTCAGTGTACTTAATTTGATTATCAATATATGTTATTTATGTGTTTATAAAATACTAGCAATCTGCCCGGCTTCGCATGGGTGCAATGTATTATTATACTTATAAACCTTCCTATTGAACCACTTTTATGTAGTACAAAAATCCACATCAAGATCCATTGGTCAGTTTTAAAGATTTAATCATACATAGGGACAGACAGACAGCGGGATGACTTTGTTTTTTTTTGAGGCAATTTCACTTCATAATATTGGGCAATTTCATTACATAGTATTATGTAGTGAAATTGCCTCAAATTCCAAATTCAATGATAACCAGTTCAAGAATTTTAATAATGATTAATCTTCTGAGCCTTACTTGGAGATGGGAAGAAAATTGTTCTTTTTTGGAGAGGTATGCTAGAAAATACACTATTTAATTTTTTTATTAAATTTCTATAGTGCTAATCTCTGCACTTAGATCAAACAATTAACATTTTGTAGAAAAAATGGACATAAACCTACGACTTCCGGATTCGCGCCTAGATGCTTTGACCACTAAATTCAACTGCTGATTACCACGCTGCCGATACTGTCAACATATTTTATCTACATTGTTTTATCGTATTATCAGTACTAAAAGAATATTGCCATAGCCCTAATGATGTGCACCACAATTGTAAGATTTAGGTGTTTCGAGTGACATTTACTCAATAATTCTCCAGGATCTGTGTAAAAAGAGCACACCATCAAACTTCAGTTTTAGATAAATTTCAGGCCATAATAGTGAAAGAGATGATAAATAACAATTCTTGTAAAACCATATATGATTAGTCTTAATTAACTAACAAGTACTTGGAGGACCGAGCTTTGCTCAGTGTTTTTTTGTAAATTATGTATTTTGGAAATAAAAAAATAAAAAATAAAGAAAATGATCTGGTATAGAAAAAAAGTAAAAAAAAAATAAGTATGTAAGTCATCGTGATACAAACCACGGCCGTCTGTTTCGGGGCCACCCGATTACCGACCGAGCTATTTTAACATTTTATTTTGCGGCGAAATTTACTGTCATATTCGAATGATATTTTTCATTCCCTGAAAACAGGGATAAAAGGACATTTTCTAAAATAAAACCTAGCTAGATCGATTTTTCGCCCCCGAATCTACGCACATACTAAATTTCATGAAAATCGTTGCTAAATCGTGCTACTGTTGTTTCACTTAGTTATATGTGAGAAATGGAGTGACTACATTGTCAAAATATCTTTCTCCTTCTCTTATTTCAGTTGAGGTGTGTCCTGCGATAAATGAATCATGTTAATGATATTTGTATTATGGCTAGGTTTTTTCGGTCGGATCGGTCGCCTGCCTGACTTCAACTCTCCTTGGGAATAAACACCCAGATACTAAAGACTACACCCAGATACTAAAGGCCCCTGTCTGTCTGTTCGTCTGTCACCGGGCTGTATCTAATGAATCGCAACAGTTAAACAGTTGAAATTTTCACAGAATTGGTTCATCAGAGACAGGACAGAGTGGTTCCCTTACGACAGACATGATTTTTTTTTGGCCTTTTTACAGATTATCATACGGTATCCTTCGTGCCCGAGTCCGACTCGCACTTCGCCGGTTTTCTATATTAGATACGTGACTTTTGCGTTGCAAATACCACTTATATGTGACTAGTGTAAGGGGAAAAGGCTTGTCAGCTGTCACGACTAGGTCGATTCTACTTCGATAACACTAACTATGATCAAATATCTAAAGACGAACGTTGATTTGTATATGTGTGTGTGTCGAATGTGTTTAATATTTTCCTATGGTAAGATTAAAAAAAATTAAAGACATAAACAATACAAATAAGATTGACATAATTATATTTGAGATAAATATATTTATTTGAAGGCAGGAATGAAATGACATAGATCAAGTAGGTACACGAATTAATTTTCTAATACAATGTAATATTTATTGTCTTCATTTATGTAATTATTGAGAATACTATTTATGTTCCTGTAACATTCATTAACAGTTCTATAATACATTAAAACCAATGGAAGCATAAGTCCGCTATCCCGTATTTTTGTCGATAATCTTTAAGGATAATGACAGAAGTCGGAATGATTAATATGACTTCAGATATTTCTATTATAATAAAAGCAATCAATTATTTATCTTCAGTCATTCCGGAAACAAAAATAATCTCTATGTTACATAATATGATTAACTAAAAGTAGGTAAAAGCTTCACTCGAGACATTATCACAGCCCAAAGGAAATTCAATCCATGTACAGTTTAATAATCATTCTTACATATTTGCATTGCTTTTACTAACGGAATTGTATTCATATAACTGAACTAATAGTTTAGCACGTTTGAATGAAACTATGTGATATACACATAGTTTATACTAACTCTTAGAAGATGTAAACCAGGAATATAGCATAAAAAGGACTAGATTATATGCACTAGAAGAAAATATTTGACTTCATGATATAGTATAGTGAAGCTGTTAAACTTTAAGGACTACACAAAGCGCTTCAAAAAAAGAGATTCTTTTTTTAACTATTACAATCAAGAATTAACTGATTTAGTGAACCTAAAGATTTGCTGTATATAGCAAACAAGCTGATACCTTGCAAACTTGCAAGAAATTTATATTCATGACTTGGCACTCCTTCCTGTTTTCTTACATCACAATTCATTGTTTTTCCCATACTGCACTATTGAGAACATACTTCACATTCATAATATAAATGTGAATATATGTGTGCGTGTGTGTGTTTGTTCCAACTTCGCGCAGAACAGCTGATCTGATTAGAAATTTGGAATAGAAATACCTTATATGTAGGTAAAGCCATGGTGCATGAGTAAAAGCTATTCTTCACATAAGATTTCTGAAACTTGTAATTTTAATCAAATATGATCCTCATGCGAAAAAACTCAGGAAGTTTCAACCTGAAAATTGTTCACATTTTTACATACGTAATACTACTGCACTTTGTCACCATTTCTAGAAACAATTTCCTGTATACTTGGATCCTTAACAGCGTCGTTCGCGTCTGGTTTGACTTCAAGAATTGCGTCTACGGTCGACTCGGATTTGTCTGCAGGTTCATTTTGCCCTTTGGGATGAGCACGCTCCCATTCCTTTAAGTATTGCACTACAGCAGTATGGCCGAAGGTCTCCGCCTCATTCAGAGGGCGGCTACCCCATCGGTCTCTTGGATCGTGTGGTACAGAGCATTGGGCGAGTAAGAAATCGACGCATGACAAATGACCCTCCGCTGCCGCCAGATGGAGCGCCGTACGACCATCGTAATCCGCCAGCGTCATGTCCATGCCGGAGAGATGGTGTCTGTAAACAAAATGACGTTGTTAGCAACTATATTGTTGTTAGATAATTGGGCAAGCATCAAATAATAAAAATCAAGAATTTGTATCCATACATTTTAAAGGAATGCCACAGAAGCGTGTTTAAAAATATTTATAAGTGTAGAATATCTTGAGAAAGCTACGTGAATGCAAATTAATTCGTAAGCCTGTTTATTGTTGTGAAAATGTGGTAATATCAAAGCTAGGTTCGCATTACTGCCAGTGTTTTCGCGTTAAAAATTCATGTTTAAGAGTAGCTATATCAAATTTTTATATAGTTACTTGTGGCTTGACTATTTAATCAGTGTCTTGAGATTTAGGTGGCACTGGCACGGGAAGTAGAGACGGATCTGAGGAAGTGCTGACAAACATGATACAAACATTTGTATCAACCATGTTTCATAATATAATAGTATGTTACTTATATAAAACATGTTTATTATTTACCTTCTCAAAGCGCTAAGGTCTCCACTAGCGGCAGAGAAAAGTAGATTTACAATACTCAGTCCGGTGGACTCGAATTTGTAGCGACGTGGGTCTTTTTTATGACTGGCATAACGGATGTTGTCATACTTATGGAAGTTGAAACGCATAATGAGATCCTGTAAAATATATGAAATATTTATTTTACATGAATTTTGGTAAATGTATTTATTATTGTATTATATTGGTAATGTATTTATTAATACTTAGTAAATAGTACATAAAATTTTAATTCGGGTTAAAGTATGAGAAAAGTAAGAAATAATTTTAATTTACCAAATAAAATTATTATTTAATTTTATACTTAGACGGTTCCGTAGTGCTGTTGCCAAGGTATTAGTTTCGGTGTCGGAGGTAGTGGGTTCGATTCCCAGACGAGACAACTATTTGTGTGACCCACAGTTAATTGTTCATTAGGTACAATATAGGATAATGTTATCCTACAGTACGAGCAGAGTTTTAAAAAGATAGTACACATATTCCTATGTATCCTAGACAAATTTTATTTTATATTAATTATATTAATCTCTGCACTTAAAATGACACATTAATATTTAACAGAAAATGGTTGAATGTATTTTCGCCGCTGCGGGAATTGAACCCACGCCTTCCGGAATCGCGCCCAGACGCTTTAACCACTGAGCTAACCAGCTGATTATAACCTGCAGCAGCGAAAATGTTTTCGTCCGTTTTTACTACATTAAAATTTATGTATCCTAGACAAATTAAGAAGCATACCTCACAAAACTGGAGCCCTCTGCAACTGTTCCCCAGCGGATCTAATGGCGGAGACCAAGTGCATATTCCCATGACGTTTGGCACCACGATAAGCATAGCTCCGGATACGCCAGATTTTGCCGGAAGTCCGACTTTGAATGCGAACTGCCCGGAGTAATCGTACATGCCGCAGCTATGCATCAGTGACAAAACATTCCGTACGGAATCCGGTCTCAATACCTTCTCGTCAGTAATTGGACAAATACCACCGTTTGCCAAAGTCGCCGCCATAATTGACATTATGTCACAGTTGGCTTCCATTGAGCAACACTGAAAACAATTTATATTATTGCATTGAGCTGCTTAAAAATTAAAGTGTAAAAATGTTACTGATCATTAATCATGAAGCTAAGATTGACTGATCACTTAAGATTGATTGATTCACTTATCTCCAATCATGAAGCTTAGATTGACTCTTTATTGATGTTTGTTTTTGAAATGTTTATGAAAGCATTACTGAAATATCGGTATAAATTAAGTAAATAAATTTCCTAACGAGTTTAATCATTACTTTATATTATTTGTTTCCTTTATTTACTTTTAGTCTTGTAATTCTACGTTTCTATATCATTGTATAATATTCCTTTATATTTTCTACATAATTGTAAATAATACGTATTTGTTATTGGTCTTTACGTAATTGTAATAGGTCACATGATTGTCTTATTTACACACCTGAAAGTAAAAGTCCATGCACTCTCGGAGATTTGTCTTGTCCGGGTAGCATTTATGCTCGCGCATGTAAAAACCCAGAGCGTAGTTTCGGTCAGCAGCCTCTCTCTCCGACAAAAACACAGCGTTATTGAAACCTAAAACTTCATGACCGGCTAGTCGACTGAAGAAGGACATAACGTAGTCAAACTTTTCGGCCAGTGTCATTTCCGGTTTGTCCAGCGTTTTCAGTAAAGCGCAAACCAAAATAGCGCCCGCATTGATCATAGGGTTGTGAGGTTTCACTGTTTAAGACAAAAACAAAATGATTTCATGTAACAGTAACGTAGCAGTCACGTGTTGGCACGTGGCGCTATGGACTAAACAAATGCTGCATGATATTTTTAGTCGGTCGCGTTGCTCGAAACGAGTATAGTTTTTTAGTGATGTGTCGTTTGTTACGTATGGGCTAGATATACTCACTATTGTAATCTAATACGAGTTCATTGAAGTTTCGGCCGCTTGGCTCTGTACCAACGTACTTGTGGACTACGTCAGGGCCCAGAGTTTCGAGTGCCATGGCGTATGTTAGGGGTTTGCTGCACGATTGCAATGTAAACGGTACAGTCACGTCCCCTGTGTATATTGAAAATAATGATTAGATAAAACAATACTAACTTCTGATGTAAATAGTTGCATCACTAACATATGTCTCATATCGTATGACAAAACGATCAAAATCACGTTTAGATGTGATTATACTTATACGCTTGCATGTTTCTTTAACAGGTCTATAAGGGGCTCATAACTTATTATTTTTTACAAAATTATTACAATTCTATTAGCTCTAACGCTCTAAAAAGAAAAGAAGTTTAGATCAGTTGCAGTATGTTACATAAAATGTAAAATATTTTAACTGATAATAAATGCTTAATTCATTAATATAGTTAAAGTTTAGTTTTTACCGATTGAAAATCGTTGTCCATCAATCGTGCATACACTCACACCCCAGTTTTCCGATGACGCCCTAGCCAACTGCGGAATGTAACTTGCAACCTTTCCATCTGTATTACTTTTAGCAGCCCAATAAATTTCTTCTACGTCCTTTATAAAGTCTTGGAAGTCAGGTATGACAAACTGACTACGGAATGCACGTGTAATCAAAACAATATTAGGTGCAATCACTTCTTTAAATGTTTTTCTATCCAATTTTAATGTTTCTGGAGATCCCCCTTCAAAGTTGGACTCCTTATGAACTTTATATAAATTGTGCATAACCTCTTTGACACGAGGATCATTTTTGCGAATTCCAGTTGTTCTAAGAGCCTGAAAGTCATGTTTATAATAGTTCTTAAAAACATTTTGGTGTGTGCAATTTTTTTTATTATGTTATTTATTAAGTACTATAAATGTTTTAGTCAGTTTGAGACCATACAAAAAGTTTGTAAATCTTAAATTACGTAAAAACAGATAGACAACAGAAAGATAGACTTGTTTGACACTCACGGCCAAAAATTTTCCAACGGGGAGTAGGCCCGTCTCGTCATTTTTGAACATATCAAATAATACGTCGTCGGCATTTTTGTGGCATCCTTCGCGGACTCTGAAAATTAATGGCACGGATATTAAAGGAATTATTCCATGCTTAAAACTTGTCATGCGTTAACTTGGAACACAATAGGTGTTTGTAGGAACAAGCGATTAGCAAGACTATGCGGGGAGTCCGAAGATGAATTATGTTAATATTGTTGCATGGATTTTCTAAGTGAACGTGCTGTAAATCTATCGTCACGATCTAATAATATGATTATCGCATGTGACGCGGTAGGCGGGTGTGTCTTTGACGTAGACTTCTTACAGCTGTTCGAAACGAAATCACCTGATGTGGGTATATCAGCGACTCGTTTTTAGGGTAGAACGTGCCATATTAGCTTCCGATTGTAGATAAAATTATGGAGATTTGCCGTAGATATTTTTCATAAAAAAGGCAAATAAAAAAATAAAATTACAAAGCGAAAACACACAAATCACATATTTCTTTATTAAAAAGTTATCTAAGTCTACACACTTGGATGCAGTGGGTCCTCTATACTCACGATATTGGATCGAGGTTGTGCACGAAAGAGTAGGGTCTGCAGCATGAAAGACGAATTATCATTTTTTTATTATATATTTTCTGGATTTAATTTTTACATTTTATTGTTACTATCTCAAAAAAATATTTTTAAACTAACGTTCGTCGCATTTGATATTAAATAGAAATAAATTTCATGGGTCAATTGACTCAACTCTTGGCGCCGGCACATTCGACGTATTTAATGGGCATAGTTTAACACAGATCAATAGAAGTCGATGCATATCATTGAAAACAATTGATTTCTGATAACGTCAACTCGACCTATGCCGGCGTCGGTTAAACCTGCCGCACCACTTTTATTCGCGCACAATTACGTATATTGTTACTTACCTCATATCTATTGATTGGGCGGCGTAAAAATTTGGTGTTGAGTGACGCCATTTCTGAAACAATTTTGGACATCGTTAATGTTTCAATTCAGCCCTCACATGTAATACATGACAAGAAAAAGAAAATGCTTAAGCCCACTGATAGATGAGACATGAACGGAACGCATAGACGAAGTGTAAGAAAACGGCTATTGGGAAAACACAGAGGACACTCACAAGCCGGTCTATGACATATACTGGTCTCACTTGGCTATAGTGGCGGCTGGGGACGCATTCTGGCAGCTGTATGAGTAAGGGCCGAGCGGCTAGAAGCCTGCGAACTTGTCGCCCGTTCATCGCGACGATTTACGACGGAAGACAAGGCTGACGGGCTCCCTGGCGTGCAACGTTGACGCGCAGGCGCGGACTACATATCCCCTGCCCCGCGGATCCGATGTTCTTATCTAACATCTCTGTTTACCGTAGCTACGTAGCTTCGAGTATTTCACGAAAAACCCACTGGTAACAACACCATACATTCACGCCTACTCTTACGTAAATGATGTGAAATTCTTGATAACGATAGTGAAGGCGAAAACAAGTGATTTTTTTATTCATGAAATTTTATGTCCAATATTCACATTCTAATTTCTCAAACTATTTTAATCGTTCCAGCACATGCGACGATTTTAATAGCTGATATTAAGAGGTATTTTGAAAATATTGAGCGAATTATAATAACTAAATGTTTCTGTAAACTATCTTCTTTTTCCTTAAAAAAACTGAAGGGAAGCGATACATCCAATCAATCTTCATATATACAAAAAATAGATTTTGTATGTTTGTGTCTATATAACTCTAGCTGATGAATCCATCAGATGAATTCATCAGCCAGAGTTAATTGAATTTTTTTTGGAATTATTGGGAAAAGTAACTTGATATTTTTTCCCAATATATCTATTGAATACCTTTTATAAAATTTTTATTCCGATGTGCCAACGGAAACGAAAAAAGAAAGAAAAGCCACAGCGAAGCGTAGCCGGGTTCAACTAGGGTTTAATAATTTATTTTTAAATGGAAAACGTCTCTAATGAAAGTCAAGTTTATAAACTGAAAAATATTATACGAATGCGAAAATCTATGTAGGTTATTTTTAAATTGTAGACTGTTAGCACATGTGGATGAAATTGTAACATTGTCATCCGAACTGCCTCAACGTGACTCACATAAGTCATAATATGTACCTAGTTACACAAATTTGGCATGAGCATTGGCTTGTAGGTGTGGTTTTGCGTCAGTTGCGTTTGTTTATTGTTTGCATTACATCAAATAAAAGAGTTATAAAAACCAATTTAACTTCAAGATCATTTCAAATCATCTAACAATATCGTAATTTTCAAACTTTACAAAAGCTACTATCAGTAATTCAATTATTATAGTACAGAACAATATGAAATCTTTGTAGAAGCAACTTCACAAACAAGAAACAACTTTCCATTAGAAAACTGTCGGCGTTGTATCAACCTTAATTATATACATAGCATATTATTTACGATGCAACTTTGTTCTGTGGACGATTCTTTCATTAACAAGTGTAATTTTAATTTTTTTTATACTAGTTTTATTTATAATTTTCTTAGTTAAGATGTTTCATGTGTATATCGTTACATGCGACGAAAAATGTATTCTGTTCGACAATCGAAAGCGTTTAGGAAGTTTGTTAGATCCTGTATCAACATCAAAGCAATGCCCTAAACAAAAAATGATGACTAGAAAGGTGATGGTCACTGATTGGTGGTCTAGTGGCGGTGCGATTCATTACAGCTTTTTACAAAAAAGCATGAACATTATTGCAGATGTGTACTGTGTAGAAATGAAGTCAATGACGGAGAAGCTTTTACATCTGCAACCAGCTTTGGTCAATCGGTCGTCTTCACTGCTCCTTCAAGACAACGCGCGACCCTATACTGCACAACAGACAGTTTCCAAGCTGCAAGACTTGGTTTTGGAAGCTCTCCGACTAGCGACTATTACTTTTCCAAATTTGGACAACTTATTAGCGGGAAATGGATTCATTTCCCGTGAGGCAGTGCAAAATGCCTTTGAAGAGTTTGTTGCCTCCCGTCCAGCTGATTTTTACAAGAAGGGCATCAATAAACTACCACTGTGCTGGCAAAGATGCATATTGGATTTTTTTTATGCGAAAAGTTGTCAAACGAGTAGACGGTTCACCTGATGTTAAGTGAATACCGCCGCCCATGGACATCTGCCCCACCCGAGGGTTAAAGGTGCGTTGAAAACTTTTTGAAAATTGGGTTCCGGCTACCTCACTCTTCAAACGAAACGCGAAAGTATTTGTCATACTTCCACTTTACGCTGGTCTTCTGTGAGGTCGTGGTACTTACCCGGACGGGCCTGCCCATTCGTGCAACAGCCGAGGCTGCTGCTTGGCCCTAACACCGTCAAATGCATGCATGGATGATTACTTTGAAAGACAGAAAAATAAAAATTTTGAAAAGAATACTTTAACTTATTTCATTCAAAACGGCAATTTTATATATAACGCCTAAATGAGATTATATCTAAGTCTACCAAATAAAAAGTTATACGCCAAGCAGATGTATATGTCTTAATAACTTTATACTTAAAACGGAGCTCATAATTTACAGTTAACGGTATGAAAAATTCTAACCGATGTTCCCATTAATTTATTACCTTACTCTACAAAACAATCTGGACGTCTCGATAATGTTTATGAATTACAAAATCACTTAGAATTATAAATGCAAATATTATTTTTTACTAACATGTTAAATAAGTGCATCTTTTTTTTTCTTGAAATAATTCTTGTTAGATTTAGATTTTAACTTTTGCAATAATAAACAGTAACAGTTACCTCAAAATCATTGTCACATTCCATAATGAAACTCTCGTAGCTGTCTTTGGACAGATAACGCATTACATTTAGCGGAAGCACGCGCAATTTCGACGGCTGCGTAAAGCCGCTCGAAAATCGTTTCAGTGTATGGCGCACGATTCGGACGCCAGTTCCGCGCACGCAACACTGAGCCATTCTTTTCAGTCTATCGTTTATAAATATACGACTTCTGGGACTGCCAAGAGCGAAGTCGGAATGTACGCACTTATATTTAGAGTTTGTCTGCCTATATTCAGTATTAGTTGAGCCCGCGACTTTGTCCAGTCGCAACAGATATTGAACGAACATTTACATTACGATGGGAAGAAAATAAATAAATTAGTCTGTTGTGAGTTCAATATTTAAATTAGGTTCAATGTGCACATTAAAGATGTATGACGACATGCAAACGTTCAGAGACGTTTTAAAACAAACTTATGTATGTATATATAAAATACTCAGGTACATTGTGCATCTATTATTTTTATCGAAATACATCTCATTTACAGTAATACGCTTACTGTCATTATATTATTCTACTAGCTGTTGCCCGCGACTACGTCTGCGTGGAATAGGGGGAAGGGACAGATATCTATACATATAATAAAAATGTTACTTGTCTTTGTGTGTACATGGAAGACATTTGAGAAAAACTATTATTAAAGATCCCCCTTTATAAACGCAATAGAACCCAAAACAATGGTCGTTAAAGTTGTTGTCTGTGTGAATGTGCGTTTGTGCGCATTAATCTCAGAAACGGCTTAACCGATTTGGGTGCAACTTTCGCTAATGCATTGTAGTACTTCACTTAACATTTAGTGTTAGTTTTATTCAAATCGGTTCATAAATAAAAAAGTTATATCAACTTAAAAACAAGTAATCGCTACAGCTGAATTGCATGAAACTATAGTTAACTATAATTATATTATGGCCTGTAAAAATAAAAAAAAATAAAATAAAAATTTAAAAACCAGCCAGCGACCTCTACGGGTACTCAGTCAAAATTCACTCTCAGTTTACTTTTTTACTTTACTTTAATGTCTATAGCTGACTCCAATGTGCGAGGTAATTTAATGGGGTCTATGGCGAAATGGGTATCAGCACTAAGTCGTGTTTGGTTTTCATTAGATTATTGAGATCAAATCGTTCTCATTCTTTTTAATTCTATCGAGGCATTTTTGTAATAAATACTAAAAGGTAAATTCAATTATTTAGAAAATACTACAAAATAAGTATCTTTTATTACAAAAAAAATATCAGATACAACTTGTGAGTCAGTGTCAAAAAATAAACATAATTTCCAAACCACAAAGCAAAATAATATCCGAATAACCTAGCCGAAACAAATCTATATTCCTAAACAGTGACAAATTTGTCCGTTGGTCGCTCTAGGCTCATTAAAGATTATGAGAAAAGACTTGCTAGAAGGCACAAAAAATTAAACAAAGAAAGTTAGTACATGATATTATGGAGCCGACGAATGGTACCTACTTAACTGGCCCGCTTGATTTGTTATAATTTTCATGAAATATCGCCTACGCAAAGAAGCGTATTTGTTATCAAAACTATCAATGGTAACTAACTACAGTATCCACGGTCAGAGGACGGAGTAAATGGCAAGTGTGTCATGAATTTCAACAATTTCCTATCACCAATTTTCCCCGCGGCCTACGCGAGATTTTTTGTCAAAACCAAACCTTTGGCCGATACCGAAACCAAACTAATAATAATATAGCCTATTATGACTTTGACTAAACATATCCCGTGAAATTACAAAATAATGTTAGGACATTTTGTCGTAGCGTTGATAAGCTTTTAAAAGAACTAAAACACCCATCGAAACTGGGTTTTTTTCAGTTTATTTGGCGGTTCCTATAAAGTATTACAAAATTGCTTGTTAATATTTATTGACTTTATAAGGCAGTTTTCCTTATTTTTTTGTTTATGACGCGTCTTACCACTGAAGTTCGATATAATTATTTGAGTAAATTTGGGTTTCAAATTACATAGTATTTACATATTGTACAAACTACATCATTGGTATGGTAATACCATATATCGATAAGAACATTGATGTCTCGTATAAAATATACGCAGGCTTATGATTCATTTTATAATATCTATCTTTGAAACCCCATCTTTGGTATTCACACAAAATGCAACTGATCAGTATTGCTCTCAAATTTAGTTTAAACTTAATAACTTCATTTTATGGAACAATTTATGAAATTGAATGAATGAATGAATGAATGAATGAATACTTTTATTGTCCACCACACATAAAAGGATACACAAAATTAATAATAGACAAACAGATTAATGGAATGCACAATTCTGCGGCCTTATCGCTTCATAGCGATCTCTTCCAGGCAACCAATGGCGTAAAGGAACGTTTACTACGTAGAGGATGCAAAAATTTACACCTCATAGGTAAATATGCATCTGTATATTTTACGGATAAGGTATTTAATATTGTTAAAAGAATTACGAGTATGCTTAGTCAAAGTCTCAAACACAGAATGAACAAAATTTTCAATCGCTTTTTCTTCAGTTTTCTATTGAGTTATATAGAATTTTCTCTCTTAACAAATCGAACAAAAACTGGTTTGGAATTCCTCAATACTAGATCAGACTGAAAGCAAAGGTCCGAACAGCTGGTTACGGGGAGCAGCACGTAGTTCCTTAAAATCGCCGACACTGCCGATTTCATCTGCATCATCGCAAATTTCTGACCTGAAATTATAAATTCTTAGTTAATATAAATCATAAGTCATTTGCGAAGCATTAGGCAGTGCGCAAGCATCGGTAATCCGAATGGCGCAAATTTATTACATGTCTTCAGTTCTGTCCGGACTTATTAAATATATACGCTCAATTTTTTTCTTGAACCTAAATCTCTCCGCGGTAAGAAAACCATGCCAAAATTTTTCTTATCTAGTCATCAGCGAATACTCTTCTACCACTTCGCCACTTCTGTACCTACTAATTGCAAAACATGGTGACGTAGAATTTAATTATTTTTGTGTCAGATTTTGTATTTGTAATTAGAAATTGATATTTGTAATTAGAAAATCAAACTCTTCCGGAAAGTCTCACAGTAAATGTAAATAAATAGCCACATATTAATAACTAATCATAACACACGATGGTGTATTTTTATTGATGTCATTTTATCATTGACACTTTTAAATTTTTAACCTAGATATTGATTTTTGAACGCTATGAAGCGTAACAAGGCGATGTTATCTAATCCCAATGACGAGCAAAAGTGACGCATATACAGTCATTGGAAACTAAATATTTATCAACACGACTTGACCTATTGGCGAATGTCAGAAGAATATGTAGAAAACGTATCCTGAAAACGGCTTCAGAAATCGGTGCGAACGAACCGATACAATTCCTTGGTCCCGCGCTGAATGGCACGTAAGCATAATTGTGACGACCAGCAACGTTCTCTGGCAGGAACCGATCAGGGTCGAATTTTAAGGGATTCGGATACAAGCGTTCATTGTGATGTAGATCGTAAATTTGTATGTGACACAAAGTTCCCGCCGGAACTGTATATTTACCTGAAATGTTAAAAAGCTTTTTAGCTATTTACAATAGCGATGAAAATATACGACATGGCATGATGATAAAAAATGTAAAATTTCATACTGTTAATAACTATAATTAGTAATTATTTCCATACAAGAATGATCTTTACTCTAGAAGCAGTCTTTTACGTATTTAATTACTTTAATAAAAGTAAATAATAATAATTATACGTATCTAAAAACTTAATGTAAAATTTAAATAATGTCATAGTTTGAAGTTCGGTTTTTTGTTAAGTTTGTAAAGCTCTAAATTGTACTCAAAAACTGAATAGGTCTTTGAAATGATATATTCTGTAACATTCGTGTGCATGCCCGTTAAGTGCATACATAAACACATGCAAGCATACTCTAGTATATCTATAATAATCCTTTCTAATATTATAAAGGCGAAAGTTTGTATGTATGGATGGGTGTTTGTTACTCTTTCACCCAAATACTACTGAATAGATTTTAATGAAACTTTCCAATAATATAGCGTATACATCAGAATAAGACATAGGCTATAATTTACTAAGATATTGTATGAATTGTCTAAAATATTACGATAAGAGTCAATTAATTGGGGAAAAATTCTGCCATCTGAGAGCTAATCTGGTGTGAGCTGCAATATATGTAACTTAAAAAGTGCTGGACCGATTTCAAAAATTCTTTAACCATTAGAAAGCTACAACTTTCCCGAGTATCATGGGCTATATTACAATTAAAAAAAAATTGAGATCCCTATCTAAAATGGAACAATGTAACCCACGGTATCAAAATGTTTGCCTAAAAGAGACATTATTTTGTATGCGTTGCGAAATATAATAACGATATATAAAATAATGATCTATTTATTAATAGTTCTCATGATTTATAACAAAAGAAATCGTGATAGTCTATTCCTAACGATTATAGTTAATCCACAATAACAGTTTTTGTTTAAATTATTAAGTGGAAATATACGTGGAATCGTAAAGTGGGGATATTGGTAGTATTATGATATTAATACGTATCCATTTTAATGGTTTTATTGTGTAATAACAAATAGTTTTTAAATTTTAGACTTCAATTATTAAGTATAAAATATATCGGTGCATGGTAATTGTAAGTCATTAGACGATCGCGCCACCGTTCTGATGTCAGCACTCACCCCCCACCGCTCTACTCTGGTATAAATGTCTTTGCTCGGCAGTTGACCGGGGACCCCCCCTTAAACTTATGGACAGCCCAGTACCATGGGTACATAAAGTCAAATATCTAGGCGTCGTCCTCGTCTCCCAGCTTAAATTCGCCTAGCAAGTGACCCAGGTTAGGAACCGGGCGGCCTTCGTCCTATTATGACGTACGCGAGCCCCTTCAGGTCATTCAGAATCGATTCTTGCGCAGAGCCACGGGAGCACCCTGGTTCATGCGCAATATCGACCTACATGTCGATTTAGAGTTGCCCACCATCGCTCAATTCCTGAAGTCGGCGTCGCGCCGATATTTCGAATCAGCCGCCGCGCATCCCAACCCGTTAATCGTAGGTGCCGTCACCTACAGACCCTTACCGCTAAATACGTTCCGCCACGATTACCGCAGACCGCGACACGTTCTCGACCTCCCTGACGATGAGACGACTTTCGCCATCGAAAGCATCAAAAAACTTAGAAAGCACACCAACACCTCTGCTCGCCGGCGAGTGCGGCAAACCTATACTAGGTTCTGCCGCGTACCTGGCAGGTTTTCCCCCTTTAATGATAGAAGCGTTGCTGGAGTTTCTTCCGCCACTTCTTCTCCCAGCGCCAACGCTTTCCGAAGTGGTAGTAATGTTAGATCTAGAAAATCCCCCAGTCAGATAGCTATAGAATAGCTACCGATCGAGCTGAGATCCGGCCCTCTCGGGCACCCTCGAATTGGAATGCTAAACGCGCGTTGAGTGACAGCCCAAGGCGAGGTCCCCTCTCGGGGACCCTTGAGCCCAGTCACTACATGGAGGGCCCGCCAAACCGCCCTAAGAGTTTGGTGGTCTCCCAAACCGGTGATAATAATGGCGTGACGGCCCGAGCTGACCCTCGAGCTTAGTCACCATAAAGCGTAATAATACGCCGAGGTTCAGGCTAGACGCCTCTAGCGCCAGGCCACCACAAGTCTGTCGGATCTGTAAGAGCCCCTAAGGCCAACAGTGGCTCATCCAGCCCAAAAAAAAACAAATTCTTCCCTCAGTGGAGGGCCCAAATCCGCTGGTTCAAGCTAGCCCACGGGAAAGTTGCCAAACAAGCAGATGGTTCACTTGATGTTAAGTGAGTACCGCCGCCCATAGACATCTGCTACACCCGAGGGTTTGCAGATGCGTTGACAACTTTTTGGAAATTGGGCTCCAGCTACCTCACTCACCAGACGAAACATATTTGCCATACTCCACTTTACGCCGGTATTCTGTAAGGTCGTGGTACTTACCCGGACGAGCCTGCCCATTCGTGCCATAAACTTACAATCATCAGCATTTTACAGACCATAATATCACTACTTATTATAAAAACAAAGTCCTTCGCCGCATCTGTCTATCTATCTGTCTGTCTGTTTATGTGCTAATAACACGTCTTTTTTTTTTCGTTGTATTTTTTTACATACATTGCTATGAAGTATAAGCAAATGGATATTTACAAAACCTATAATGCCATTAATGTTTCTACTACTACAAAACAAAGCCCCGTGGTACAAAAAGATTGCTGGATTTCGGTTCTAGGCTGTACTGTTCATAAGAGTTGTAGCTTCTTAGGGCCTTAACGAGTCTAAACTCTTGGTCGTAGGTACGAAGTTCACGTAGCTATAATTGCCTCAGCATCGTTTAGTAAATGCAATTTGTACGGATTCGATACTCTTGAATGTTAAAAGTACCAAGCATTAAACTCACTGAGCTGGACATCTTCATCTAGTTTTCGGCTAATCATAGGTACCGGAGGATACAAGCGTAGAGATTCCTTTATACAGCGATCAAGATAAGACATCGCGGCAAAATCTTCCATTGCAGCGGCTCGCTTCGTATCACGGAATATCTCTTTTAGTTCTTCTACAATTCTATCCTGGAATTTAAAATTTTTTCACTTTTAATATGAGCAAAAGTGACAGTTACAATCAATAACTTTTATTGATACTTGGTGTACTGCATAAGATGATCGGGGCGTTTAAACATTTTGTTTTGAGCTTTAACCCTTATAGCTTAGCTAATTTTAATGGTAGAGTAAAACTCATCGGTAATTACAGGGTACATGTTTGTACCCACACTATTATTTTACATCTAAACTTATTTTTTTGCTTTCACCATGTCGGATTGCTTCTAATGGTGTTCTTTTGAAATCCCGTGAGAATAATATGAAAATAACATATAAACTATGAAAACCTCTTTATTTTATATAGAAAAAAATATTCCTCACTGTCCAAGGTCCAAAACCGCATATTTTGTCACTAATAAAAATAACTATATCAAATCCATACTAATATTATAAATGCGAAACTCTGTCTCGCTTTCACACCAAAACTACTGAACCGATTATGAAATTTGGAACACGGGTAGTTTATATGACGATTTTATGATTATGTTAATTTGGACAATCTTTATTGATCTAATATTTACAAGATTAAATCTATCTAAAATTACATATTATCTAATAAACCTAATCCACGCGGCATGGTGCCAAGAACGCTAGCTGCATTTCCTCGCTGAATAGTTATGCTTAACCTTTGCGCGAGAAAAGAACCAGCTCTCTTGTCACCAGCCGCGGCGTTAAGCCTAGGACATAAACTTTTAAAAAAATTTGATGTGCGGGGACCCCACGGACCTAATGTTTCAACAGCAAATGGCACAAATACATAATCTGAACATAAAGACTCATATTTGCGCCATTTACTTACTTCAGCTGCCTCCGATGCCGCCCCGGCCCTGACCGAAGTACCCCTTAGATGAGAGGCAGCCAAAGTGTCTACACAAGTGGCGTCCCAAACAAGGGCTTTGCCTCTCTCCCAAGGGATCAATGTTAAACCGTCGGGTCTCTTACCATCGTCGCGTAAAATGCCACAGGGCTCTAAAATAGATGGAACATTGATGGAAACAAGAGCCCTACGGATGATGTCGTTCAGGGAACCGTGGCGAGAAAAACGGCCAGCACTTTTTTGACAAGAAAGCCCGTGGAGACCAAATTTGTCTACACTGACACCACAAGGGCATTGGTGTGGTTGACAAATCGGTGCCCCCAGACGGATTCCTACAGCAATGCGTAAGCTTTCATCGTCAAGTAATGTGCCCAAGTTACTTGATGGTAAAGCGTGAAGCCAATAACTCGATTCTTTAGATGAGACTCCTAGGAAACGGGCACGCTCTAAATTACTTTCTAAAGATTGAAACGTATCTCTCTGTACTCTCCGCACCAAAGGAACATCCCACTGTTTTTGTAGATTTACTTCCAGTGGGATATTTTCGTTGGGACAGATAGACAGCCAAGACATCCTTGCCTCCTCTGCATAGGAAAGTTCTGAGTCGTGATTAAGGATGTTATTACATAAATTATTTACGCTATGCACGGAAGCAAGGAAGGCAGGTAGAGCGACACTAGAAATTTTCCTTACACCGATACCACCAAAACGAATTGGCAGCGTAGCTTGAGTCCAGCTTAATTCATTAAGAGATAAATTTAGAATTTTTTAAATAAATTATGTTGTATATATATATATATATATATTGTCATTACAGGTTTATGGTCATCGAATCAGGTAATTTACAATCAGACAACTTAAACGTTGGCAGCAATTTTTAAAATCATGTCCATTCGTAAATTATGGGAATAACATTACATACATTTATTAAACGGGATGGTATTATTTTCAAGTATCGCACCTGTATATAAGGATGGTTAGCGATCAACATTAACAAGAACGTCAACCCCGACGCAGTAGTGTCATGACCCTGTAAAGAACATTGAGCAAAAGTAAACAAGGTTGCCTTCACATAGTTAAACAATTTTTGTACCATGATTTGAATTTTTTGAATTTTTGTTTCATGAATCTCGAAACGTTTACCACATGAATCATTCGTAAAGTTGGTTTAAAGCATTTTATTTTCCGATCAATTCCTTCAAACAAAACGTTTGGGAAGATAGAGGGTTTAAGTAGGTTCTTAGTAAAACCTACCAATACAATTGAACATGCGAGGGGTTATGTCACTTACGCTAGTAAATGTGTCATCTTACTTCGAATATAAAGGTATCAACTTCTTCTTCAACGCCAGCGGTATCTATCAAACCATCTTTTTCTGCCAAAAGCAATAAATTTAACATTGCTGCCTTCTTCTTTTCATTATACACGTTATCGTCGTCGTCGTCATCTTTATCATTAGTGTTTTCACATAAATCAATTTCGTTACACACAAAATTCTTCCTTCTTTCATTAATAACTTTCCGGCTGAAATTGTGAATTACGGAAAGACATTCTTCCTGTTTTTTTCCTAATGAGGATTGATTGAATATGAAAGGGAAGTATAAATAAACTCTAACTAGTCTTTGGATTAATAATCGACCAAGTTCATATATTGCATTTTTGTACGATTTCCCTGACCATTCATCAGTTAGTTTTGTCCCCATTGCAGATTCTGTAAATTAAATTAAATTAGGTTTATTACATTCATCCTCATGTCTATTATGACATATTTACTCCATTGTATTAATTATTATGGGACGACATCCAAGAATCATGTCATGGTAAATGTATTGTTTATTTTTCTATTCTTCTTCTTTATTCCAAACTAATTTAAATATTTATGAGTAATAAAGGCATGATAGTAAAAATTTTAAAGCGAATATTTTATTATTCAGTCATAGTCTTTGGACTATTATTATTTTTGCATGGCTTACCACTGAGATAATAGTCATATTGTATAAAATTTAAATGTTATTTTATTGCGGTTTTTTATTTATTTAGAGAGAATATTACCAAATTCATATAGGCCTGTGAAAAAGAGCAAAGAAATAAATTAACGTACCACAAATACTATTCAGCGTATACTCTGATATGATTGGTACGACATCCACATTAACATCCAAAACTGCATTTACTATATTCACCAGACGGTTAGAATTTTCTTCGAGACTTGTGAAGTATTTACGCAAAATTTTAAAATGAAAAGCTGGTGTAAGTATCTTTCTGCGGCTTTGCCATTTTGCACCTACAACGATTAAATTAAATTAAGATAAGTAAATAAAGTAACAGCCTATACATGTCCCACTGCTGGGCAAAGGCCTCCTCTGTACAGGGAGTATCAGGGCATAGTCTCCCATGAGGCCCCACTGTGTATTGACGGACTTCACATATCTTAGAAATATTTTTTTTGTTATTATTTTGAAAATATCCAGGTTTTCTCACGATGTTTTCCTTCACCGCAGAGGACGTGATAAATCAGCACTTAAAATTAACAATTTCATTGGTGCCGGCACAGGGAATCGAACTCAGGTTTCACGAGGATATTGAATTAAAGGCGAGCGTCCGGACACCGAGCTATCACGGCTAAATTGAAATAACTAACAACATCCAAAATTTTTAATATAACTGGTTTTTACACAGTCGCGTATAGAATGTGTGTAAGGAATAACATAATGAAAGGAATGATAACGTTGGGGTTTTAAGAGTCTACAGGTCTTATGTTAAATATGTAACTAACATAATTATAACTAAATAATTAAAGCAAAACAACAAATTTCTTACCATAACTCAACAACAAACCGTCCTGAAGCCATGGTTGCAAAAACGTGTAAATGTCACTTTTTTGATTATACTTGGTGCTAGATAAAATTTTCTGCAAATATACATGTAATAATGTAAAATAACGTTTATAACAATTATAAAGAAAATTTAATGGATACTCACTTCAATATCTTCTGGATTGTAAATAAAAACTGCTCCAAAAGGGAAGCACCAGAATCTGTAAATGCCTTTATGTTTTTTTGCTAGGTCTCTCAAATATTTAAAAAGTTCCACTGCAAAAGAATAATTTTGTTACATAACGATACCGTTAAAATAACCTAAAATTCTTCACGAAAATTTGATTAGAAATTCTTCTTAAGTAAATTAGTAATGATCAAATGGCTTGGCGTTAATCTGCGGAAAAAAGTAATACCTTCCTCTTGAATCACTCCATCTATTGCTGAAAACTGCATTCAAATGCGTTACGCAGTTTAAAAAAATTTTGTTGTTTTTTTTTTTTTTTTTTTTGTTAACATTTTTCATCTTAACATACTATGTAAGTTTTTTGGAAACATACAATAAATATCACACTAAGTATGAAAATGCAATCATGAAATCATTACGTGAAATACGAATACGCGATTTTCGAAGTGCAGCTAGCCGGCAGTACTATATTCAAGTTATTTATCGTACTTAATTCCAGAATGGATCATAACATTTATTATTATGTCGCAAGATAAGAGTCACTAGATAAGACAATAAGTATAGTACTAAAAGCAGTTTTCCATAAAATTGTCTTCGACCTGTTTTTACAGCATTACTAACTGTAACTTTTCTATACAAGACTACGTTATATATTATAAATTACACATTTCTTTATTTAAATCTAAAATAAATTGTAATATAATACAAATCACACACGTACGCACACACGAATAAAATACACACACAGACAGGCATGTAAAAAAATTAATATGCGAATGTTGTTATATTTATTCATAATCTTTTGTTGTTAAATCTGTTCTTGTTTATTATTTATTTATTTTTTATTGTTAAATTGTTATTGTTATTATAACTGTCATCGTCGTCATCTATCGACCACACCAGGCTCCACTGAAAACCAGCAATCGCGAAATTTTTTCGCAATGTAATGCTGAGTGGGTGACCTTTTTGGTGCATCGATTGATAATTTTTCATTGTTTTGTTATTTTAAGTTTTTTTTTTGTACCAAATAAACATTTCTTTCTTTCTTAATATTTACAAATACTAATAACGAGTAAATACCAGGAAGATCCGTCCAGGGATGTACCACGACTTCCCAGAAGAACCGCCTGAAGTGGAACTGTTATATTTCTGCGTTTCGTCTGGTGATTAAGGTAACCGGAGCCTACTTTATTAAAAGGGAGCAACGCATCTGCAACATGAGGTGTACCGCCAGCTTACGTGCCACCTTCACCATATAAAAATATCTTAAAAACCATACCCGTGACATGGAGCTACGACTACGTGGGATGGTTTGTAAGCTTTAAGCGCAAAAATAAAGTTGTCTGCAATCTTACCTGGTGGTTTTATTATATCTAACGCATTACCAATTATAAACCGATCTTTAATGCCAGGTATTTTTCTGGTCAAAGCTGCTCTGTGATTATAGTTGAATAAAATATGCACAATAATTAATGAAGATATAGCAAATAATACGTATTGGAGCATATTGTTGGACCTGTGTTATCATTGTAACAGCACGAACGAAACTGATGTCATCAAGGAAAACAACACCTGATAAGACATATTTATCGAACGAACGACTATATTTAATTTTTATATTTCATTGTAATGGATTTTAATAAAACAATATTTTATTAAAACGTAATGTTGATGTCATCGAATCCGAATGACTCTATGGCGTATTTCCTAAGATATTGACTTAGGCGCCGTGGCTTAGATTCCCACATGCAATAAGAATCTGGGTCACAGATAATTGCTCTGGATCTGCGTATCTGTTCGCAAGGAAGGTACACGTCAGGTAGGCGGCCCGAAGTAAAAAAACATGGCCAAAACTGCTTAAAACGCGATTCACATGTGCCGACCCCACCCAGGTAGGATAAGTGCTATAATATAAATAAGAATGATGATGACCACCTAGCGTACTCAAGGTACACCGAAGTTTTTTCCGTGAGATAAGTACATTGGCCGGCCGCTCATGGTTCGCGCATCTTATTTTTTTTTTTCGCATTCGTAAACTAAATTAATAAATGTAATGACAACATTTAAACTTTTGCAATGATAGAGCTCTGTAATTATATAATTAGTCAAGCTCTACATGATATATTTTGAATTGTTCATACAATAGCGCCACTATGTCAGTCCGAGTACAGGAACAGAGCACGGAGGCGATTCTATTGCGGAGAGGTGTGAGGCAAGGGGATATAATATCTCCGAAGCTTTTCACCAATGCAATGGAAGACGCCTTCAAACTCCTGGAATGGGAAGGACTCGGCATTAACATTTATGGCGAACTTATAACTCACCTTCGATTTGCCGACGACATTGTGGTCATGGCGGAGACGATGGAGGAACTCAGCACGATGCTAGAAAGCCTCAATCGGGTTTCACAACAGGTGGGTCTAAAAATGAATCTGGACAAGACTAAAGTTATGTCCAATGCCCATGTAGTTGCCACCCCAGTGTTTGTGGGGAGCTCGGCCCTCGAAATTGTTGACGAGTATGTATATCTAGGACAAGTTGTCAAGCTAGGCAGGTCCAATTTCGAGAGAGAGGTTACTCGACGGATCCAACTCGGTTGGGCAGCGTTCGGCAAGCTACGCAGCGTTTTTACGTCCAGATTACCACAAAGTCTGAAGACAAAAGACTTTGACCAACTAACTTATTGGTCTCTAACTAAGGGCCTCCTAAAGAAACTCAGCGTCGCTCAGAGGGCAATGGAGAGGACTATGCTTGGGGTTTCTCTGCGTGATCGAATCAGGAATGAGGAGATCCGCAGACGAACGAAGGTTACCGACGTAGTCAGGCGGGTCTGCAAGCTGAAGTGGCAATGGGCAGGGCACATAGCTCGCAGAACTGACGGCCGATGGGGCAGCAAGGTTCTCGAGTGGAGACCACGTGTTGGAAAACGCAGTGTAGGGCGGCCACCTGCGAGATGGCCTGACGATCTGTTCAAAGTCAGGGGACTTCGCTTGATGCAGGCCGCTTCAAACCGATCAAAGTGGAAATCCCTAGAGGAGGCCTATGTTCAGCAGTGGACGCTTACAGGCTGAAATGATGAATGATGAAATGATGACATGATATTATTCGATGAAAGATGTATTTGTACGCCACAACATCGTGTAATAGTTTAAAATGGATTTAAAAAATTTTTATTAGTCTCAAGGCATCAGACTGCCATAGAATTATTATATTCTGGTATATAGTACATTGATTTAATTCTGTAACTGGTAAACCCAATCAGAGATACACCAGGAGTAAGTGGGAGTCCTTATCAGAACACCTTTAATATTATTTTTTTCGTGGAGGACATGCCTACGCATACCCATCCTCGTGAGGGCAAGGAGGGGTTATGTCAGACCCGCACCGACTAAATCCTCACGATGTTCCACCCAGGCGCATATCGGCAGGGCATTGGAATGCTTTCGCACACTTCCACGACCCAGTCAGAGATTGCCACCTTAGCAGCTCCTCCTCGAGGATAAACTCCCCTCTCGTCCAGGTAAAGACACTGAAAAATTCTGCGCATCTTCCTACTCGGCCCCTTTTTCATGGCCAACAAACTCTGCCGAATTCACTGAGCTGAGGCCATAGCTAGTAGCTGAGGCTATAGTAGCTGAGGCTATAGTAAAAGTAACAGCCTATACATGTCCCACTGCTGGGCAAAGGCCTCCTCTATACAGAGGGTATCAGGGCATAGTCCACCACGCGGCCCCACTGCGGATTGGCGGACTTCACATATTTTCGAAATATGATAAATATAATAAATATAATATAATTCGAATATAATAAATAGTAGCTGAGGCTATAGCCGTCAGGCGAGCCAGTGCTAATAAACAGCAAGCCTCCCAGCCCCCAGCGACGAACCACTGCATCAGTGGTACAGCCCCGATCAGTCGTGGAGTATAGGAGAAGGGGCCAAACACATTACCAACACTCTTCTTCTTAAAAAAAAACAAAAAAAACCCGCACCCTCGTCGCTCGCATCCAAAGTCATAAAAAAACCGATGGCTTCATCCCGGAGGAAAAAAAAGGAAGTACTTTCATATGTAGGGAAACCGGTGCCCACTTTTATAAAATATCATGCCCAAAACAAAAATACGCCATAATCTTACGGCTTCCAATTCAGCCCATTTGATGCACGAACCTCGACCGGGCCTGCCATTGGCTGTTTTTACTTCGCTAGATTTACTAGAAATATATATTACTAAAACATTCCTATTCCTTAAAGTAATGGGATTTTTGATAGTAAATAACAATATTCCCGGCATAAATTCAAATACATTATTTAATTAATATTACATGGATCAATAAAGTGTAAAAGCCGTTGTAAAGCTTTGGAGGGGGTCAGGTAAGTTAACTGAAGAGGCAATTAGGACGAATTATAATAATTTCTTTTAATGTAAACGTTAATATTTTATATAGTTGCACCCCTTTTTTCCCTTTTCGCTAATTATGCTATATATGTTTATTTTGCAAAACAAATATATTCAGTATTGGATGGAATCATGAACCCGCTTGTGGATTAGAACTTAGCTGGAAAACTTATCTATTTCGGTACAGGTGTGCGCAGTCTTTAAGCAGGGTTACCTAGAAAGCAAAGCTTTATTCCCTTTAACACATAATAAAACAGTTCTTTAATAATGTTTTTAATTATCAACTTAATCCGCTATTAAAACTTGCAATTAAGAAGCACCAATTACCACTTCTCTGACATCAACAATGGAAACGCGTAAATATATAAGCTACTCTTGAGCGCACTGCTCTTAGTTTACATTCAAGTGCGTTTCAAGATGTTTTGTTTTGATACATTATTCATTTATAATTTTGAAATTATTTGGATACCCCTGAGTATTCTGATTGCGGTCGTGCTAATTAATTTTTTAAAGAAATTATTTGAGAATGACGAGTTCGAGATAATTCCAGGACCTCCAGGTCCCTTCCTCATTAACAATACGTTGGACTTTTTAGGTGGACCAGGTAATTTGATAATATCAATATCGTTATTATTTCTTACGGATCCTCTTACAACAAGAAAAGATTATTATTTTTTTCCAAATAGAAATCATGAAATTTAGAAGCAACTTTGAAACTATTGATTTTTGAGCTCGAAACTAGCTATAATTTCATTATTTTTCCTGCGTTTTAGTGGCGGCATTTGATTATTTTAGAGAGCAAACACAGAAATATGAAGGTCTGTTTAGACTTAAGGTTGGAAATAAGAAAATTGTTGCTCTATACAACCCCGAAGACGTAGAGGTGAATATAACAAGATTTTCCAATACTGCGTAAGAAATATAATAATATATTACATTTCTTTAAAATTTACGCAGTATAATAATATAACGAAGTGTCTTTCTAATGTAATGTAAAGTAATGTTCGCTTATTATTTAATAATATTTTTAAATACAGCTAGCGGATTTTATTGAACGCAATTGTAATTTTTTTTTTCAGACAATTCTAAGTGATATGAGACACAATACGAAGGGTTATCCATACAAATTTATTAAACCATGGATGGCTGAAGGGTTAGCTCTCAGCAAAGGTATTATTTTTGTTATATTATTATGTGCATAAGTTAGAAGACTTGTTTATATCTATTAATATTGTACTGAAATGGACAGCTTGATCACTTTTCTGAATCACGGCTTTATTCGCTTTGGGTCAGTAATCACCCTGTCTACTCCCGGCGGTATTCGGGTATATCTCTATATATAAAAATGAATCGCTGAATGTGTTGCTAAGCGCAAATCTCGAGAACCGCTGAACAGATTTCGCTAATTCTTTTTTTATAATATTCCTTGAAGTACGAGGATGGTTCTTACGGAGAGAAAAATTTAAAAAATTGCTTGAAAAAGTCTAAAAACAACACTTTCTCTATATTCCCATACAAAAAACTCGTAATAATACTTTAAAGTCAATTTGAACTTTAATACCATACCATAAAGTTTAAGTCTTAGTGGAGGGGTTCCGGGAAGGAAACACAATTGAATGACGTTAGTATCGTATAAATATAAATGTCAATATTTATTATTTTCTAATATTTTTTTACTAGATAGAGTGTTTCAAGAAGAAGTTTTATATACATTGCAACCGTGCGTAGCCGGGGCGGGTCGCTAGTATAACTATATATTGGAATTCCCCTCGTTTGAATGTGTCTAATAAAAATGTGTCTAGCTGGACAGTGGCTTTAATTTGCTTATTTTCTCTTTTATATAATCAAGAAATATATCATTTAGTGAAGGCTTAGACTTTGCGTGCACAAAATAATATTCCGAGTGTGTATGTAGGAGGCTCATAATTAATCCCTTGGCTAAAACAATGTAACATTTATAATTACTTTAAATACACCGGTTCATGAACTTGAAATTGGAATTAAAATCTTCGTGGAAGTACAAGGCTTATCTGATTATATTTTATTTTAACAATGAGAATTGTTATAACAAAAACCTATTGTATTCGTGGGAATATAAGTAGTGACAACGATCGATTCAGTGTTTCTGAAAAAAGGCAAAAAGTGGTTAAACATCATAAAGAAGAATAATTCTGTTCATATTGTTTTTTATGTGACAAACGAGCTAGAGGTTCACCTGATATTAAGTGATGACCGCCGCCCATGGACATTTGGAACACCCATAGGGTTGCAAAAGCGTTGCCACATTTAAATAAAGTTGGCCCCGGTTACTTCACTCACCAGACGAAACGCAGAAGTGTAATATTTCTACTTTACGCCGGTCTTCTCGGTCGTGGTACTTATCCGGACGGACTTGCCCATTCGTGCAACAGTGAATACCTTTGCGTGGCCCTACCACCGATGATACCTTATTAATGGGCCAAAATACCTTTAAAAGCCTAATTAGAACAATGATTACTTTTTTTTTTTTACTTGGAATGGCAATATTCATTATTGATAAAGAATGATAATAGTTCAATCCATAATAAGCTTATATTTAAAACGTTGATTTTATAACTATTTTTGTATTTTATTTATTGTTTTTATTAAAAATATCCATTATAATAATAATTTCAATTATAATTTTTAACAAAAAAGAACCGAAAACTAAAAAACATTGTCAATACCTATAACATTTGAAAATTGCCCTCGATTTCTCTGGGATGCCATCATCAGATCCGGGTTTCATTATCATTGTAGCCCCCTTGGGATATCTCCTTTCCAACAAATAAAGAATACAGAACACACAACCGAAGTTTCTCAATAGCGAATGTGAGAACTCTGATGGACTTAAAAATTCATTGGCCCATTGTTTTCGAATTTGTAGAGAGCTCCTGTTTGTCTGTGTGTTTTTTTTTTGATATGGCGACCGGCAGAATCATTTGTTTTGAAGATGAAGTATGTTTCTGTCGATCTTCTGGCAATGGACAACTGAGGGAAACTGAACTTTAATGAATATAACTTTTATCAAAATCACATTAAACAGTGCAATTGCCTACTCGATACTCTCACGCATTGCACACAGCATGCCGCTTGACGAATTCTACCAAGTCCCTCTACCTGCAAGCCGTTTTTTGGAACTTCGTTCCAATAAAGTTCAAGAATTGTAAGTTAGCTAGCAATATTCAAATACAACAACAGAATTATGAAAGAATTTATATAAAAAGGAAATGTATGGTGAAATATAACATTATCACCGTACTTTACGAATAAATTATACAATATTTTGATTATATTTTATTTTGTTGAAAAATAAAGTATTGTTAAATTTATTTTCTAACAGTTTTCTCATGAAAAGTGAAATTTATTACTGAGGCATCATAAAGTATTTTGATCCGGGCTTAATTCAAATAAAGAAAAATGTTACTTAATGAAATAAAATATATTTGGGAGAAGCCGTTCAACAGAAAAAGGATTTGTATAAGCCTAACGCTTCTACATTATTTAACAAAACAGGATCAAAATGGCAATTTAGAAGAAAACTATTAACACCGGCATTCTTCTTTAATGTCATGAACATTTATAAGTTGATATTGGAGGAGAACAGCCGAAAGCTAGTGGAGGTTCTACGATGTGAGGTAAACAATGAAAAAACTGATGTGGAGCCGTACTTACAGCAGTTTACTTTAAACTCAATTTGTGGTAAGTTCCCATGTACGTAAATCTATATATTAATACGTGAAGCAAAAACTTTTGTACCCCTTTTTACGAAAATTCCATGGACGAAGGAGTATGAATTTTCCCACACTTGTAGTTTATATAGAGATCGAATGCAGAATGCTAATAGTTTTTAAAATTGTGCATAAAAATACATTAAGTCTATAAAAAAATATTGCACATACTACTTAGTTATGGTTGAATTTCAACTGCTAAGCGACCACTAGTATTGTCAAATGACTGAATGTAAAGAAAGACAGTTATCGGCTCCCACTTAGCGGATCTCAATGATGTTCACAACAGACCTTGATATATTTTTCTTACACTTTAAACAAAAACGTGAATATTAGTAACAACGATAATTCGAACGAGAGATGTCGCCATTGCTTTTTTAGAAATTTAAATTGTTTATAGTGCTAATCTTTGCACTTAAGATTGAACATTAAAATATGTAGAAAAAGTGCGAAAAGATTGTCGCCGCTGTGGGAATCGAACCCACGTCTTCGGCATTCGCGGCCTGACGCTCTAGCCATCAGCTAAACGGCTGATTACCAAAAACCGACGAAAATCTTAACGCAGAAATGCGAAACGTGGGTTCGGCGGCAAATTTCGCCGGTGATTTTAATGTTCAACTAATATACTATATAAATATGGCGACATCGAATATCGTTGTAAAACGATATATATAAAGGATATAACATATATATATATATATATATATACCTATTATAGTACAAAAGCGCATAAGCGTTAATACCGTAAACAATCTTTCACTAACAACATCGTTAATGTTAAAGAAGTTTGAACTTTTCTTAAAAGAGCAAACATTAACATCTGTTCTTTTCGCAGAGACTGCAATGGGCGTTAAATTAGACGACGAGGCTAAAGATTTTGCAAAAGCTTACAAACATGGAGTATTTCAATTGAGCAAATTTTCAATACACAGAAGTCTAAAACTTTGGATGCACTCAAATTTTCTTTTCTCACTTACTGACATGGGACGTGAACAAAAGAAAGTATTGAAAATGATGAACAAATTTCGGGATCGCGTCATTGATGCAAGGAGAGCATCATTTAATGGCTGTAATAAATTACGCGATGATGACAATTGTGCGCAAATTTACTTGATGGGGAAGAAAAGATTGGCAATGTTGGATTTACTACTTCAAGCAGAAAAACAAGGGTCTATTGATGCTCAGGGTATAAAAGAAGAAGTTGACACGTTTATGTTTGGGGTAAGTACTATTGTAAAATGTGTACAGAAAGTACAATATGTACAGAAAGGCATATCATTGAAATATTATGCTTAGATGGCGTTTATATTTTTCATTTATATCATTTGATAAAGACATGACGAACTCTTTTTAACGTATGTATTTACTAAACATCGAATTTTCAGAGCGAGAGATTAAAATTTTAAGGAGTAAACTCCAATAAACTCGCAAAAATAAAAAATATTTTTTTATTAATAAAGCTCAAATTATCGTTTAAAATTGGTTTATTGTTCTCGGCACCGCCGTGGGTCGTATACGACATTCCCATGTACAAGAAAAGCTTTTGTGTGACTCGCAGAATTTTTTTCCGAAACCGGGTAATTGTCCGTGCATCGAAATGTTTGCAATGTTCGCACAAACAGGATAATGTTATCGCATAGGAATCATATTTAATCAAAACTTTGGACCTAATTTTATGTGCTGTATTTTCCCAGATTCTTTGTGGTGAAGAAAAACATCGTAAGGCGGCCTTGAAAGTATTTTTCATCGCATCCAAACTTCTCGCTATAGATCTTAACCCATAATTATGAAAGAGATGTAAGCTAGTACTTTACTACTTATTATTAATACTAGTACTTACTTATTATTTTAGGGTCATGACACCTCTGCAACAGCCCTGCAGTACATTTTGATGGTTTTCGCCAACCACCCGGATGTTCAGGTATTTTTAAGTTATATTTAAGATACTGTGAAATGTTTATATAAAAGAAGAGAATTTCTACCATTGAATTTAAAGGGTGTTTAACAGTAACAATTTTTTTATTTACAGTAACAGTTTGTTGTTTGTTTTTATGTACAATGACAGTAACTATATTTGTTTTATTTTATGTTTTTTACTGATTATAACAACTTAGCTTTAGTTATTTAAAGTAGTTTAAAGTTACGAAGCGTAATATTTTTCGTCATAACTAGTGGGACATCGGAGTATAATATTTCCCCTTCCTTTAAAAAAAATAATTTTAAAAGTTAAAAGTATAATTTTAGATGCGGGTGCTAAAGGAGTATGATGAAGTTTCTGAATCGTTGGAATCCTTCGCCGGGTCGTTTTCACTAAACGATCTATCAAAGTTAAAATATCTTGATTGCTGTGTTAAGGAATGCTTAAGGCTTTATCCGTCTGTACCGTTTATAATAAGAAGCATTGAGCATACTGTTAAATTAAGTGAGTTATTATTATTATTAAAAATTTGGCCACTTTTTTACTTTAGGATATCATTATCCTGTGTTTTAAGGACGTTTTACAAACATAAATTTCACGTGGACAAACACCCAGACGCGAAACAACTAACTGTAATTCACACAAATAGTGTTTCCGTGTGGGAATCGACCCCACGACTTTCAACTGCGCCACGGAGTCATATTTTTATTCATTCTTCAGTAATTACATTTTTTAAAGAAATTATATATTGTATAAACATTTTCATATAATTTCTTAAAAACAACAACTAGTGTATTGTTTCTAAAAACAAATAATTACTCTGTGCTTTTCTTTTTAATCCTAATAATAATTTTTGTCCTGTAAAAGTACATGATACGAATTAGGTACTTTCAATAAAAAAAATGGTTCTATAATACTTATGTTTCATTCGGCTCTTCTTTGTGTAACTAAAAAATTCAGACGAAGTTTAACTTGATAATGTACTCACCAGTTTTTAAGTATGCCCTATTGCCCTTCGTAGTAAAATTATTAGCACCAATAACTTGTTTAACAATCTAGTAGAAATCAATATCATTTTAATCTGAACCCAAAACAATATTTATATAATGATGATAAATGAAAAATAGAACCTGAACACCATAAAAGTTATATCGTTGCAGACCTTCGGTGGGAATTAAACGCGAGATAATGTTGGGTATTTGCTCATAAATGTACAGTTGTAATTAGTACAGTCGTTATTTCTTTTATACAACCAGAACACTACGTGATGCCTGCTGGGACACAATGTTGCATTTTAATCTACGACCTTCACCGTCGGGAGGATCAATTCGAAAATGCATATGAATTCCGACCGGAGAGATTCTTGAGTGCCAAGCCAACTTGGCATCCTTACGCTTTCATACCTTTCAGCGCTGGTCCACGCAACTGTATTGGTAATATTCATAATGAAATTTATTTTCAGTGTTAATCTCTGCACCTAAGATGAAACTTAAAACGTATTTTTTTATTATTGAGAAGGTGGAAAACTAGTTTGCAGTTCACCTGATGTTAAATGATAAACACGACCCATTGAAATTTGCAATACCCGTAGGGTTGCTGCGTTGCCACAATTTCATATAGTGGACCCCGGCTAACTCACTCAAAAGATGAAATGCAAAAATTTAACACTTCTACTTCACGCCGGTCCTCTGAGGAGCCGGTCCTGTGAGGTTGTAGTACTTACCCGGAAGGACCTGCCCATTCGTGCAACAGCGGAGACTGTTGCGTGGCCCTACCAAAGCATTTTAAACGTTAAGTAATTTTTTGAAATATGTTTTGCCCTTGCCAAGATCGAATCTGCGCCTTCGGATGACGTGCCCAAATGCTCTCAGCATTACACTAAGCGGTAATACTAGAGTAAAATTAAAAACTATACTGTACTACACACCAAGAAAGGAAATACAAAACCAAGTACAAAACTGATCAATTAAGAAGTGTATTGGGCCGCCTTATAACTAATAGCAAATTCGTTCTAGGCAATTGCCTGAAAATAATATAATGAAAAGTATACACACCCTAAGCTTACTTCAAAATAATTTAAAAATTTTCAGGTCATAAGTACGCGATGATACAGATGAAACTGGCAATACTGGATATATTAAAAACATACAAGTTGTTACCTGTGACCAAGCCAGAGGATGTTAAGTTCACATCGGACTTAATGCTTCGTTCGACGGAGCATGTTTACGTTAAGTTTGAATTACGAAATAAATAAATAAAAAACTTATGAAAATCATTTCATTTCATGGACTCACTTATCATTAACTTTCTGATACCCCTGTTGTCTCTGGCCATATCATTTTTTTAATCACTTTGGTCGAATTCGTTCTTCTCGTTTTGCAGCAACTAAATTAAATGATGTTAACGAAAGTCAAGTTTAGCAAAAAAGCTATGTACCAATAATATAAACAATAAATCTATATTATAAATAAATTTTATTTGAAAAAAAAATTATAAATTAATGTATAAAATCGTAATATAATTTTGAATGTATAATTTATATATAAACATAATTAACTCTGTTTCATTCTATATAATGTCATTTTACAGTAAATGTCATAATTAAGTGTCATAACAACAAACATTGACTTTTAGTAGTAAACAGTATCAAACTAATTAGAAGCAAATACATGAAATAATGCATATAACATAGGTCTTTAAACAAAAATAAATAATATGAAAACACTAAAAATTCAAGGATTAATTAGGTCAATATGAAACCGTACCGTCGCTCTAACAAAGCTTTGATGGTCGAGGTTAGAGAAATTTTCTGTCTTTGAATTTATAGCTCTTAAAACTGTAACGATTTAAGCTAGTAGTAAAATTCAAAAAGAATAGCTACATTTTTAAAATGGAATTATCCAAAAAAAAGCTTTAGGCGTTTATTTTTTATTAGAATTAAATTTTAATGGTTATTATTTAATTTCTAATCAGTAGTTAAAATCCTATAGTAGCTTGTCGGTAGGCGTTGAGAATATACCATAGGATTGTGTTTTTGGTAAATAATATGAATATTAAACGTTTTAGTGAACATTTACATGTTTGTCTTCAACAGTTTAAGTCTGCGACGCGCCTGGGAAAGCTGAAAGTACTGGTGAAAGAATTTGCCTGCGATGTTCGTGCCCTGTGGCATTACGGCGCGCCGTTTCCCACATTTCTGAAGCTTATTGCTACGCTGCTTCTTATTCTACTAGTTTTAATGCCACTTTTATATCCTGTTTTCGTGGTTGTAGCGACTTATTTCATTTTTGAAGGACTTTTTCTAAGGTAAGTACTTCAAGTAATGTCTTTTATGTCGTTTAATCGTCATCAACTCAATTTTAACTGTGGTAGGACCTCGCAACAGTATTCGCTGTTGCACGAATGGGAAGGTCCATCCGGATTAGTACCACGACCTCACAGAAGACCGGTGTAAAGTAGAAGTGTTAAACTTCTGCGTTTCGTCTGGTGAGTGAGGTAGCCGGGACCCACATTATAAAAAGGTGGCAACACATCTGCAATCGGTGTTACAAATGTTCGTGGGTTGTCGTTATCACTTAACATCAGGTGAACCGCCAGCTCATTTGCCACTTTATCACATAAAAAAAAATCAACAAAGACACTCGGCGCCCAAGCCAACGGTAGCAACTGTGATAATACATTAAGACATCTTTTATATCATTTAATATTTGTAATAACAGCGGTAGAGCTTATGTAGAGCCCCATACCGTCACTTGGATGTTGAAATGATCCTATTTCGGAATCATAAAAATGAGCAAGAGCCTAAGATGAACAGTATAAGTATTGACTGTGATTGCCAATTATTGGCCTGGCAAAAATGACTATCCAATTTCATTATATTAGCATTACCCGTTTCAAATTTTTAGCGATTCATCGAGATAAGTATAACACATATTAAAGGGGTACAAAATTTATTCATACATTTCTTTGCAATAGAACGTACCTACTAACTTTTATTACATCTAACCTCACTGTGGGTTCTTATTTTTATTATTTGCAGCAACGTTATGTGCATTGTAAGGACAAATTTATTAAAATTGTTACAGTTGGTGGCTGGACCAGCCCCAACGTTTCAGCCCAGTTGTTATCGTAAAGCGTACGCTTTCAACTATTCTCTGTACATGCCCAACCAGGGACATGTGGAAGGTACGCGAAGTGTTCACACGTGGCATTTTATTGGTTCACTCACTCGCAACGTCCGTGGACTACCTTTGCGTCATGCAGGGACTGCTCGACGAAGCTTAGCTTATTACGTTTTCTACCTAGAATTCATATGTTCAACAAAATTAACTTCAAATACAAAGAGATTATTCATATTCATTAAATTATATTATATTAAAGTTTTTGCAGTAATCTGTTTCATTTAAATTATGTCATCTATGAAACACCTGTATAATCCGAATAGAATATTTCACGAAGAATTGAATAGCAACTTCAAACCATCTCTTTAAATAACCAAAAGCAAATTTTGATTGTTTATTATAACTGACAGGGGAGTAAACTCAAGGTAAATTTTATATTATACGTAATTTAAAATGCTCTATACATGAATCAATACTTGTGAATATTTTATTCGCCTGTGGTTTTAAAAGCAAACAGCTATTTATTTTTCTGCCTCAGCTTTAAACAAAATTGTATAATAATACAGTAAATTGTATAATAATACAATAAAATTTTAATAATAATACGGTGGTGGACTAATGCCCGATTTCACCAACGACCCCTTAACAATCACATAGTTAGGGGATCCCTAAGCTAAAGTCCCCCAAACTATCCCATAACTAAATTTGCTTTTCACCGACGCAACAAGCCCCGAACTAGTGAACTCCTCCATATGTGACACATTTTTTGCAATAGTAGTGCATCCAACTGAATTTTACTTACAGATTTCATCGGACGTTTTTATTTTTAAGTAAAAATAATTTAATAACATTTATTTTAAGGAAAATATATTGTTTTATATTTTAACAACACCGTTTTTCCAACAATTATGTAAAAAAATCTTAAGTCTCCCTTTGACTACTCACCATATTGTCGGGTAAGTTTGACTCGACGTGATCGAAACCATTTAGTTCTTTTTAAATAAGACCTTAATATAGTAAAGGTAAAATGATCATGAAATTTCCAGATACAGGATAATGGCCTGTTAAAGGTATATTACATAATGCTCAAGTAATTTTAACATTACATCTCGCCAGAAAGATTTGATTTCGTGTAACTACTGCACAAACATAGTCAAAACATGTGTATGACTTTATAAGTTATAATTTTTTTCCCGGGACGTACGATTTAAAAATTTAAGTGATTGTGGAATTTTTGCTTTTATCCACAGCGTTGGGCTCGGGGGCCCTGTATCACTGGCTGACACAGCGTTAGTCCACCGCGTGACCCCCTGCTGACTTCACATATCTTCGATTTTTTTTTATTATTATTTCCAAAATATGTAGGTTCGTTGCTCACGGTGTTTTCTTTCACCGCAAACACCGGATAAGTTGGCACTTAAAATTGCAACTAACAATTTCATTAATGCCGGCACCCGCACTTGAAACACGGTAACACGATTATGTATATTTATAATTAAAAAACGAGCATCCGGACACTAAGCTATATTTATAGAAAAAAAGTCAAACAATGCAATGCGGCGAATTTCCTTATCCTGTATTTTAAAAACGATTTCACGATAACAACTTTTAAATAACAGTTTCTCTCTTCGAAAATTTCACATATACTGGTTTTGAATTCCTCAATACTAAATCTGCCTGAAACAGCAGATCTGCACAACTGGTAATCGGATGTAGCTTGTAATTGCGCAATATCGCAGTAAGTATTGATTTCATCTCCATCATTGCAAACTTTTGTCCTGAAAAATTATTTCAATTTTACTATTTTATAATAATGCAATCATTATGCACAGTTATATCATTATAACTTAATTACATATGGAACTTAGTTTTTTTGTTATTGAAATGAAATGTAAATATTTGATCAGGTCACTCAGTACTTAACCATAATTTTTGTTAACAACAGTCATGGCGTTTGAATTATAAGAATTTCTTGATCGTCATTAGGAAAAATCGATACGTAATACGAATACTTAAAATGCTTTTTCCATTTGCATTTACCATAATACTATTAACGAGATCATGATAAAATAGACATAACAATAAGGTTGTAGACTATTTACTATAAATGCCACACTGATTTTAATTTTTAATTGAAACTTAATTTAAATTATGCATGCCAGCGGTATAAAACGTTAGACACTAAATCGTTCTATTTTATAATACCAGGGAGCGTTTTTAAGTTCGTAGAATGAAAGACAAAATAGGAATTGTCTAAAGTTCCACCAGTGGCCGTTCAGTAAAAATGAATATACTGCCACCAGTGGTAAGTTATGACATTATAATGTTATTCTGCCACAAGTTATTACGTATGCTTATGTCATGATTTCTATTACGTCGTCTATTTTAGGTCGTCTTTAATTTTAAGATACTCTTTAATAGTATGTCAATTGCTACAAAAAAAAGCTACCTTAATGTCAAGGGCATACTATAATATCCAAGAATACATTGAGGACAAGGATGTTAGGAAATGACTCTTGCTCTGCACTTGCAAGACCCCTGGGGCTGCTGCTGATTTTATACCTAAATAAGTATGTATAATTGCATCAAAAAAAATATATAACAAAAAGAACAAGACCGCAGAGTTTCTTGCCGGTTCTTCTCTGTGCAGGTATAGTTTTGTGAACCGGTGGTAGATTTTTTGTTGACGTTCAATAAGAGCTTAAGTTAGGCCTATATTGAATAAATATACTTTGACTTTGACTTTGACTTTTGAATTGACTAAACCTGATAGTTTTTATATTAAAAAAATAACGAAGATGGGGGCGCTACTGTGGTTGATGTTTTTTGTTTTTTGGCGGGAGATTTTGACAGAAATACGAAAGCTTAAAAAGACGAAAGCTGATTATTATTTTGTGATAAATTATTAATAATAGTTTATTGTATAATTTGTAAAGATAACAGTTTGGTGTGTTATAAATACAAGTGTTTAGAAGTAAAAACCAAGTTTCATTGAAATTACAATACCCCTCTTGATATGCCACGAACACGGGATTTTGGATGCAAAAAGCGTAGAGAAGTATATAATTGTTAAAATTCAGAAGTGGGATAGACCTGAGGTATTTATTTGACTATTATATAGGTGGTTTCTAAACAATACAAGATATAATGATAATGTTTTATACTATAATATTGTTCATGTACTTCTACTAAGCGGCTATAAAAATAATGTAACGTGTCATAATGCTTATTGGTTTAAAAGGATTTATAATTTTCATTACACGTAAAAATGAATCATGATACTATGATGGATAATTTTGGGCGCAGTAATAGTTCTCACTGGTTTATTGAGGGAGTATGCTTCTCCCTGGATGTTGAGTGAGTCTATTTGCGTCAGATAAAATTATGGCCATGTATGCTTATTATTTTGAGCAATGTCTACCGGATGGATTTTTAATTATGCAACAATGATAAATGATAAATGATAAATGATCAATGATAAATGAATGATACGGTAATATTTACATTATTTATTTAATTTTTTTTATATGGTATGCACTTTATTTACTATTAGTACTTTATTAGCTATCTGATTTAATAAAATCTTTATAAAAGGAACAAAAAGATAACAAATATCGAACATATGTAATCTGACCTAATTAAAACTAAATATTTGATAAAATTAAATGTTTGTTCTAATATAATTTAAGAGGAAATTAATTAAAAAAAATTGTCATAAAAAAAAAGATTACTGAAACTGCTTTATAAGATTCTTGTTTCCAAAAAGTCGAAGATTGGGATGCTGTGTAAAGAACAAAGTACCTCCATTATTTTGTTATTGTGTTATTACTTCTTTTTTTTCTGATGTTTTATGGATTATTTCAGAAAATTTTGAGATATGAAGCAACTACATTGTATTTTTTTCTTCTCTTGTGTAGATTGTTGTTTTATGGATTATTTCGGAATTTATTTACACTTTACAGTAACAAGTATCAATAATGTCTGATAGCGGCGGTTGCATGCCACCTGATACACCGCCGAGACACAGACTGTGAACAAAACGATCCAAAAGGAGATATCGGCTTATTTCATCCAGTTCAAGTGATGAAGACGTTCCTCGGACGTTCGAGGAAAGTTGCAAGTACACTTAAAAAGAAAGACTTATTATTTTTGTTAAAGGCCCTAACAAAACATAACTCTAAAAGTTTGTATTCGCAATAATAGTTTCATGAATGTTATTCCCGAATTTGACCCATCTAATAGGTCTCAAATCATCGACTGTTGGCTACGTAAGATATACGAATGTGCTGTGATATATAATTGGGACAAGAAACAAACTGCTCACTTATCTTTGCAAAAATTAACGGGTCTAGCAAGAAGATGGTTTGAGGCTTTGCCAATGCAAATTTACTTGGGAGGAGTGGCACACTAAGCTACGTAAGGCCTTTCCCAGTGAAGAAAACTATGGACGGCTGTTAGACGAAACGTTAATCTCTCGCAGTAACGAAAGTCTGCGTGAATATTATTACGATAAGTTATTACTTATTAAATAGGTGTGATATTGTGGGTAAAAGGCTGTTGACTGTATCTTTCATGGCATTAGTGATCGATCGATTAGAAACGGTGGTATGATCTTGAATACATCTGAACCCGACGAATTACTTACCTTTCTTTCTTCTCAAAGAACTAGTTGATAACAAAGACTTCGCGAACGTTTACATCAAAAACCTTATAAGGTGGACGTTCCGGGAACGAGTACCAGTAATAGTGTTTCAAATAAGAATTTTATAACTTGTTATAATTGTCTTTCACAAAGTCATTTTTATTATAGGTGCACAAAACAAATTACTAAATGCAATCGATGCAACCGAATTGGCTAAATAGCGAGAACTGCAAATTAGAACCATTTATTCCTTTTAACTCTCTATTGCGTGCCTATGATGGGACTCAGAAGTAAAGTAAAGTTGCAGTAAAGTTGATGAAAAGTGGTATAAATATAAAGTATTCAATGGACTCTCCTTCAAAGCTTTTATAGACTTCGGCAGCGAGTGCATGTTGCCGCCGATTCATTAAATTTACTGAAAAAGAACTTGATAATATTAGACTGTAATAAAAGGTTTGACCACTCCATCGTCGGGCCTTTATTTAAGTCATCGGTCAATGAATTAGAATATTGCATTGAAGTTTTGATCGTAGATGATTCGTATCTTCAAACATTTTTAATCACTGATCAAATTTTAACAGAATTACCTTTTGTGACCATTTTAAGAGATAGCTCTAAACTCATATTTAAACGGTTTTATTTAGCTCGACCCGTACGGAATTTATTTGTTTATTTGGGTCAAAATTAGAAATTGAAATTTAAGCACCTTCCCGTTGTCAGATTGATCTGAAATTTGGTACACACATTTAATTTAGATGACAATACAATATTGTAGTTGTCAGTGCACATAAAATAAAACCGTTTAACTTAAAAGTTTTTAAACGGTTTTTTTATGAGTCCAAACGAAAAATTATTTAGTAAAAATAAAAGTTTAAAACTTCTTGTAAGCAACTCCTTCGACATCTTGAAAACAGAATTGATTCCTGTTCATACTACCTGTTGTTTCTCGAGGAATGTATTTATCGAAGGCTTTAACGCGGTTAGATCTAGAAGGTAGTATCAGTGTGATTTAACCCAAATAAATCGCATTGTTAGTGATCGTACAAAGTTAGCATCACTTAATAAGAGTGATATCAAAAAAGGGCCGGGCCTGGACAGTATGATATAAGACAAACTTTATACACTTCACAATCTCACCGGGATTGTTTTGAAAAAAATCTAGGAAAATATTATAATATACAATTTAATTTATATGTAATTTAATTATATAATTATAATATATAATAAACTAATTAATAATTTCCTTCTTTCTTTCTTTCAAAAAGGTTGTGAATCTAACGTAGAAATTAAAATCGATCTTGAAAAAGATAACAAACCCTATCGCATATATAAGCCCTATCGGTTGTCTTATAATGAACGTGAACAATTACGAGAAACTATTGATTAATACTTGCAGAATGGATAATCCAAAAATCCAAGTCTTATTATGCTAGTGGAATTTTGATGGTAAAAAAAAAATACCGAGGAGCAAAGCCTCTGTGTAAAGCCTTTGGAATCTTGAAATATATATACAAAACTATTAAAGACCGTTTTCCACTTCCACTTACGAGTATTGACGACCAAATATGTAATCTAAGTGACAACGTATACTTTACGACACTTGATCTTGCTTCGGGATCCTAGCAAATCCTGTCATTGGCCCATTTAAACAATGTACTTATTCCATCTAAAAGTGTTGAGGAAATGTTTCAGCACTCTTTGAAACCTATTAGAACTTTTAAGGAAATACGGATTAACATTAAAACTGATAAGTACGCGATTTTTTTAAAAAGCACGATAGATTATCTTGTCTATAACATCTCTCAGAAAGAAAAAACCTAGTTGAATCACCTATTTTAAATTTATATGACCCTTCTTTTGAAACTGAAGTGCATACCGACGCTCCTTTAGCAATTGGAGGTATACTTTACAGTGGCAGAAATGTGTACGGGTATTAAAACCTGCTGTCTATTTTAGTCTACAAACAACCTGTGAAGAAAAAAAATCTGTACTCTTATGAACTAGAAAGATAAGCCGTTGTGTGTACATTAAAAAAAAACGTGTATCTTTTAGGCTTTCTTTTTAATTTGGTTCCACGTATAACTAGGTGTTGGTTACAAATAAGTGAATTTACATTTGAAAAATAGTATCGTCCCGGTATTCAGATGTTGTATGTTGACGGACTGAGTAAAAATACCATTCAAATACTCCTTATAAATTAATAATAAATTAACTCAAATATTCTTTATAAACATTCTGAGTAAGAATACTATTCAAATATTCAGATACCAGATGACCATTCGAGAGTTAACATTTATAATATAGAGACGAAAATTAGCTTCAACTTTACAAATTGCAGACCCAAAAATTTAAAATTATTTTTTTTTTATATTTTAAATTGAATATTATTAAACCTAAAGATGTTTACGGATGTAAAGAAATTCGCAAAAACTATCTTGTCACACGGTTTTTAGGAAAATTAAATCATAAATTGTATTTAGTTGTACCACAAAGTGCTCGTTGGCAAATATGTCATGTTAACCACGACGATATTGGCCATTTAAGATATGCGAAAACCCTCGATAGAATAAAACAATAAGATTGTTGTTAATTGTACCCTAAGCTTAGAAAATTTGTAAAAAAATTGTATATATCTGCATGTATAGAATGCACTTATAATAAGGACAACGCAGCCAAACAAACGCCGCGATATTTATAGCCAACCAGCGACCCGCCCCGGCTTCGCCCGGGTGTAATGTATTATTATACATATAATTATAAACATTCCTCTTGAATGACTCTATCTAGTAAAAAATATTACAAAATGACAAATTAATATTTATACGATACTAACGTCACTTAATTGTGTTTTCTTCCCGGCACCCCTCCACTAACACTTAAGCTTTATGGTATGGTATTAGTGTTCAAATTGACTTTTAAGTATTGTTCGGAATCTTTTGTATGGGGAGAATAGAAAAGTGTTGTTTTTAGACTTTTTCAGTAATTTTTTTTAAATTTTCCTCTCCGTAAGAACCATCCTCGTAATTCAAGGAATATTATAAAAAAAAAAAAAAGAATTAGCGAAATCGCTTCAGCTGTTCTAGAGATTTTAGCGACACATTCAGCGATTCATTTTTATATATAGAGATAACGAAAGTATCGATCCTTTACATACTTTTCATTTTGATTATCTTTCGTTAGAAGTAAAGATGGTAACACGCATTATCTTATCTTATAGGGTCAGTAAGAGACTAAAGGGGATATTAAAGTAATCGAAAAAAAATTATTTATTTATAAATAAACTAACACTTTTTTTTATATTTATTAATTATTATTATTTATAATTTCGGTGTACCAGCTCGACTTATTTCGGATCGAGGTACTTGTTTTACTTCAAAAGCTTTAAAACCTTTTGTGATAAAAAGGGTATTAAACATGTCTTGAATGCAGTTGCATATCCCAGAGTTAATGGGCAAGTTGTAAGATATAATCAAGCAATTTTAAATTAATTGTCTGCACAAAATCTTATGGCCATGAAGCCTAACTAGAACTAGTGCTTAAGCAAAGTTTAATTTTGTATTAATAACACTAAATGCGTCCATTAAAAAAATTACCGAAAAAAAAAGGAACCGTTCGGTATAAAATTTCTGATATTCCGGGTTTTTAGGAAAAAGGTAAACAGTTTATTGTGAATAATGACTCTGTACTACTTTATTGTAGCTGATAGAATGTGACCCTATATGTGAATTAAAACTTTAGAATTGCATAACTCTGATGTAAGTAGCGATAACGAAAGTAGCACATAAGGCAAACGTAATTTATTTATAAGAAGCGAATAACACTTTCATAACTTTTCTTTGTAGGTAATAATAAGTCCAAAAAAAAATGTTCAATAAAAGTACGTGTGACTATAACAATTACAAAACTCAGTTTATATTAAATGTCATGTTTGTAGTAGTATGATATTTAGGTCACAAAATGGTCAATGTCAATGTCATGATTTTAAACAATTTTTGTATGCCAGGAGACATACTATTGTCGGATGGCCGAATATAATGATTTCTATTATGTCGTCTATTTTAGGTCGTCTTTAATTTTAAGATACTCTTTAATAGTATGTCAATTGACTAAACCCGATAGTTTTTATATTAAAAAAATAACGAAGATGGGGGCGCTAGTGTGGTTGATGTTTTTTGTTTTTTGGCGGGAGATTTTGACAGAGATACGAAAGCTTAAAAAGACGAAAGGTTCTCGAGTGGTACCCTTGTACTGGCCATCGCAGTGTAGAACGACCCCCCACTAGATGGAGTGACCTGTGCAAATGTGCGGGAAATCGATGGATGCAGGTGGCTCAGGATCGTACTTCGTGGCAGTCTATGGGGGAGGCCTATGTTCAGCAGTGGACTCAAACAGACTGAAATGATGATGATGAAGTACAATAGCGGCGCTCACACATATCACGCAACTGGTGACAGTTTTAGCGAGTCGTTTGTTTAGCATTGCTCCATCTTGACAAGTATATGATCAAAACTTCCAATATTAATTTAATGACTTATTTAAGAATATCTGTAGTAACTTCAATATGCCGCCTAAGCCATGGATCATTTTTAGTGATTCTCTGCTTGATAACATTTCACCACTTATAAAACATCGCTTTTCCGAGCGAGAGTTTCCGTAAACCGATGAAACCTCTTCCACTGTGGTTTGAACAAATTTTCTTTGCACTTGGTAAGTTTCGTAACTTTAAAGAGCGATATTCGATTTTTTTTCCTATATTCAAAACTTTCCTAGTTCACTTGCTTGCATAGTAAAACTTCATACTAATTATGGGTCACTGTACACGTAACGACTTTTTAAAAAGAGATGTCTCATCCCCCGATGTCTATATCTTTCTATCTCATCGGGGGATGAGAGAGAGGTCTGTTGTCCAACTCCGCGAACTTGAAAACGCATCCTCGTATATAAAGTATGTTTGTACACATTTTCTTATTGACTACGCATTTACTTGTATTTACAACGGAATTATTATAAGCATTCCCTTATATAACCTTGATTTATAAAATTATTTAAGATTATAAAACAGATTAAAAAACTAAAATGTAACGTAATAATAATCGAAACAGTACCTATACAGTTCCTAGGCCCCGCACTAAAAGGAATGTAAGCGTAATTATGACGCTTTGCCACCATCTCAGGCAGAAATCGGTCTGGATCAAACTCTGTTGCATTTGGATACAAACTTTCTTGGCGATGTAGATCGTAAATGTGAATGTGACACAGAGTCCCCGCAGGAACTAAGAAATTACCTGGAAAAAAAGGTGATAGATTCAATTGGGGACGGCAAAAATAAATAGTTTAATGTAACATAAAAACTATTCCGAAAGCCTTGCATAAGGTACTAAGTATGAAACAAAAAAATTAATAAAAAAAATTATCATATAACAAAGTATAACAAATTATAATTTTAATCAGCATTTTACCAAATTGTCGTTAAGGTTATTCAAAACGAAAAATCCCTTTTTAGGGTTCCGTACCTCAAAAGGTAAAAAAGGAACCCTTATAAGATCACTCTTGTCTGTCTGCTGTCCGTGTGTCACCACCACTCTTCTCAGGAAAGGGTGGACCTAGCAAGTTGTATTTTATACCAGATACTGAGATCTTTTAGATGTGTATAAATCAAGGTCCTGAATAAACACGAAAGATATGGGCAAATTTAGATTTTTGCGAAAATTTTAAGTACCAAAATTTACTATAATTTTGAACTCTTTTTTATTTTTAATGTTCATTTTACGAGTTTTGTAATAGGTACCTTGCTTTTAACCACGATTGACAATACTACGAGTAGGTCAACCGGAAGTACCCCATAAGTTTTGGGTCGAAAACCTATGTGGTAGTTCCCGTTGAACTAAAATCACGAAATTTAACAAGAAAGAAAAGCAAGGTTTACAGTTCAAATAAACAACCAATTCCAAAAAAAATAAAAAAAGATGAAAATTAAGGTAAATTTTGGTACATAAGTATTTTGGTAAGTTTCCGCGAAAATCTGAATTTAAACTTGCTACGTCCACCTGTTCCGTATGGCGGTATAATGGGTAGGTATGGAACCCTCGGCGTACGAGTACATGTTACCGTCAAAAATTTTTACACCACTCAATTTATCGTATCAAATCTTATCTGGTTGCTTATCTATGATACGAGTAAAGAGTTGCTTACTCAATGTTAAGTTTTCGGTCAATTTTCGACTAATAAATGGCACTGGGGGATATAGGCGCATGGATTCTTTTATGCAGCGCTCCAGATAGCGCATAGCATTAAGATCCTCTACAGTGGTAGCCCGTTTAGTTTCACCAAATATCTCTTTGAGCTCCATCACTACATTGTCCTAAAATAAAATAGGTTATTAAAAAAGTAAGGTAAATTATAATTAGATACGGTTCACATTTCTTCATCATAAATATGCTGATCATATTTATACACCATCCAGTACATACATTTATCAGTGGTATAAGTAATGATAGAATTATCCTATTCGGTCTATTTTCTTTACACAAAAGTATGGATAAAACTAATAGAAGGTGTTTCAGACTGAAAACTGCTGCTTCATACAATACAAAGCCGTACAAAAATTTCATATTATTTAAAATGTACGCAGAGCGCACATCAGGCAGTGATTTTGTTTTAATTTAAGAAAACTACCTATCATCTATCTATATCTACCTTTTCATTTATTTTTAACCGGCCTTAAAAAGGAAAAGGTTATCTATTCGGATGTTTATTTCTTTCATGTTTTCGCAGGTTTGTTTAGAGCTAGCTAATAACTTTGGCTCTTATTATGATTTTCTGTACTTTTAAGCTTTAGATCAACAGGATATGTTATAGTATGAAAATACGTTTCATCTTTCATTACCAATATTAATTTGGAGTCAGACCGCTAAGACGAGAATATAGAAGATTATACATTGCATGCTAAAAATTTTATGTGCCCTGCTGAATACTTATAAAAGTCCGCGATTTGATACGGATGTGATGGGATTAAACTGATATTGAGATTACTTATCTTACATGTGAATGTGACTAGTAAAAAAGAAAAATAAAGCTATGTATTACGCAATTTGTACCTGGATTTGCGGATGGTTAGCCAGCAACATTAAGCAGTAAGTCAATCCAGATGCGGTGGTGTCATGTCCCTAAAAGAAACACAAAGATAAATACATTAGTATTTTTAATGGGCGATACTCCCCTTTAACCCCTTTTTGGAATATACAATCAACAGAGCAAAGTATCCAATAATTGACGGATGAACTGAAAAACATTATTTTTGTTTTAGTATGTTACCTAAGAGGATATTATTTATTAATGTTACTTTTTCATGTGATTTCTGTTATAAGATTTTTGTAAATATAACCTCTTTATGGATTTATTCCATTCCTCTCTCTTATTATATTTTTTATTCTCTCATTTTTTGAACATTCACGTGCCTACATCAAAAAAATAAATATTTACAGATTACATTTTTTTCAAGACTACTAAAGAACTCTGAGTATTCCCAAGAGTAGTCTACTTGATACTCTACATCTAACGACGACCCGATTGGCCTAATGGGCCTCCGTTACTCTAGATGTTTAAATAGCTGACACTATCTCATGAGGCAACATCATAATAAAAATGCCCATAACTCTTCAATTAATATAGTAGTTAAGAAAATTTTATGATTTTTGCAACCGTTCTCTAGGAACTAGAGTAATTCGAGATGTTTGCATGTATAGATGAACAGTCTTACCGTTTTTTTTTAAATTGTTCCTTTGAAATGAATAATTGTTAAAATGACCTGAAAAAGCCATATTTTATGACGATTTTATGAAAAATCTAAAACTGTCAGTAAGGAAAATCTGTTGTGTGGGACTATGATACTCACATTCATTTTTGAATCGAATTAAATATTTATATTTAACAAAACATTAAAAAGATTCATCGTCCGAATCTTTAACAAAATGTTATGACTTACATTCCATCAACTCATATCAGAACAGTTAACCTGATATTAAGTCATAACCGCTTCCCATGAACGCCGCCAACCTTTAAAAGTGTGAACTCCGTTTTGCTCAATCGGCTGGCGTAATACAAAAAGGATAGTAGTTCTACTCCTCTCCGCGCCGCTCGTCTGCAAAACTGTGGTACTTCCTCGGACGAGCCTGTTCATTCCTGAACGATAGAAGCTGCTACGTGGACACAATAAATCTTAAATTCCAATCCGCTACTGTAAAATTTTATTTTCAGATTATTTATTAACGTCTTGATGTTACGCGAATATTATACATATTAAATGAAACCAGTTTACGGATTTTATCGCGTTTTTATTTTGATTTGAAATTCTCGAAGTTTCTAACCCTGCGTAAAATCCGTAAAGTACACTGTACACTTTGTTGATTAAACGATGATACGCGGGACATTGACATTAATAAACTAAAGTGACATTAAAACATGTAGAAAAAGTACGAAAGGATTGTCGACGCTGTGGAAATCGAACCCACGTCTTCGGCATTCGCGGCCTGACATTACAAAATAAAGTATCACATTGTGTTTCGTACCGTTAAAAATACGGAACTTCATATTATACAAGATCCATATTTGTACGTCATTTAATACAGATTATTTATGTTCACCAAAAAAACACAGGTTATATTTTAGTGCTATAGATTGTGCGCAATTAATGTTTTACCTCAAACATAAAAGTATCAACCTCTTCTTCTATGCCCACACTATCAATTAAACCATCTTTTTCTGCTAAAATGAGTAAATCTAACATCGCTGCTTTCTTTTTCTTACTATACATTAGTTTATACTCATCATTATCCTCATCTTTGTCATGAGTGGCATCAAATATATTCGCTCCATTCTCTTTTATATCATTCATTCTGTTCTTTATAACCTTTCGGGTAAAATCGTGAACAACTGTAAGATTCTTCATTTGTTTTCTTCCCAACTCTGAGAGCTTAAATAAATAATCTATGTATAGATAAAGCCTGACGAACCTTTGCGTAAAAATAGTCCCTAATTCATGTATCGCGGTTTTGTACAGTTTTCCTGTTGAATTTTCGCTAAGCTTAGTTCCCATTGCTGTTTCTGGAAAGAATAATCAAAACCCAATCTAAATTTACAGCTAATGTTTTATACCAATTTATTACACCAGCTTTTTAATTTACTCGAGAGTACTTATACTGTGAGAACCGTGATAGCTCAGTGTCCGGGCGCTCGCCTTTAATTCAATATACTCGAGCAACATGAGTTCGATCCATGGTGCCGGCACCAATGAAGTTTTTAACTTTAAGTGCTGACGTATCACGTGCTCCGCGGTGAAGGAAAACATCGTGAGGAAACCGGCATATTTTCGGAAATAATAACAAAAAAAATATTTTTCGAAGATATGTGAAGTCATGTATAGGCTGTTACTTTTACTTATACTACAAATACAGATCCTATATATCTGTATACTATCTAAGAATCACAGTATAAGTACTCAAGTGTGTCGCATTTCATACCTTTTTTTTCCTTTTCAATATAAAATATTATTATTTTTATAATTAACGCAAGGAATAAATAAGGAAATATATTTGCACGGAGATTCGAGACGGGTCTTCAACCCACACTTCCAAGTAGTACGTTGAATTGTTATATAAGGATGTAGATATAGGTAAGCAGCAACAATGAATTTTGTTGCTCTACAATTGAAGTTTATAAATAGGCTTAGTTTTGCTTTATTAAAGTCTTTGTATTTTCCTCAGTGATCATATATTATAATCATATGATTTGGTGACACGTTTTTATAGCTGTAAGAAAAGTCATAATACCCTGAGTGGAGATTTAGTGAAACAGATTGTATGTACATACCACAAATGCTATTAAGCGTGCACTCAGAAATAATAGGAATAATGTCTACTTCAACATCCAATGTTTTTTCGAGTTTTTCGACAAGCCGACTAGCATTTTCCTCGAAATTTATGAAATATCTGCGTAATGTATTAAAGTGGAAAGCTGGTGTAAGAATTTTTCTACGGTTTTGCCACTTTGTTCCTGAAAAGGCGGGAATAATATTCTAAGTAACATTAATATATTAAATTAATTTTGTAATTAATTTAACGCTAACATTACACATATTAAATGAAACTAATTTACGGATTTTATCGCGTTTTTATTTGGATTTGAACTCCCAACGTTTCTAACCCTTTCCAGCGTTCATGGTCACGGGACAGACTAGACAGACGTAAAATCCGTAAACTAGTTTCATTTAATATGTGTAATATTAGCGTTAAATTAATTACAAAAGATTAGTTCTAAAAGCATGTGTGACATACCATAACTCAATAGTAACCCGTCCTGCAGCCACGATTTCAAAAAACCATATATGACGCTCTTCTCATGATACTTCATGGACGAAAGAATGACCTTTAAATACGATGAACAATGATATTAGAATGCTTCTGTATGAAATACTTATTTTAGATGTGTACCTATGTTGATTACCTCGATATCTTCAGGGTTGTAAATGTTAACAGCCCCAAAAGGAAAACTCCAGAATCTATATATACCATTGTTTTCCTGGGCTAATTGTCTACCAAAAGTAAAAAGCTGCACTGAAAGTATACAACAAATCATTAACTCAACCAAGTTGTTGTATGGGACTTGTTATGTAACTTCGGATGTCCGAATCGGATAAATAGTAATAGATGCATAGAATAAAAACATACAAACATTATTTTCGTACAAAAGATTATAAACGACTATACCTGGTGTTTTAAGAGCATCCAACGCATTTCCAACTATAAAAGCATCTTTCAATCCAGGAATTTTTCGGAGCAAAATCGCCGTCTCATTGTAATTAAATAAAAAGTGAACAACAATTAAAATTAAGGGAATACCTAACAAATACACGTACATTATGACAACTTTATAACGCAGTAAACGGAGAGCAACTGAGTGAATGAAAAAAATCATAATAATTAAGTACTCGTATTTATTGATATCATAATCGGAAACCTTTGCTCTGTTACACTAAATATCACTCTACCATATCTGTACTGCACTTATCATATCCGTGTTTGTTTAGGTACTCATCAAAACCTTCATTGATATATGTATATTTTCTTAATTATTTTATTTGGCCTAGAAACCAGTAAGTAAATGTTTTAGTTGTGGATCCGTTTGCTTTGTTTAAGTTTAAAAGTGTAAAAAGCAAAGCTTCGTCAGTATTTCCGCAAAGTTTATTGCTGCCAAATGAATAGTTCTGGTTTTTGAAAGAACTTACTAGAACACCGCTTGTCTTATTTACTCAATGAATCCAGAACAATCGCTAATATCCACATTTATCAGCATTAAAAGTTCTTCGGAGGAAAGTAAATGAGTAGGCCTATCCTAAAATAATATTGTAGTATCTAAATTTAATTTACATTGGTTCTCATGTTTGGAAATTTCATTTTTGGTATTTTCCTTACAAACTATAATTAGGTTCCAATTTTATAGGAACAGATTATAGCGTTAATTATTTTCTTCACGGATTTCACTTAATGGATTCACAAAAATAATACTTCGTTTATATACATAACATCTCGAACTTTGTAGAGTTAATTATCAGAGCTTGCAAAAAGGATCATATTGATAAAGTTTATTTTACGTACATGTCTTTGCAATTGTTTTTTCTGGAACAATTAAGTCATTGAAGGCTTTGTGTTTATAAAGTAAGAACTTGGATATTTTAATAATTTTTCATTTTTCAGAATTTTATAGGCGCTCTGCAAACGATCGTAAAATGAAATTCCACCATTGTATTTAACATAGAATTAGTTGAGGAATATCGCGAAATCTCATCAAGAAACTCTTGCTTAATAACTATTACTTCATCGTCATCATCATCATCATCAGGCGGAAGACGTCCACTACCTATTGTACGAAAATCACACCAAAATCACAATGTACGATTTATTGCGCAGAAAAAGAAATTATTGGTTATTTAATGTAGGTATCACGTTTTTAGTGACAAATTATTCAAGTGAGTACTCTAAAAGCGTGTTTTTGTGCGTAAATTTGAGGTCTCTTGATAATTGTGTCTACTTAATTTTTATTTTTATTAAACGTTTTGTGACGTTTAGTTTTATAACTTCTGATAAGTGTTACATCGGCTAGGTAACATTGCACAGAGTACAAGTCATTTCTTAAAATGCATAATTTTGAGAGCATTTAAAGCGTTTCGATTACGAATATCTGAAGAAAAGTCTTCGAACACCGGAAATAAATAGTTCTGGTGGACCCAGTGTAATGGTTTTTGTTTTAACTCGAGGCGGACTAACCCTAGAAAGAAGTACTAAGCTGGTAACAACAACCTGGTACACCCCCATTGTTGCGGACCTCTTTGCTAATTTGATAGCTGATGTAGTTTTTGTTATTATTGGCTTTTGACGTGGTCTGTTCTATTACCTATTTCTTTCTGTTTGCTTGATTTTCTGTTTTTATTAAAAAATAATCATTCTTCAACTTGTGTCATCGTTTTATCATTTGCAGAGATTAATTTTGTCTATTCATTTCATTTTGGTCCTTCACCAGTAATTTTCCAGCGTACCTGTTTTTCATTACGTAGCTTTAGTTTTTTTTTTTTTTTTAATTTATTTATTAAGTGAACAATACAACATAAAAAATTTTATTCGCCAAATTGTAAAAACAATTTATCGGCGACACAATGCACTCTTACATAATTGTCACTTAAATAACAAAATAAAATAATAACTAAACAAATACAAGAAAAAATAAAATAAAAGAAAAAGAAAAACTGGAACAATCTAAGTAATGCTACTATTATAATAATCTATATAAAAGGCCTTTAACTTTCTTTTGAAGATATTCTTGCTTATACAATCATTTTCAGTAAATCTCATTAAATATTTTTGGTACTAAATACCTCCTCATGTCCTCATCCCATAATAATCATTCAATAAGTTATTCATTCATTTCGTAGTGATGGTTTCCATTTTCACTGCTTTATTTTATTTTTATTTCTCACTTAAATATCAGCCGCAGTAAAAGTAAAATCATGCCGACAAACCCTGCGACTAGTACTAGTGTGCAAGATAATATTATGCAACCTAGTATTTCCCAACATGTAGACAGCGTTGTTCCGAGTGAGACGTCTAAGTCAAAATCATCACGCTCATCGTCCACAATTAAGGCTCAAAAGGCTAGAGGCCCTCGCCCTGCGCCGACGTCAAGAGACACGTTCTTGATTTGTTCTTCTCTTATCACTTCTTCTATTATTCTTGAGGAAATCTCGGAAGTCCTATGCCTATTCTTTAAACTTTCATCAAGTGCTTTCAGTCCTAACAGTATAGTCAGCTTCATGTATAGCAGAACTCGTCAGTAGCTTTTTTTATGTGAAAAGGTGGCAAATGAGGTGGCGGTTCACCTGCTGTTAAGTGATAACCGCCGCCCATTGGCTTCTTCAATACTCGAAAGGTTGCGGATGCGTTGCTACTTTTTAATGAACTGTGCCCCGGCTACCTCACTCACCAGACGAAAGTATATAATACTTCCACAAACTTTTTATATTCCAATACTTTTCGCATGTTTGGTCCCAATTCATATTCGTCTAATTTAAATAGTTATAAAAAGTAAATATTTAAATATATGATTATTGAAATACTAATGCGGTATTATGTACATGTTATCAAAGTTTTATTTGTAGTCATTGAATGCAGGCCACATTGGCTAAAGTCGTACAGAGGCCTTTGCCTTTGCCCAGCAGTGGGCATTATGCTGTTATATAACTTAATTTTTTTTACTTAATGACACGCATGTAAAGTTTCATTGTTGCTTTTCCAAATTGTAACACTTAACAGTTAATTTGCTCATATAGCCCCTATTCATTTATCATGGACCTTGGTTTTGACCTACTAACAAAGAGTGCCGATGTCATTGTATTTAAATAGCTATCGAGCTTCAATGCTGAAGATTTTCTCTTTGTAAATTGCTTTTGAAGCAACGTTATTAAAGCTTAATTTTCTGTATTAAGATATTCACTCGCATAAAGATTTTCATTTAAAGTGATAGAAATAACTATTTGATAATTAACTTGTTTCTTTTTCAGATCTGTATCTTTACAGTAATCCTCTCTATGTATTTGTTGCTTCCAATACTTATGGGACGGTAGGCTAAAACAGGATTAATATAAAAATGGTCCTGTATGTATAAGTACATTCCAGACGATAAACATTAGGAAAAAAAACATTAGGAAAAACGCTTATCGAAGTTTGATAAATCTCCGATAGCTAAAACGTCTTTATTGAACATAATGTTACAATTTCGTAGCAAATTGGTGAAATTTGAATGATAAAAGAATGATTTCATGAGTTTTTATCTATGGATCGCTACAAATTAAAAAAAAAATAGTGTCTTGTCTTGTGTCAAACATGTTGATCGTGATTCGTGTCAACTTTCCTGTTGTTATTTATTAGTAGTCTTTGGCCTTAACAAAATAAATAAATAATTGTAATGTTAACATGAACATGAATGCTAAAAAGGCAGAGTAGTGAAAATTGGCTAGAGGAAGAAAAAGTTGGTGTTACAATTTTGTTATATTTGCAAGTCTACAACATCGCACTATAACTTTTATGCATTACTTACTAAAATTTACTGTTTTGGCTTTCGAAGATTATCTTGAAAGATTTATTTGGTGAAGGAGCGGGTTCGTTTTATCTAAAATCAACGAAAGTGGAATGATTTAAAGGAATTCATTACAAACGTCAGTAATCAGCTGACCAAAATCGGCCATTTTTTCACGAGTATACGTTTATCGAACGTTTATAGTAGGGTCCTAGCTTGTATAATTCAAAGAAACTTTATCGGAGAGTTATAGAACGTTTTAGCGTTATAGAATGGTTATAAATAAGACTTTTTGACAATCTGTTTTTAGCGAGCTTTTAAACTTCCGATAACTTATTATGAATAAGACCGTAGGACTAAAGAGCTATGATTCTTTAAAATAATTTATTTCTTATAATATAACAGATAGTTATATAAAACTACTTTAAAAATAAATAAACTAAAAGCTGGCAGTCGGTTGGGACCCTGACCAAAAAGGTGGTAGGGCCACGCAGCAGCCTCAGCTGTTACATGAAGGGGCAGGTTCGTCCGGGTATGTACTACGACCTCACAGAAGACCGGCGTCAAGTGGAAGTATGACAAATACTTTCGCGTTCGTCTAGTGAGTGAGGTAGCTGGAGCCCAATTTTCAAAAGGTTGTCAACGCATCTGCAATAACCGAAGCAGCTAAGCTGGCGTGGTCTTGAAGCCACTGCCGAACAGTTATGTAAGCTGTAGTTGCTCTACTTCATAAGAGTATTCGAAACGTCGGGTATTCAAAATGCGATAATTACTTGAAATAATTTATTTCATAATTGTATGTCGCTATTTAATTGAAACGTGCACTTTTGATAGAAATATTAATGGAAGACATACATTTGTCCACAGTACTTATTTGTCCGAAGTTATCTTTGAAATTTCATATTTTTATCATGGTCACAATAAACTTTGGAGGTACTTTTATCTTTCACGAATAACTATATCACAAGGAAACACTTAGCAACCTCTTGAGATTACTGTTAAATGTGGACCGTAAAAAGATGCGACGCTGCCCTCACGCGAAGCAGTACATTCGCGTTCCTCCGCACCGCCACACGATAAAATGGCGTGGGGCACCTTTATCGCTCTGTTTACTCTCTACCAACTGTAAGTACCGCTTTTTGTTTATACGTCTAGTTTTTATGGTTCTTAATTATCTGAAAATGACTCTTAATCTTAATCATCTACATATGTAGAGCCAGTAACGATAATCGTATTATTATAATAGTAGTTAGAATAAGTAAAAATTAGATATTGTATTTTTCCCTGATACTGAATGTAGGTACTACCTAAGGTTAAGGCTGTGCAACTGAGATATATAATTATTATATGATGCATATGCATGCATCATATACTAATTATATGCATAAACAGCATATAATACTGCATTTCAGCTGTAGTGTAAAACGGCATATAAAAATGTCTTTGTCTTATAAGAAACGACGTTTGGCGAACGTAGCTGGAGTTCTGAAATGAAAGCGCTTTCTAAACGCTCTTTTTTATGTTTCATGTTGTATTACGATTATGATAAAGTCCAAATACTTGGTGTTCACAGGCCAAACCTACTTCGTATTTTTAATATTTTTGTGTCCATTATTTTTTTCCCAATAGGTCATTAAGGTTATTTCAAAAGTTCATTAATGTGTTGATATATTTACAAATATATTTATGCAAAGTTTTTATACTAAACAAAATCAAGCCTTAAACTACCTTCCTTAAAGATTATTGTATCTTATATAAATCCGAAAATAAAAGAACTACAAAAAACTATTGATTCACTCAGCGGGCTTTATTTTAATTTTTTTTTAAATAAGCAGTTTGACCTGAATTCATTACAAATACAATATAAGAACTCTGATTGAAAGAGCCTGGAGCGATCAGTTCATTACCAGAGTGTATCACTTAAATAATCATTAATATTATAAAAACCTTTATAATAGCCTTGAACACAGAAACGTTCTTTTACTGTTTTTTTAATTTAGCTATTGGCGCATTTTGAACGTTTTCTGGAATTTTTGTTCAACATAACTATTTTATTGTCTACATGTCTAATGTGATAATATTTTAGGTTGTACCAACTGGTTTTACGCATTTAACCGGGATTTATTTAAAATTTGATTTCCCAAAACTTTCCAATATTCGCGGATACAACTTAAAGTAAAACAATGATAACTGAAAAATTCGATACAAAATGAAGACAAACTTACTTTCTATAGGTAAAACGACAGCTATTAAGCTGATTAAAAATTTAAGCAGGATTTATATATCTACCTTTGCCCATCGAAATTTATTTACATGACGCAAGTCTTCGCGAGTGCTTTGAATTCTAAATCACATCATTATAATCTTCGTCTTTCATTGTCGGATGTATCAAACACTTTAGGAACTTTTCGATTCTCTTGTTCCGTAATTTGCAATTATAATGACATGATAATGAACTTGTCACAGGAACCATGCCCACTATACAAAGTTTCCTGAGGGATTCACTTTCGGTGTTGCAACAGCCTCACATCAAATAGAGGGTGCTTGGAACGTTAGTGGTGAGTAATTAAAATCAATATGAAATAAAATTTATAATGTAACGATACACTAAAAATCTTTAAAATTATTATTAACTTAACATCTTGTTTGTGGTTATAGGTTAAGTCAATTTTTATCTCAAAATGTTGAATTCTTACAATTCAAAAACAACTTCAATCATGTCCTCGATTTTATCGCTTCGCTCAAGTAGGATTTGTCTTTCCATCACTCAAAAATACAAAGATTACAACCATTATAGTAGGTACCATTTTTCCTCACATTGAAATACATACCTACATAGAAAAACAACATACGAGTAGGTACAACGCCAGCTAAACTAAGTATTTTTAATTAAGCTTAGTACGTCCCAAGAGACATTGTAAAGTAAAAAAAAAAACGAGTATATAACATAATAAAGTTTGAATTATTAACAAAAACAGGATACGAATAATTTGCTTACGAACGTCATCATAGTAATTTCCACCGAATTCTCTTAAACCAGCCAACGGTTTATCAGTCCTTATAATACTAACATAATAACAATGCGTTTAAACTGTTAAATTTTAATAGCAAAGATATAACAAACCGTTAATAATTTAGGCATTCATCGAATGCTTTCCAAAATGTCTACTAAAATTATAAAATACTTACAACAAAAATCTTTATTGTGGATATAAGCATTCTATGAACTTGTTAATTTTAGAAATTTAAAGTTTTTTTTATAGTGCTAAGCTCTGCACTTAGATTAAACATTGAAACTTGTAGAAAAAGTACGAAAAGATTCTCGCCGCTGTGATAAAGCGTCAGGCCGTGAATGCCGAAAACGTGGGTTCGATTCCCACAGCGGCGACAATCTTTTCGTACTTTTTCTACAAGTTTTAATTGTTTATTTTCCAAGTTCATTGATAGTGCCAAATTAAGTTCTCCAAACCATAATATGAAGTTATATTGTCTGTTTACAGGAAAATCGGAAAATGTTTGGGACCGCCTATCACACACTCGACCTGATATGATAGCAGATGGCACCAACGGTGACATTGCTTGCGATTCATACAACCGATATCTGGAAGATGTTGAGGAGTTGGCTTATCTTGGAGTCGACTTTTACCGTTTCTCGCTATCCTGGGCGCGGATTCTGCCGACGGGCCGTGTCGACTACGTGAACCCAGACGGTATCCGTTATTACAACGCCCTGCTCGATGCCCTCGCGGAAAAGAATATTGAACCATTGGTATAATCTAACATCTTCTATGGAGCCGTAAGTCTTATCGGAAATTTTGCATAGCGTAATAATTAAAACGACCTTTACTAACAGGTAACACTGTTCCACTGGGACTTACCCCAAACCCTGCAAGACCTGGGAGGCTGGGCGAATCCGAAAATGATCGACTACTTCCGTGACTACTCGGATCTGTGCTTCAGAGAGTTCGGCGATAGAATCAAGTCATGGATCACCTTCAATGAGCCGTACGAAATTTGCGAGGACGCTTATGGCGACGAGAAGAAGGCCCCGGCCGTTGATAGCCATGGTGTAGGAAACTATTTGTGCAGCGACACGCTTTTGAAGGCACACGCCGAGGTGTACCATTTATACAACGATAGCTATAGGCAGGTACAGAACGGTAGGATAATGATCTCGATTAACTCTATCTGGTACGAGCCCAGCGACCCGAGCGACGCTGAACAGGTCGCTTTAGCCGAGGTTGCGAATCAGTTCAAAGTAAGTAAAAACTGCGTAGAAATAAATGTTTAAAAAGTAAATTATTAACAATTATTAACAGAGTAATTAGTAACACCTTCGTGTGCTTCCAGTTCGGCTGGTTCGCGCACCCGATATTCACCGAAGAAGGTGGCTACCCGGCAGTAATGGTTGCGAACGTTGCCCAGCAAAGCGCTGCTGAAGGTCTCCCGAAGTCACGATTGGAGCAATTCGACGATTACTGGATCCAGCGGATCAAGGGAACTTCCGATTTTCTCGGTATCAACCATTACACAACACATTTGATAACGGGACCCGGGGTTGATCCAATCGCCAAATCACCATCTTGGCTGAAGGATATTGGAGCTGTAACGACGATGGAAGTGGGCGGAGGCTCCGCTTCCGAATGGCTTAGGGTAATTTCACTTATATTATTATCATTATGATTTAGAAGGATTCCTTCTATATATATCACCAGAAACCTTTTTCAAAGTTCTTTAAAAACAAAACATACATTCAAAACCACAGAAACCAGGATTAATACCCGATTCATCTTTTCCATGTTACTGATCAGTGTCAGTCCAAAAAACTCTGTTATAGCTAGCACAGTTCGTTCGAACAGCTATCGAACTGGCTCTCAATAAAGTACTTTCCAATATGGTAATCTTTTAGGTCGTACCAACTGGTTTCGCCAATCTTCTTCGCTGGTGCAAGAGTTCATACAATGACCCACCGATTTATATTACCGAAAATGGATTTTCAGACCGTGGTACTCTTGAGGATTACGGAAGAATCAAGTACTTTAACGTAAGTCCCAGGATGTTTTTTTTAAATGATATTTTATACCGAGAAAGACCGGCAGATCATCACAGGTTTATACAGATACCATGACTTATTTCAAAGATAACAAACCTAGATAACCTCTATATCGTAGCTTCTTAAAGATCTTCAAAGACATTTTATCGGATCTCTCACCGGGTTTAGTTTAATATTTGAATAACAAAACATAGTAAAGTTATAGTAGCATGTCCGCAGGCTGCACTTTACAAAGGCTTCAAAAATTCTGAAGTTAAGACAATAAACTAAGAATAATCATAAATTTTAACAATTTGTGAATGTGAAAAAAATTAATCAATGGTGACATCTGTCGTTAAAAATATTCATCGTTTAATATTATTTGTAAGGTGTTTCATTCTGTAAAGTATGCATAATAGATGTCGTAATAAGGTAGACAGGTATTGAGATTTTCATGCTCTGAGATCATCGACTGTTTAGCTTAGTTGTTAAAGCGTCTAGGCCCACTATCCGGAATATCCGCATTATCTGGTTGTAATCCCACAACGCAGGGCTTTTAAAAAAAATCACATTTTAAGAATTATCTGGTGCTAAAAATAAAAACTAATCATAAATGAGTATTTCCATATTTTATACGGTCGGCTGTATCAGGTTCTATAATCCAAAGTATGACCGATCCGTATTTCAAACCATTCAAAGTAGTTAATCACACCCGAAACCGTATGTGATTTTAGAGACATTACGTAGTGCGCAATAAATGCTGTCAAACTCTTCTTTTTTCCAATAGAGCCCCATATTTTTAATGCGAAGAAAATAATGTCCGGCTGCTAATCTTTTGTAATTCATACCTTGTGTGTCGTTGTTACCCCTGAATCGCCATTATTATTGTTATCTGTAAAGATATTTTGCGCAAACTCCCTCAGATAGATAACTTGTTAACTTCTGTCGAATATCTTGTAGAGTACTATTTCCAGTCTGTATCTAATAAACTAAGATATATAAAACATATGTTTATAGAAACGATATTTTAATGCATACTTTTGTTACACAATTATACAATATCCCTTGATTTTAGAAACTGAAAATTGTTAATGGGTTCCACTTATCTAGTACTATAGCTTAAGGTTTTATATTCTTGCATTTCGAGTTATTTGAATCGGGATATATTTCTTTGTTTTGAGTTTTCAAGCGTTTGATACGGAAAGAGATAGCAGTCTATAGAGTTGCAATATAATTAAAAATATTGACGTAATTTGTGTATAATATATTTGGGTCAAACATGAACGAACACTTAAAACTTCATTGAAAAATTACAGGATTATCTAACTGAAATTTTGAACGTTATTTACGAGGATGGAGTGAAAGTTTTGGGCTATACCGCCTGGACATTAATGGACAATTTCGAATGGAGAGCTGGCTTCTCGTACGTATTCTATTTAGACTATGCGCTTTCGACACATTCTTACCTCATACTCAGCGGAACATTATTTTTAATTGGTAACCGAATTGATTTATTGAACACTGCCCTGCGGCATACATTAACTCACACGTACTATGTAACTTTTCAGCGAGCGCTTTGGCTTCTATTACGTCGACATCACGGACCCTAACAGGCCTCGTACACCAAAACTGTCCGTAGAATACTATAAACAATTGATCGCAAACCGCGAACTTCCTCAAGACGAACAGTTCAAGGAGCCCTCGGTAAGCCTATAACGGAATGAAGCGAATTGTTGAACGGGATATTGATATTATTTTGGTACAACTAAAGTTAGCTAAGCTTGAAGAAATTAACTGCTTTTTATAACAAGTAGCAGCATGGTATACTAAATTATTTGTTTAATATTTCAATTAAGATATTTTTTTTTGTGTGAAGGAGGCAAACGAGCTGGCGGGTCACCTGATGATAAGTGATAACCACCATCCATTGACATTTGCAACACTCGTTGGGTTGCAGATGCGTTGACAACGTTGCTTCAAAACCCAAAAATTTTCTTTTATCGTGTATATATTGTACATACTAATTATGTTATTTTGGCTAACATTCTTTACCTTTTTCAATAGAAATTGTAATTACGTAGAAAAAAACATATTTTAGAACAATTATGTCCAATCAGGGCTTTATTCAATCACTTAAGCAGAACAGGCCGCTCTAACGCTTTTAAAGTTGTACACATCCGTACAGAATTATAAAATTTTTAATATAGAACTCCATTTACTCAGTTACAGTTACTAGTTGAATGATAGTCTTTTTTAATCTTCCTACTAACGATGTTCTTAAATCTATAAACACGTATAATTTATCTAAATGGAGGTAGGATAACATATACATACCCAAACCAGAGTTCCATCAAATAAATAGTTATATAATTATTTAATATACCTGACGATATTTAGTTATTATAAAATTTAAATATTTATATAAAATAACATTGAATAAAAGTGCATAAAAGACATGTAAAATGTCAATGATCAATTTGAAAACTAACGCCTGTAAATAAGTTTACATAAACTGTTAAAGTTTTTACTGTTAAATTATAATAATTTGCTTGTATGTATATTATTGCATCATATATTTAACATTTTAACAGGCAAGGAGAACGTAGAGCATGTGGTGTCGGATCCATGGGGTTAGTGGAATGCTTTTAAAATTATTTATTAAATAGAAACATTGATAAAAAAATTGTTTTTTTTTTTCTCTACAGAAAATCTCCAAAACTGAACTATAATAATTAAATTATCGCAAATTATGAAGAAGAAATTAAACATATAATAGATATTGAAACAAATATTTATTTAGATCATATAAGAATATCAAATTATTTACAATGAAATTATAGCAAATTAGGTTTAAATGACATTTGTAATTTCATTGTTATAACATTGATACACGACGTGTTATATACACTACATAGAAAACTTGCATCTGCTGTCAGACTGAAAAGATATGTTTGTAATTAAAGGCTATCTTAAGAAATAAACTATATAGTTTTAACTTGATATATTGTTCAGCGTATTATTCTGTCGTATGCAGTGCCGGAGGCGCGCATGGGCCGCGGCGAGCGGCCACCTAACTGTTAGCAACATGGAATGTTTCTCATTATGTCATTATAGCGAGAGCAAAGTACGCATGCAACCCTGCAGTGTTGACGAACAACATTAAGCAATTATATCCGAGCTAACTGCAATCGGAGATCGACGTTTAGTTTTGTTTCTGGTACTCGGGTACCGTTCTGTTAATTTAAACGAACAGAAACGATCTGCAATTAAAATTCTATATTCTTTGCCAACTGTATCCAAAATCGTCACCTCCTCAGCAGCTAGTGGGATTTGAAACTGTGCCTAAAGTTGTGACGAAATCAAATGACATTTATTATATAAAATTCAATCGCTGCCACAGATATATAAAAACCTTACTGTCAGCTCGATAAATTCTAAGTACCTAAGTGCAAGGAAAGGAAAGCGTTAAGAATAATGAACCGAACAATATGAAAAGCATTGTAACTTAAAAGTATAAAAAATAATACACGACAAATACAAAATAAAGTACAACGAATGGATCTACAGAATACAAAATTATATGTATCATAAACCCAGCACCGTTACACCTAATTACAATAGTTATACAGTTGCTAATAATCGCTATTAAACATAACATTGAAGATTACATTAAGTCTTACAAGAGTAATAGTACTTTTACTAATATGGCAAAGTTTTCAATGTAGCATTTTATTTAAGGCCTAATTTGGACAATATTTCAAAGCAAGTTAAAGGAAATTAAAAAAAATAGACTAGGTGGGTTTTAAACACAATTTTCAAATGTTTCGTGCACCGGTAGGTTCCAATTAAAGATACAGGAGTATTGTAGCAGTCAAACGTGTAATAAACATACCAACGCCTCTGAATACACATAAAATGTGATCGGTAGTAATACATTGATCGCCAAAAAGGTTACGGGACGTGGCGGAGTGGTAAGAAAGAAACTTGTATTGCACACCTCCATGACACATTGACTTGTTTAGAAATGTACCAACTGTTCGTAATTCGTATAGCGAAAGGGCTTGACAAGCAAAAGTCACTCGCCAAAATTAACCATACACACTACGGTTATTCCCTAAGGTTATTTACCTAGTGGCACTTATACACATGCATAAAGATACATCGTCCACTTCGAAACAAACATTACAATTAATATATACTTAATAAGTAAACATAATAGTTGCCAAAATAACTATCTAGGTCACGATTTAACTAACTAAACTATGCATAATCTCGAAAAATACACAAGGACGGTGTAAGTAGACAAAACATGTTATTATAACAAGTACATAAGTAGTTTTAATTCCGGCCATCAAGTAATATAACATGTAAAAATGTCACCAATAAGTATAGAAACACTCCATCACTATCTTTATAGAAAACAATAAATAATTTTTATAAAGGCACGTTAAGGCACTGTTACGTCAAGATGTTATCACAATAAGATTAATAATCGATATACTTATATCGTTAATATCAATTTACAAATCGATCAGTTAAAATTAATGTCGAGGATTTCCGATAGTCTTAGAACAAAAGAGTATGGAAACCTAGCTTGCGAGTAGATTGGTGGCAATGCAATCATACTCCTTTCAGCTAGGAAAGAAGCTTTTGCAGTTAGCGCCGTTCAGTTAATAAACTCCAAGTGTCTAATACACAATTCCTCAGAGTTAATTTGTTTCGCGCTGAAAATTAAATTTGAGATTGCAACGGAGACTGTACAGCGATATTTTGTTTTTGTCACATCATGCATTTTGGTATATCGAATGCCCCCTATTAACAATCAAGTGTATAATAAACTTTGAAAACACAAGAGAATTTATTGATTATCCTACACATTCAGCTTCAGACTACAACGCATATCAAAAACATCAAACGAAAACACTTACTTTATAATTTCTTTACTATCTCATTCAAATAAATGCTGAGATGCAAACTTCAAATCGACGGACGCTGCCGTGTTAATCGAAACCATTTTATGTATACGTCCCTAATCTCACTCGATTATTATTTATAGTAGTATGAGTTCGATATTAGGACAACTGGCCGTGGCAGACACGTCGGCTTTACCCAGCGGCAATACAGTTCACACACTAAGTCCGTCCATACACACTATGCTAGTTATTGTCATTGTCCGAGTAAAATATACACCATCGTTTCCTTCCTGCCATCGACGCTCCTTTTCTTTAGTAGTTGTTGAAGATCATTAGATCCCCCCGGCCGACCGAACGACACGATACGCAATCGACACGTGAGTGACAAATCCACTCGGTGCGTTTAAAATCAACCCAGTGATTTTTTATTTGAGTGATTCGTAAAGAGAATAATTTGTTTTAAGGTCTAATTCAAAATATTAATGAATGATGTATAATGTTACAAAAATATTCTTGAATACTTAATTATTATTTTTTTTTAATTTTCCTAAAAACTATTCAATAGTAAGAAAACTGTTATAGCACCTCAATTTTAAAAACAGCTCGATAAAATATATTAATGTTTTAAAACTGACATTTACTTCTCCCAATCATGTACTATTCACGTAAATATAAAAAGAAACGGGGAAGCTTGAAAGGATGTTCATGAAAATAAAGGAATTTTATTGATTGGAGGTCTATTAACAATGGTGATTCGTTTAAAGATACTATACTAATTAATGCACTGTATGCTTCAATAAAAAATAATAATGATTAAAATATTATCAAAAGCATATTCTAGGACCACTGAATTGGATCACGCTCACTTCTTAGAACTCGCGATTTGAATTCTCCATCATGCACCTCATAATATGATTGCTAATTTGAAACGTGTTGAAGAGCATTCGCATCGCGCAGTTGACCGGAGAGTCCCTTAATCGGTAAGTACTAAATTAATAAACAGTTTAACAACTAACGTAAAGTTTGTAAGCACCGAGTGGTGACAGGATGGGTGCGCGGGCAGCGCCGCCTACAGCCAAGTCAGCACGTTGTCGGTCTTGCTTGGTGTCGAGTTGATCAGCGATTGTACGTCGTCCAGCAGTATGTCGTTTGTGAATTCGCTCAACTGGAATTGATAGAATTTCTTTATGTAGTTTAACCTAGTTTGATACATCAGTGAAACGCGGCGGTCTGACGCCATTTTAAAAAAGAAGTATTCTAATTTCCAGAAATGATAATTCCTTAAATTTTAATCGGATGCGGACTACCAATCTACTGGAGTATCGTGAATAATAATGTCAGGAAAATGTGCAAGCTATTAGTTTATAAATTCTATGAAAATATACATATATTTGTTGGAGTGAATGATGAGAATTAATAAAAAGGAAACCTTCAGTTTTATGGTTTTGAGAAGAAATACTCTAAAACATGAAACTTGGCTTAAACAATGTACATGTGTGAAAAGGCTTACTTCTTCTTTCTCCTGCCCTTATCCCACCTAAGCACGGTCGTCAAAACATGTGAATCATGTTGTTTACTCTAGTGGTAAGTTTTTTTACGACCGGCTGCCTGCCTGTCGTCTACCTTCCTTTGGAACAAACACCCAGATCCAGAACTGTCTTCTGTAGATAATTGGGAATCAATATGTCCTCTCGCAGCCAAAATCGGATTAAAGCTAGTGAACTTTTTATTGAGATACAGAGATTAATTTAGTCTGGCAAACTGTTGATGGCATGCGCATAGTGCTAGCGGTGGCCAGCTAGCAGACCGTTCACCTGATGTTAGAATTTACCGTCGAAGAAAATCTTCTACACCTGTGCGTGGAAGAAGTCGTTGCCTAACGTTAAAATTGCTACCGGATACCACACACACACGACGAAACATAAATGTGAGTATAATATTTCCAAATCACTCCAGCCTAATAGGTGATGGTACTTTCTCGGTCGAGCCTGTCTCCGTCTAATAGCTAAGATTATCGTGGCGCCACGCCGCTACAGTTGAAAAAATGCCAAATTTTCCTTTTTAGGTGAGAAGTTCACCAACGATCTGGCGGTTTGCCTAAACGTAAATGATAGCGGCCTCCTAACAACAAAAGGTAACACTCGTAAGGCTGCAGATGAGTTCGCAGCTTTTAATAAAATGAACCCGATTAGCTCACTCACAAGACGAAACGCAGAAGTATAACACTTCCACCTCACGCCTGTCTTCTGTGAGGTCGTGGTACTTCTCTGAGGTCCCGGACGAGCCTGCCAATGCGTGCACCACTTAACATCAGGTGAGCCGCCGGCTCAGTGGCTACCTTCAAACATTAAAAAAAAAACCTGCAACGAGGGCACCAGGTCGTCCGTCGGGTCGATGTTGTCGCCGAGCGTGATGTCAGCCGCGTCGATGTTGGCGCCGGCCTCGCTGGTGCAGTCCATTCGGTCGTCCATCCCGGCGAGGAAGTCCTCCGGCGTGTGGGGCATCGAGTACGAGGGGTTCACCGCCATGCCGAGCCCGCTGTCCGCCGACTCCTGCCGCTGGTGGTCGGTCAGCCCCGAGAGGAACGGGTCGAGGGGTAGCTCGGTGCCGCCGACCGCCGCGCCGCTCGCCAGCGAAGACACGATCGAGCTCGACTGCCGCCCCATCAGCTCTTGCTGGTGAAATTGCCCATCTTGAGTGTGACGCCGCTACGGGTCTCCGTTCGCGTATGGCCGCGGCGTCGGCGCTAAGTTCGCGGTTCGGTCGGCACGTGTACGTTTGTTGCGTAAACCGTATTTTTGCGTAAACCCAATCTATATCCGGTGTGTCGCTATCGAATATATTTGATATATTTGATAAAATGATTTCGTAGTATTGTAGACGACACTGGATCTATTCGTTTGCGTATTACTCTCGGATGGTGATCGCGGAACTGTTTTAGTTTGATGTCCTACTTAAAACATAATAAAAATTTTATGATAAAAATAAAATGTACGTCATAGCATGGTATGCGAGTGTCTATGAGCGTCTATTTAGGCGCGCATAACTCTCGCTATCTGCTCCTATCAAGATAAAGACTAGACTGAACTATCAATTAATTAAAATGTGTACGTACATTATTTACTGCACCTTCGCGGCTTTATAGTTTTTAAACACATTTTTCCAAAATTTTCGGTAATTTTATTAAAATATAATTTAATTTAATAAATTCTAAATACGTTACATTTTTGTATCCCATTTATGTATAAAAAGGAATTCTTATTCATAATTGAACTGTAATCTTATTCAACCTATATAAAAAATTGAATATTTTCTTTATAAAGTCAATAAAAAAACTTCATAGTGAAAGCATTTTAGTAAGATATAAAAACTACGTAGTATAGTCCTAGAAAAATTGGCTTCCACCATCATAAGGGATATAAATTCATCAATATCGAAGAAAATGGGATAATGTACTAAGCGAGTAGCCTTAAATTCAATGTATTTGCATGAAGATGACGTTATATATGAAGGATTACGGGATTAAAATATCAAACATGTAAATAACTTTAGGAACCACAATTAGGATAATAACAGTTATTTTAAACATCTACGCCATTTAATGTCACCAGTAAGGTACGGCGGTCTTTGAGACTGTGTCACTTCCCTGGATGAGCAGGCCTGTTAAGTAAAGACAGTACAAATATACATAAGTAAAATACTATTTTTTATATATATAAAATAGTATTTTACTTTAACTGTAAACAGTAGAAATAATGAATCCTCTGTTTTACTCCGGACATTGAATTCGCTAATTTGGGATTGATTTTGAAATTCACAATTGCAAATATACTGATATTAGATTTCATAGAATTTTGACATATCCAGAAAGGCGAGTCATCGTGATACCTGGAGCATAATCTCCTGCTGGCGTTGCTTGAGCCTCTCCCGTTCCAGCTGTAAGGACTGTAGGCGAAGCTTCTGCTGGCACGCCTGGAGCGAGGCGTTCGCCCAGCCACCCCCCGCGGCGCCCGCCCCCGCCACAGGTGTGCGCTGCAAATGTTGTGCTGGAAACAACGAACAGCCCCATTGAACAATGGCGTCCTCGCGCACCGGTCCACGGGGCCAAACAGTCTGGAACTTACGTATTCTAGGATCGAACCAGGATGTGGTGCGAGCGGCATGATTGATGAAGTAGATTTCTCCCTCCGGCGTCGCCGCCTGCTCCCAACCTTCCGGCAACGGGCCCAGCGGGTCTGTTGTCGTGTTACTACTTGTACTCTTCGCTGCTGAAATTAATCGGAAACGTTCGATCAGCGTTACATTAGGTAGTGCGAATAAAATCGTTCAATGGCAATCGACGTCTGATCCTCTCAACAGCGACTAGTTGCAAGCGATGGGGTGTCGGAATGGGAGTGCGGACGGCGGCAAGGTCGCCGATTTCGTGCCGAGAAGCTTTCATTACCGCAGATGTCGCTAGTGGCGCCGCAGCGAGCGCGCGGTGAATCACGAGCGGATGTCGCATCACCAACGCACTCACAACGGGCGATATTAATGCGTATGTGTGGTCATTTCACGCAGCAAACAAGTGCTCATTCATAAACAACGTTGATATTTATAAGTGTGCACTTAATTGAATCATTTTGTGGTATTATTGTAATTCCATGTACTCCGACCCTATATAAGGCTATATCTATAACTGTATACGGTTGCGTCACTCTAATGTTATAATTCACACATACTTAAAAACATTAACACATATCTATAACTTTAGCCACAAAAGAAATATCTAATGCTCTATCTAATGCTGTATGACACAATGAATACTATTCAAGTAAGTAAAGCAAAAGCATTAATACTTATCTCCTTGTATTCTTAAGTAAATGCGCAAAAATAACAGTTTTTTTTTTAATTAAGATAATGAGGGTAATACAGAAAACAACAACAGGTGCTATTGCTCGTAATTTCGACTAATCATTATTCTTTACGCATTGTAGAATTAATGTAATAGAACCGCTTATCATTCGTGGCAATTCATTAGCGGCAATTGTCAACCAATTATTATGCTTGTTAACAAAATTGTATATAGTTTAATATATACTCAATTAATAATAAATAATATGTAATTCATAATTTAATATATACAAATGAACATCAACTTGTTAATGTGCAACTCGTGATGCAATGGGTCGAAGAAAATTAATATAATATTGTTATTTTTGGAAGTAATTAACATTGAAATGATTAGTATGTATAATTTGTATTATAGATACTAATCAATTAATAGAACTAATAATGTTGATGTTTTATAAAGACTTGAGATAGAGGATCAAGGTAGGTTTTTGATTCTTTAAGAGTCAAATAAGTGGTGCTCATTCAGATGACACATTATTCCCGCGTATTATAGGTACTAACAGTAAGCATACTTATTTTTCAAGTTGGTGAGCAGATCATCTTGAAAAATAATAGAGATCGATAATCAAAGTAAGATTTGATTCTTTCATGAGTTCTTGCGGCTTCGGTAGCTTACTTGTTTAAATAGAAAAGAATTAAATAAATAATATGAATAAGAAAATATTTATGTATAAAATATATGTATATAAATCTCAGTACCCAAATTATATAGTTATAAATTGAATTGGAAGGCAAAACCGATTTAGGAACATACTAATATGACCATAGTTTTTGTCAAACTGTTTAACAAAACCATAATAATGTCCCAAAGCCAATTTATATTCGTACTACACCACAATTCCATCCGTATTGTTACATATCAAAAGAAGTCCACGGGAAAGATGTGTACTTAATGGATCATAAGAATGTTATTTCATATTTGAAAGGCAATATGCTATCGCGACACGAGATTATGCGGAGGAATGCACTATAAAAACACTATTCCTATGTCAGGTGATCTACATAGATGGGCTTGTTTGCGTCTGTAATAAAACAGAGATAAGGTGAGATCAAACACTGTCCTGGATGCGGCGAGGGTTTCCATAATCGCTAAAAAAATAAATTTACTCGTAGAATTAATTAAATAGCTAAGCGGTCAATGACATTATTGTGTAAGTATGTTTTTAAATATTTTTTAGTACTTACAGTCTTCAGCCAATGATCGTTATTATATTTTGTCCGAAAGTTTCCTTTCAGAATAACAAAATTCAAAATCGTTTTTGCTTGACAATTAGAAATACCTATATAATATTAAGGCCATACTAAAATGGACAAATATATGTAAAAAAAATGCAAGACATAATTTGTCATTAAAAAGAAGGTAATTAATGCAAATCAACTAAAACTTACACGGAAAAACTGCACATGTTTTCTTTATATTTTATACCGGACAAGGTAAAGGGATTACGGAATGTCCGGCCGAGTACCGGACACCTGGGTAGCCTTGACAAGGTGCCTCCGCCAACGTCAACGTGCACTGCTCTAGAACGTGACTAGGGCACGTATTTAAGTAAACTATCACGGCGAACAATGCGTAGTATTGCACAGCGTTCAATAAAAATGCCAATAATGATATAACTATATCTAAATATATTATTTTATAAAAACAACATCAGCTATTACGGAAACGAGTAGCATAATACTCAATGTTGTTTGCGACCTCATGCAAATTATCACGCCTTCGGTGCATTTGCATATTGTTGTTCAACTTTAGTTACAGTGAATGGCGGGCAATTAATAAATTAAATATTAATGAGGATGCGTACTAAAACTCCAAAATGAAACCTTGATCGAAACTGAAACCTCACACACAAGCGCTCCGGTTCATTCTTCTTTAAATACATCGCACCAACTATTAAACGTTGGCCTACTTTAACAAAGAAAGCAAACACGTCCCGTTTAGAAACCCACCAAAGTCTCGAGGCGAACGGTCGGGAGTTGTTTTAATATAGTCTCTAGCTTAGGGATACTGATAAATAGCTGAATGTATTAGTTATTCAGACGAAACGTAAACAACGTGCCGAGCGCCGAGGGCGACACGGCGACAGTCGCGGAGCATATCCCGAACGTGCACGAATTCGGCGCGACACAGTTAAGTCACGACGCGGTGGTGCCTTTCACGGATGTGTCGCAACGCTGAAAGGCGCGGGCGCCAGGGCCGGCGCCGGGAGAACGATATATTCGCCGGGCCACCTCTCAACGCTCGTCTCGCATCGGTCGACGGAAACAACGCGTTAATTCCCGTCGTAAAATCGGTTTTAGAATTCGGCTTATTTACTTGTTTTCATTTTAGCTTCGTGATTATTTTAAAACGCCCGCCCCGAAGCCAATTAGATCACGTGAAGCGAAACTCAATGGTTCTGCGTTTTAACGTGTGCCGTGATGTATTATTACACGCGCATTTCAGCCGCTTAGGCCGTAATTTCTGATTGTTTATGTAACATAATATTGATTTCGGACTTGAATAGTACGATGATAAAAGTTGTTTGAAACGTTTTTAGTACCTTTTCCTAATTTTCAGACCTAAGAAACACATTTAAGAACTCGCTTAAAACTTTCATAATATGTATGCAAACAATATACAATAATTTAAAAACTGTCTATGATCAAAACAATATCATCTCTTAATGCCTTATAAAGTAATGAAGGTCCTAAACCTCATTGTTGACAACGTCAGTTTTCATTAACCAACAAAGTGTCGATTTTCAAGGTCGACTTCACGATCAGAATTTAAAAACTTGTTACTTGAGACACAGGACCTTAGTTACAGTAAATGTACGAAAAAACATTAAAGATGTCGCAAATCTTAATAGAAATTAGATATTTAACGAGACCGGGACAAGAGGAATTCAAAGCGTAGCAATTAAGGTTCATCTCTATTATCTATAGAGATATCACGGCTCTTAGCTATATCTCTATATAGCTAAGAGCCGTGATAGCTCAGTGTCCGGGCGCTCGCCTTTAATTCAATACACTCGAGCAACCTGAGTTCGATCCCCGGTGCCGGCACCAATGAAGTTTTTAACTTTAAGTGCTGACTTATTACGTGCTCCGCGGTGAAGGAAAACATCGTGAGGAAACCTGCATATTTTCAAAATAATAACAAAAAAAAATGTATTTCGAAGATATGTGAAGTCCGCCAATCCGCAGTGGGGCCGCGTGGTGGACTATGCCCTGATACCCTCTGTATAGAGGAGGCCTTTGCCCAGCAGTGGGACATGTATAGGCTGTTACTTTTACTTTACTATTATCTTGGGGTTATACCTGTTGTTGTTGCGGTGCTGATATTCTGTGGTGGGGCTGCGGCCTGTGTGAGGATTGTTTCAGCGCTCTGCGCTGCTAGCGTCTTCCGTGGGTCCTCCCACGTCGTAGTCTTCGTTATGTGACTGTAATAAAGGCACTGCATTAAAACCCAGTATTTTTATTACTTGTACGCATTATCATACCCCAATTTTTAAAGTAGAAATCTATTATTCTATACGTAACGAATACGATAATTTGATCGGTGCGAACTCCAAATTCATAATAGTCAGTTTAAACTTTTTTCCTATTCATTATTAGCGAATGGTGATTTTAAATATGAATCGAGAATCTAATATTTTTATAAAGTAAAAAGTTTAAATCTAATATTATATTGCATGTTCTAGATAAAGAACCAGATGCGAATAAGATAATTTGTTCAACGCGTGCTTCAAATTCATATTTTTGGTTGGTTGGTTTTAAACTTTGTTCTTATCCTTTATTTCTTAATGGTGTTTTAAAATATGACCGTGCCGTCGCAGCCAAATAACAAAATCTTTTAGAGTATGAAACCATAACTTTCTTTTTTAGATCGTTACTAATTACTCATTAGCCAAAACTCATTTCTATAGTTGCAGAACGCCAGATTTTTATTAAGGGTTCGATTACCTTATTAAATTATTATGGTTGTAATATTCAAAAGTAAATATACGCATCTTTACGTTTGTTTAATTATGAATATCGGATGAAGAAATCTACCCCAATTCCCTAATACCCTCCTCATTAAAACATCCCATACGTTACGTTTAATTGTTAATTTTATTTACGTTTAATTGTTAATTTTATTTACTTTTAATTCTTAATTTTTTTTAAGTAAAAAAAACAAACTTATTATCTCTCAGCCTTTTCAAAGGCCGCTTAGGAATATTTTAAGTAACGAACGTAAGTTATGTTATCATCAATCACTTAGTGAAATTGGTAAGTTTTTTTAATGCATACCCTGTCTGACACTTCTGTGCACGCCCCTGTCACAGATTTTCAAGAAGTTGCAATACACAACAGTACGTGTTTTTACCAAAGTTGAACAATGTTTTAACGTGTCTATTTCAGAATCTGCCGAAACAAGCCAGACGGACATGTTGCAGAAACAAGTCATAATATATCTATATAAAAACAACATAGGAAAACTAATTTTTGAAAAATGGTTTCCATCATAAAATTATGTAAGCTGTAATTCTAAAGATTAATGAAACTTTGGAAGTCGAAACAGCTGAGACCGTAACTAAAATACAGAAGTTAGATCGGTTTCGTCGGTCGCAAGTAATATAAGCAGACGGCGTACGAGCATAATCTTCCTGCTTAGCGGTCAAAGTGACCAATTTGTAGGTAAACCGGACGCGGCATGTGCGACCCAGTGAATAAGCAGCCACCGCCATGATAAATGACTGTTTTACTTTCTTTACATCGAAAGTAGACATTCGTTGACGTCCGCACTCATTGAAAACGTTTACTAAAGACCTTTCCCGGTCGCCAGACTTGTTTTCAGTCGTTATGTGCAGAACTATTTAGTAACGTAATTCGTTTATTACTACTTTTTTTAATACGTTGATTATTTTTTGTCGACAACAAATGTTTAAATTCGAATGAGACCCGCGTGGTGAACGGTTGCGAAATTAATCCGAAAATATTTATTTCTTAAGGAAAAATTTATCAGGCTTTTCCTGGAAATGTAGAGTACATTAAGGCCGAAAAATCTTTTTTGTATACCCCACTTACAAAATAAGCTGCAAAAGGCGATGGCAGGCAACTGTAACGATTATGAGAGTTCGGTTTTTTAATGAAATCTTTGCAACCCTAAAAAAAAAGGAGAAAGTTATCTAAAATGAAATAACAAATGAACAAGAACTTCAAAAATTATGCGATGTAATTTTATTTTGATAATAAATAAAATAAATATGACAAAAGTTATTATTGTGAATTATTATTATAATACATTTACATATACACACATAACATAGTTTTATAACCATGTGATATGTATAAGTGGAAGAAATAACTTTTTTATTGGCTCCTTACAATGACATTTGACTCTAGGAAGCAAGCAGAATCATTCATTGATTTTGCTTTCTTAACGTAAGTAATAAAAGAAAAAGCAAGGTAAATGAAACCAATACTGTTTGGATGAAATTATAAAATACCGGCGACGGCAAAGTTGAAGATAAAGCGTCACGCTGCAATGGACATCATTTTTGTCAACTGCTGATACTAAGAAAATGGGTCACCGATACGAGTGCATAAAAAATCATGAGAGACCCGTCTGACCACAAGTAATAATGCCATCGAAAAAATAAGCGCAGGTCTGCGGACCGCAAAGTAAAGTCGATTTATAACGTTACATTAGTGACTCTCTAATGTAAAAGATAAGGGAAATGTTTAGCATTGGAAAGCGAGAGAGGGCGTCACCGCAAAGAATCGATTTGCACGGAACGGTAATGAACTTGGCTGTGCTATCAGCTGTGCCCGATGTCACGCCAAAGTTGCGACAACGCTATGTTCAATGCTGCACCTGCTACGCTGTTGTTTTTTTTTTACATTGCGATTATATATTATACAACGATATAAACCATTTTAATTCACATAATTATATTTCTTCGCGTCCCTTCTATCATTTACCTTCTTATCCAACAAAGTAAGCTCTCAACCAAAGTCTAACAGGACTGATAATTTTAAGCTTTTACTCTAATATATTTCAGACTTTTGTCACAATGGGATGGGTTATATCATAAATCTATGTAAAATCTCTTTAGTATCTTAGGTTGCCACAGTTTTAATAAGATGTCACTTACCTATGGGGGAGGCTAAGTAAATTTGTGATCAGTTTACATTACACACACAATAAACGCTAAAAGACCTATATAGAACACGAACGGTCCAAAAATAGATCCTTGAGGAACACCATGGCGCGCAATTGAACCTGAAGTTATCCCAATTATCGTTACACATTTCTTGAAGTACAAGGGAACTTCAAATGTAGGATAAAAGATAAATGCAGAATAACGTGCACTAGAATATTTTAATTTATTAACTAAAATATTTAAATTCACACAGTCAAATGCATTGCAAAGGTTACAAATCTCTCTATCAGTGACATGAGACAATTCCAAGTATGTAGGACATAAAAATTATTGAAATTATAGTGACGTAACGCTAACGCAAGGCGCCTCCTCTTCCAAATTAGTAACACACTTACCACATTGCTAGTTTTATTGATTGTACCTAGTTACTTAATCCAGTGAACCGCTTGGTAGTAAGCCTCATTTTATTATACAAATTTCTTTTTTTTTCCTTTACCAATGTCAATTTGTAGATTTTTTAGGAAGACGTTATTAAATGATAAGAACTAGACAAAAAATGTAAAATCATATTTTATATACTCTTTGCGATCGTCGCATGAGACGTAAGCAGTATCAGTTTACAATCTCACTTTGAATTTGGGTTCTAGATATTACTCGATTACTATAAAACTTAAAAATACTGAATTAAGTTAAAATCAAGTAAAAAATACATTAGTACCAATATACGTATACAATAAAGTAAAAACTTACTGGTTTGAGTTATAAAATGAGGCAAATGAAGAACACTTCAGCAAGTTCTGTTCTGAACATCACGCCTTGCATTAAAAATTATTTAAACGTCAAATAAAATAATACAACTCATCGTGGTTTTACTAAAAAGAAGTACCTGGATGACTAAGCTTTGCTCGGTTTTTTTTTACAAATGAAGGAAATTGAAAAAAAAAGGAAAAGGAATAATCATCTCGACTCAATCGGGGTATTCTAGTTTCGGGACCGCCCGATTTCCGACCATAAATCATGTACGTGGGGGCGAAATTTACTTTCGTATTCTTATGATATTATATTCTCTAATGATAGTTTTTCATTGTTAAAAACTTGCCTTGCTCAAAACACGAATAAATAGACGCAGTGGCCTCCGTCAAGCTGGAGTTTATATATTTATATTTTTGTTTTGTGTTACAATAACGATATTATCATTTTATTGAATATTATAAGATTATATGTACAAGTACATCCATTGAAATATAACCCAACCAATCACGAACTTTACCCAAATATACAGCGTGTCTTTACCATCGCGACAATAAATGAACACACATATAGAGTATAACTTTTTAAAATTGTATTAAAGATTAACATTCTTTAAACATCAATATTTAACGAATTATCAAATTTTCCAAAACAAAGAATTTTAGAACACCCTTACTTTTATAAAACTTTAATGTTAAGTTCATTTGTAAAGGTCACAAATCTTATGAATGGGTTGAATGAATTCAAAAGAGACAAAAAATACTGTTAGAAGGAGAGGCTTGTAATACGGCGCTGTGGCAACGAATGAAAAAGCCTCTGAATGTATGAATCAGTCAGATTCAGTTGTATAGGATGTAACAAATTTTGTTTCTATCATACTTAATTAGTTTGTTTGAAAAATATTTTTTTAATCGTGGATTTTTTTAACGTTACTATTTTTTATGATTATTGGCAAGTAGCGTTAGACGTGTCTTCTTTTATTGTCGCGGTGATAAAGACACGCTGTATATGTCTAATACCTTTAAACGAGCAATTCTTGTATATTTTCATTGAAATTTAGTATGTGCGTAGATTCGGAGGCGAAAAATCGATCTAGCTTGGTTTTATTTTTAGAAAATGTTCTTTTATCCCTGTTTGCTTGTAAGATTTAAATACCCGCTGTTTACTAAATAGATATGGATGTATACTCGCTACTTATACCAAAATAACATTTTTTACAATTTTTGTCCTTCTGTATGTCTGTTTGTTCCGGCTAATCTCTAAAACGGCTGGACCGATTTTGACGGGACTGTCACTGGCAGATAGCTGATGTAATAAGGAGTAACTTAGACTACTTTTAGTTTAGAATTTTTTTTATTGTTATTAATATATATAATATAATTCCACGTAGACGAAGTCGTGGACTCAGCTAGTATATATCATATGAATTGAAGAAAATTTTTACCAAATAATTTAATAGTACCTAGAGGTCCGAGCGATTTCCAGCAAAACTATAAGGCCAATGGAAAAAAGTTAAATTGCAAACGTAGGTATAACTTAAA